AGTGAGCCAAGATCATGCCACTGCATTCCAGCTTGGGCGACAGAGACTCTGTCTCAAAAAAAAAAAAAAAAAAAAAAAAAAAAAAAAAAAAGAAAAAATCAATGAGTATAGCAGATATCATCATGCTCTGTTTCCCTAACTCTAATTTTTAGTTGAGCAGATCTTTAAGTCCTTTACAAGAGTTCGGCTCTCTCACCGCAGGACCTCTGCCTCATTGCTGCCCCCCGAGTCCTCATCCCAGTGACTCCTAACCCTCAAGGTCTCAGCTTTCACATCATTTCCTCAGGGAGACCCTCCCTAAAGCCTTGACCAGGTCAGCTCACTCTGAAGTTCAGTGCTTCCCTGGGACCCCTGGACTTCCTGTATTGTGATGTTCATCACATGAATTGTTTTCCTGACTCTGGGAAATAAAGGGCATTCAACAAATAGTAGTTTAGTTGTTGAATTAATTCTCCCCAGGGGTCTGTTTTCTTAGAAGAAAAAGTCCTAGAAGCTGCTTTAGTATGTTTCAAACAGTGACAACTGAGCATGTCTTCCTTCCCCTAGAGAGGATTGCGGTCGGTTGGAAAAGGCTCACACACTACAAAGTTTTTTATGTTACCAAGAATACCTGAGGTAGAAAACTCAATTTTGGTTGTCTCCCATGCTATCAGTTTTGGGCCCCTGGCCTTGGCCACTTGCCCAGCATACTTCCCCTTGGGACTGAGGGGTTTTGTTCTGTGATCTACCAAAGATCACTGGAAAAGGAAATCAGGTATTGGCTTTTCTCCTGACTGAGTTTAGATTATGTCACAACTGTAGTCACCCAGTTTGGATTCAGTAATTCCTTCTGTCTTTACAAGTTATTAAAAAAATCATCTCTTGTAATTAATACTACAGTTGGATGCCTTTGATTTGTCCCAGAGAGGATACCTCAAGGTATGTGTGTGCGGGCATGTGTGTGCGTGTATGTTTCTGTGTGTGTGTGTGTTCACAGCAGTTACCACCTTCTAGCAGGCCTGAAGCCACACGTATCATAGCATGGCTTGTGTCATTCTTCCTGTTGAGCCATTTTGCCTTTTCAGTCCCTTCCTTCTCTGACTTCTGGCAAGTAGTTGTAAGACTTGACAATTACGTTTCTCTCCAGGTATCTCAAAATGTCCTTATTGACATTATATCATTTGCAATCACAACTGATCAGTGTCAGGTAGATGGAGAAGGTGTTATTATGTCTCTTCCCCAGAGCGGGGTAGTGGTGGGGGTCAGTGGAGTTAACTGACCTCTCCAGGCTTCCTTAGTTCCCCGGAACACAGCCAGGATGAGGGTTAGAGTTTTCTTTTTCTGGGTCTCCAAGTGTCCTGTCTGGGTCTTTTCACAGAGCCAAGTGGCTTCAGTAGTCAAACAGACATGCCATTCCTGTATATTTGTGACTTCAAACTAGAATTTCCCTTCAGCTGTAAGGTTCTTTATATCCTCCCACTCAGTTCTGGTTAGTATATAAGGTAGATCTTAGGAGTGGAGCCAGGCTGGGTAAGATGGAAAAACCATTGGCCAGTAATCCCGTTTTTCCTTCGTCATTTTTTGCGATGTTGCTTTGTTTTTTGAAATCTTAAAAGTTTCACATTTGTATCTGCTTCGTAGTCTATCAAGAACGGAAAGTTTCTTCCCAGGACTGGCACACACAAAGCTACTGTGAGCTTTGGGCATGTTTCCAGGCCTTTCCAGAAAGCCTCCCTGCCTGGCATGCTGAGAAACGCTCTTCTGACTAGGAGGGCAGGGGTCTGCCTCGTGTTCTATTGTGCTGTTTGTATGTGTCTTTCCCTTTCTCTGTTTCTTCTTCCTCCTCCCCCTTTATTCCTCTTTTGTGTGAAAATGCTTTTTCTGGCTAATTCAGTGTCTGAGTTTGTGGTGAACTTTCAAAGCTCCTTAGGCTAAGCTACAGGAAGGTCACTATCACAAAGGGTAAAAAAATGCATAGACCACCAGAGCTTGTTAAAAATATCAGATCGAGGAATGCAAAATGTCCACCTAAGGGCAAGTCCGATCTGGACTAAGTCTCCTCTTTAGAACCCCCCTAGGTCTTCTGAGGCTGCAGCTTTCCATGGAGGTAAGTACTGTGTGCTCTACAGAAGTACACGAGCACACAGAGGTGGAAGCAAGGATGCACATATTTTGTACTTGTGAGAACCTGAAAATAACTTAAATATCTGTCTTCCAGTAGAGGCATACTTATTATGGTGTGTCCATATCATGAGAACCAATAAGATAGATCTAGAGGTAATGATGACGTATCTGTAACATACTGCGTAGTAAAAAACCCATGTTGATTATATATATATTTGTTGTTGTTGTTGTTTGTTTGTTTGTTTTAAAACAGGGTCTCACTCTGTCACCCAGGCTGGAGTGCAGTGGTGTGATCACGGTTCACTGCAGCCTCTATATATTGGGTACAATCAGTCCTCCCACCTCAGCCTCCTGACTAGCTGGGACTACAGGCATGCATCACCACACCTGGCCAATTTTCTGTATTTTTTGTAGAGATGGGGGTTTCGCCACGTTGCCCAGGCTGGTCTCAAACACCTGGGCTCAAGCAATCCTCCTGCCTCAGCCTCCCAAAGTGCTGGGATTACAGGTGTGAGCCACCACACTCACACATATTATGTATATTTAAATATGTATATGTAGCCACAGAAAAGCCTAGAAGGTTATATTCCAACAGTTAACAAAAGGTCCTGGGAATGGGATTAGGATGAAGGGAGAGAGTGGGTATTTCGCTTTTTTAGTTTATATACATTTGTAAGATTTACTTTTTTGTAATAAATAAGGAATTTTGTAATAATTAAGGATCATGGGCATTTAAGAAGTAAATGATGTGCTACCATCACTGACTCTTACCTGTAACTTTGTGTTTCTGTCCGGGTGTTCTTTTAAGTGAAATACTTGGTCTTGTTGTTAGACTGCTGCCGTTCTTAACTTGAGCATATGATGTGAATTACCATCTCTCCATATGTTTTTCCATCAGTGTCATCATAGGAGTATCTTTTCACTGAAATAAGAAATATTAAGCAAGCAGTGTATTAATTAGATTAATTCATCCCTCTTTTTAAAGGTGCAGAACTGTTTTTCTGTAAATATGAAAATATCAGGTTTTCAATTAATTTCTTCTGGCTTTCTGGAAGGAAATGAAATTATGGTTTATAATTTCATTTACTCTGGACTAAATATTTGGATTATTGAATTATTTCTATGACTTTTATTTGATGGTTTTATGTGTCTACTTTAGACGCAGATAATTGAATATTATAGTTCCAAATGCTCTAACGTTCCACATTAGTGAAACAGTGATGTACACCGTAGTGAAAACAGCACTGAATTTATTTTCCTTCTGTTTGTACTTCAATTCCAAGAGTGAAGCATTAAATTGGCTTTAGTCATACTTATGCTTTGATGATGGTCAGCTTCTTGGTGTGAAAGAAATCAAGATGTGAAGAAAGTTAGACACACCTGGGAAAGCCCAGCCTTCAGTTTCACATACGTGGGTAATAACATAGTCCAGTTATTGTTTGTTAACTAAAAAAAAATGTGTTTGAAATATAATTAGATAATGAGAATTTTAAAATGTGCTTTAAAAAACTCCTTTTGCCTGAAAAATTTTGGTAAAGTGTTTATAAAAATGAGGTGTTGTGTCAACAAAAGATGCATGAATTAATTTATAGTTCATGTCATCTTCTTCAGCCGCCAGCCGTGAATATGCCTGGACTGTATGGGGTGACCGGTTGCTAGGCAGGCAGAGTATTCTGTTCTTCTCCTTGTCCGTGGCATGTGCTTGAGCCAGGAGCATTGGTAAAGCCTTCTCTGAAGATGAAGCACAGAATAATAGCACTCAAAACTTTTATCCTTTTTATCCTTCAGCCTTTTGTCTCTTGCCTTCAGTGAGTGGTTGCCCCTAACCTAAAGACAACATACTGTGTTATTACTAACATACCAGAGGGAGCTGTGCACACACAAATGACCCTGTCTCTTTTTGTGCCCTGGCACCTTGTCTTCCCCAAGGGGGACTCTGTGTGACCCATAGAGCCATCAAAGAAAACACGTTTACTTACCAAGTTTTTCTCCTTATCTTTTAAAGACATAACTTCTCTACCTACTGTTTCTCCCACTTGAAACATACTCTTCTCATTGTGGTTTGGGAAACACAAAGATAATTTTATGAGGACATTTTCAGTGTTCGTGCTGAAGCCCTGGTGATCCATGTCAACCTGATTTTATGCATTTATCTTTCCAAACTCAGGCGCTTCCTTTCATCAGATGGATTTCTGGCCTGCTGGCAGTCAGTCATTTCCTAACATATTAGGTGTCAGATTTTGTGGTATTTAATTTGAGCATAATCCCATTGTATACAGATTGCTTTGAAGTTTCTTCAGGATTCGCTAAATCATCTGCACGTCCATTTTTCTGCCCTGTATGGGTTTTTCCAAAGTTTAGCTTCCTTAAAAAACGAACAAAATGGTGGCTAACGCCCGTAATCCCAGTACTTTGGGAGGCCGAGGTGGGTGGATCATGAGGTCAGGAGATTGAGACCATCCTGGACAACATGGTGAAACCCTGTCTCTACTAAAAATACAAAAAATTAGCTGGGCATGGTGGCACACGCCTGCAGTCCCAGCTACTCAGGAGGCTGAGGCAGGAGAATTGCCTGAACTCAGGAGGCGGAGGTTGTGGTGAGCCGAGTTCGCGCCATTGCACTCCAGCCTGGGTAACAAGAGCGAAACTCCATCTCAAAAACAAAGAAAAAGATCTACCTTATCAGCCTCACTGCAGCACTCCACTTAATGAAGTTCAGCTAGTTTGTTTTCAGGTGCTTTAAATTCACTGATGTTTCTAGGAACTTTGGGATGATTGATCTCTTGACCACCTATCCAGTTTGCCAGGGTGCCCCTGGGACCTACCCTGGCATCCAGGGCTTGTTCTGCCTCCCTGCAGCCAGTTGGGTGCAGTGACTCTCCATTTCTCTTTCTCAGTGCAATCGCTTCAATACTGAGGGCCTGGCTTGACCAGTGTGCAGAAGACTTCCGAGAGCCCCCTCACTTCCCTTGCTTACAGAAACTGCTGGATTATCTCACACGGATGATGCCGGGCTCTGACCCAGAAAGAAGAGCACAGAATCTTCTTGAGCAGTTTCAGAAGCAAGAAGTGGAAACTGACAGTGAGTACTTGTTTGCTCACAGGGAAAAGGCTAGGTGCTGATTCTGCAACCTGCATGCTGGATTAAGGTTCTCCCTGTGCTGGCTAATAGGAAACCTTGGTACCCTCAAAAGGACACATGCTGGAGGGTTGGCTTAGGTATAAAATTCTCAAGGTTACCGAAGTGCTAATTGTGGAACCTAGAATTTTAGACAGAGAAGGGAATTTTCAAGACTACCTAGTCTGGCTCCCTCATTTTATGAATGAAGAAACTCTGGAAACTTCAGTTCAGAGAAATTAAGTAATTTCCTGAGGTTTCTTCTGTTATTCTCTTCAAGAAGAGAGTCTCCTTGATGAATTTTTAATCTTCCCTTATCAACACGTACCATGCTGAACCTGAATTTGCATTTTATTATCTGCTTACTGGCTCCTTCTATCCTTCCATCACAAGCACCCCCATCTAGTGGTCAAGGAATTAAGTCCAGTTCTGATCCTGCCCTCCCGAAAGCTTGGAAAAGGTCCTTCAGTATGGAAAAACATCACTGTAACAGGGCCCCTGCCAGTGCAGACCGCCATCATTTGGCATCTCTGAGGGCCTCATCGAAGGAAGTTTTTGTGGCTGTGTTTTCCTGTTTGAGGAATTGACTGCCTGTTTTCAGGACACAGGAAAGACAACCACTGCAGGTCATGAGGTGCTTGGAACTATCAGGCTGTGGAGAAGGTCAGAAAGAGGCTGGAACAGCCTTCCAGCGTGACATTGTATCCCCTCACTGGGGTGCTGGGTGACAGTTGCCGTGGTGGCTGACCCACTTGGAGCTCCTGACAGGCATTTCCCTGAAGGGATGCTTGACTTCATCAGTGAGGGAAAGGAAATGTTCCTCAGCACCAATAAGAAAAGCTGAATTAGCTCCAAAGAAAATAGACCTAAATTCCAAACAATACCTGCTGAATTTTTTATGGTTGGGGGACCAGAGAGAGGGAAATGCAATTGCATCATTGGACGCTGACTGCCAAATACTCTATATCTCAGATGACTTCATCTGCCAGGAATGTTTGAATACCAGGGGCACTCCTCCAGCTGCGGACCTCAGCTCCCTTCAGGGCCTCCATGCCTGGCTCTGTGCTGGAGTGCAAAACACTATGTTGGAGCCCAGCTATCCCCACTGGGGCTGCCCCTGGCTCCGAGCCTAATTGGGGAACCGGTGGGACCAGTCTTTCATTGTTTCTAACCCAGGGACTGCAAGGCAGAGCTCACTTGGCAGGCTGAGGCAGGGGAGAGGTTCCCATGTGCTTGTTTTACTCAGTTTTACTCCTGCAGAAGCAGCAAGCTCTCCTATATGTTTTTAAAAAGTGAAATTGTGCTTCATGTTTTTACTTACATCTGGAGGAGAATCAAAAGCAAAAAGAGTGAAGAAGAGGGAAAGGATCGTGTAATCTTCATGCACAGCAACATTATAGACACACAGTGGGCTGCTGTGTTTGCTGAATGAATGAATGAATGAATGAATGAATGGGAAGATGAAGCCTTAGCACATACCCTTCTCCTTGGTTGAAGTGGGTTAGGCTCTGCATTGCAGGGCAATTGGGATATATTTACGTATTTGTTGACAAGAGGCTGGAGAGGCCCTTTCTGAACCTTTATTTGGGATCCCAAGTTTCTAATTACCCCACTAAATGAAACAGTGCCAGAGTTGTATGAAGGAAGAATGATGAAATTAGATTGCTCAAAACCCTCCGTGTCATGGGGTTTTAGCTTCCTTTAGCTTGTACCTGTTTGTGTCCCAGACTCTGGGGATAGGCAGTGATCCCCTTCTGTGTTTTCCAGTCATAACCCAACCCCATTCGCATCTAGACCTTCAAGCCCTGGGTAAAGGGGCAATACTTTTTTTTTTTTTTTTTTTGAGACGGAGTTTTCGCTCTTGTTACCCAGGCTGGAGTGCAGTGGCGCATCTCGGCTCACCGCAACCTCCGCCTCCCGGGTTCAGGCAATTCTCCTGTCTCAGCCTCCTGAGTAGCTGGGATTACAGGCACGCGCCACCATGCCCAGCTAATTTTTTGTAATTTTAGTAGAGACGGGGTTTCACCATGTTGACCAGGATGGTCTCGATCTCTCAACCTCGTGATCCACCTGCCTTGGTCTCCCAAAGTGCTGGGATTACAGGCTTGAGCCACCGCGCCCGGCCTTTTTTTTTTTTTTTTTTTTTTTTGAGACGGAGTTTCGCTCTTGTTACCCAGGCTGGAGTGCAATGGCGCGATCTCGGCTCACCGCAACCTCCGCCTCCCGGGTTCAGGCAATTCTCCTGCCTCAGCCTCCTGAGTAGCTGGGATTACAGGCACGTGCCACTACGCCCAGCTAACTTTTTGTATTTTTAATAGAGACGGGGTTTCACCTTGTTGACCAGGATGGTCTTGATCTCTTGACCTTGTGATCCACCCGCCTCGGCCTCCCAAAGTGCTGGGATTACAGGCTTGAGCCACCGCGCCCGGCCAAGGGGCAATCCTTAAATCACATACCTGCCACCAGCACAGGCAGATACCCACATGCTGCCTCAAAGGGGAAGTGGTGTAGGGTCCACTCTCAGAAGCTCCTTTTCCCTTCTAGGGAATGAAGAAAAGCCACTGTGACTTTATCCAAGATGCCTAATAGTCTTTTATTCTACAAAGAAAGAAAGAAAAGGCTCAAAATATAAACGTTCTGGGGGAGTAGTAACATGCTGATTTACATTCTGCTAAGATATAGCTGAGTGTAACTAGATTTTTCTTTCCTTGAGAACAGGTTTGACAGGAAAGAGCACGAGGAGTGTGAAGGGGCTGAGGTTGGGAAACAACCTGGCACTGGGGAGAGGTTCCAGGAAAGGAAGGCTGGGGATTTAAGTCAGAAAAACTTGATCAAATGCAGGTCTTTCCAGATGGAGACTGGCGGTCCTGCCCCAGGTGTGGGCCCTTCCACTTGTTATTCAGAGTCCTGGGTACTGATGTTCTTTTCAGGCTGTTCCCTATGTGATTTGCTAATTGATGACCTTGTTTATGACAGGTTCAGGTGCATTTAGTTGAAGACTATTGTGCTTCATGTAATCTTAGATTTGGGTGGAAGTTGAAAGTGACCGAACATTTTGAGAATTTTGAGGGCTTTATCAGCATTTCTAACACCAAAATGGTTCATTTTATCACCTAAAATCTGGCCCACCTTCATGGAGAGTCCTTCCAGGCTTCTGGTTATGAGTTGCCCAACAACCAAGAATTGCATGATTGGGGTTTAGGAGTTAGTTGGGTTAGTCCTGGAGCTAATCTCATCAAAGAGTTTGAAAGAGCCCTAGATAAAGGGCTCTCTAGACCAGGTGTCCCCAAACATTTTACACAGGGAGCCAGTTCACTGTCCCTCAGACCGTTGGAGGGCTGCCACATACTGTGCTCCTCTCACTGACCACCAGTGAAAGAGGTGCTCCTTCCTGAAGTGTGACGGGGGCTGGATAAATGGCCTCAGGGGGCGGCATGCAGCCCTAGGGCCGTAGTTGGGGGATGCCTGCTCTAGACTTTGCCTATCCTGTTTCTGCTCTTGGCCTAGGAGCCAGTGGTTTGTCAGAGTGAGAGCATAGAGGCCTCTGATCTTAATAGAGAATCTAAGAACAAGCAGAGATGGGAAGATCTCCATTGCTCTCAGATGTATTGTGCTTGTGGTTATCTCGCTGTGAGTATTCTGGAGGACTGGCCCTCTTCTTCCTAAATAAAAGAAGTCTGATGACTCTGTAAACAAGATTATATACACTGGCCTGGCACCAAATTACTAATCTTTTCCATATGTGAACAGATGGGCTTTCCAACACGATCTCCTTCAGCCTGGAAGAGGAAGAGGAACTGGAGGGTGGAGGGTCAGCAGAATTCACGTGCTTCACAGAAGATCTCGTGGCAGAGCAGCTGACCTACATGGATGCCGTATGTCTTCTCTTTGTGATCAGATGTATTTTCACTTAAAACATGGGGGAGTGATGGCACTAGTAGCATGGGGAGAGCAGTGGAATAATGTGGTTTAAGTCTTTTTGAATCCTTGAGGGAGGCTGAGCCTGGAGACGCAGAGTTAAAATGTGATTTGAATCAATCATCTGAATAATTCAGGCCTGAGCTCTTCTTGCAATTCTAGGAGAAGGTGCTTTTTGCTTGGAGCTCAAGACGACACAGAGGGAAATTAGAATTCGAATCCTAGTGAAACAAAATCTACCTGTTCCTTGGGTATTTTTCTCACTTTGCACTCATAAATATTTCAAGATCTGAACTGTTTATTTGGAAGATTTTAAAGGGGTTAAAGTATAAGTTAGGATACAATAAATTCACAGAATCCACATGTGACTGTATCTGGCCCTTATTTCCATGTGTGCTTTCTGTACTTTTGAAGTTTGAATGTTTTTGTGAGCTGGACATATTTGAGTATGTCAGTCACATTTCATAGGTTGGTGTTAGCTGATAAATACAAGGAAAGAAAAGAGGATTGTGAGGAGTTATCCTGGTGGTTTTAGCTCCTCTGCTTTACCACTTTAGAGAAGGCAGCATGAAACACGGTGGAGATTTTTCTTCTAATGAACATGATCCATGAGTATATTAATTATTTACTTTTGTCTGTTGAAATGGACACCATGAGGTAAATCAAGTAGAAAAGGGATATCCTGCCATTCACAAAATGCCAATTTACAGACGATCCAGATGACATGCTTTGCCTTATGTAACACCTGTGTTGTCCTTAAAGTCAGTTCCTCTCTTCTTCTAGCAACTCTTCAAGAAAGTAGTGCCTCACCACTGCCTGGGCTGCATCTGGTCTCGAAGAGATAAGAAGGAAAACAAACATTTGGCTCCTACGATCCGTGCCACCATCTCTCAGTTTAATACCCTCACCAAATGTGTTGTCAGCACCATCCTGGGGGGCAAAGAACTCAAAACTCAGCAGAGAGCCAAAATCATCGAGAAGTGGATCAACATCGCTCATGTAATTGTCTTTTTATAAAATATTCTTTGTGTTTGATAGATGCAAGAGACTACTACACCACTTTTTTAAATGGCTTAGCTGTTTGGTGAAAAAGGCAGTCAAGGACAGGCGCGGTGGCTCAAGCTGTAATCCCAGCACTTTGGGAGGCCGAGGCGGGTGGATCACAAGGTCAAGAGATCGAGACCATCCTGGTCAACATGGTGAAACCCCGTCTCTACTAAAAATACAAAAAAATTAGCTGGGCATGGTGGTGCGTGCCTGTAATCCCAGCTACTCAGGAGGCTGAGGTAGGAGAATTGCCTGAACCCAGGAGGCGGAGGTTGCGGTGAGCTGAGATTGCGCCATTGCACTCCAGCCTGGGTAACAAGAGCGAAACTCCGTCTCAAAAAAAAAAAAAAAAAAAAGGCAGTCAAAAGACCATATGTGAGAGCCCACTGGATTTTTGTTGTTGTTCCAGAGCAAGAAAAAAAGTTGCCTTTCTAAACGTGGCAGTTTATTTCTTTGCCTCTTTTTTTAAAAAAAATTGGACCCTGGCTTACTTCCTCCCAGTTAGGGGCCCTCACACTGCTACCTCTCCAGAGTAAGACATTCTGCCTGCTTTTCCCTTTGCATTCACCACAGACTGAGTGTTGGTTTCAGCAGCACGTTCAGTAAATATAAATGGATGGTCTGCATGTCAAACAGATGGCTCTTCCACCCAGAGTGATTACCCATGCATCCTTCCAGTACCTGGAGGCATTACATCATCTGCAGTTTTGAAGAGCTGGTACTTGCTCAGAGTCCTGAATCTCTTTTCTAAAGGACGGAGACACTTACAGAGATCTCACATTAATCTGAGGTCTTTCTGAGAGCCTCCAATCTGAAGTTGGAGAGGAGGAGTCTGTTCCTAGGCCTGAATTACATTGCTTTGGGTGTTGGAGTCTAGTCTTTTGGATGAACTGCTTACATGCCATGGGATCTCGGCATCTTATATCATGCCTGAGAAAATGTCAACGGTGTGCAGTCAGTTGGCCACCAAATATTTTGTGAACTCCTAATTTGTGTAAACTACAATATTCTGTACTTAGAGGACATACTGGGATAGAGCATAACTATTTGTTTACAGGAACCTGTACTCCATAAAAGTGGAGAAGAGAGAAATCTTTTCTGATTGGGGTGATCAAGGAAGGTTTCACAGATGAATTGACATTTGAAATTAGCTTTGAATAATAGATAGGATTTTTGGTATTTGAAATTAGAGAGGTGTTTTTTTTTCCTTAGGCAGAAGAAATTACATCCGTAAAACAATGATTCTGAAAAATTATTATGTAAATATTATATTAATTTGTGCTCTGGGCTATATGGGTCAACTCTTAACCAAAACACATTTTGCTTTATATCCCCTTAAATACATTTTTCCTTAAGCACCTATTTATAGGGCATAATGTTACATTTTCTTTTATTGTCTTTGGTTAAAGAGCAGAGACACAGTTATGCCAGAGAATTTGCCTTATTTTGAGTCTTCAGATGGTCTGTTCTTACAGACTTCTTAGAGTATGACAAAAGTGTGCAAGAAACAGTATAAGTTGCATAAACAACTTATTATATATTTCTCCTATTCTAAATCGAGCTTATCGCTCAGCAAGTAAGAGATACAAAAGAAGTTCTGAGTGACATACAGCATGGAGCTTCTCTGTTTTCTTAGAATGATAAGGATTTTTTTTTTTTTTTTTTTTTGCCATAAATGTCACAGCACCTCTCAAAAGCAGACTGTCTACCCCTAATTCATTCAACTACTTAGGCTATAGCGAGAATGTAGCATTGGTGTATATGACATAGTGGGACTCAAGCAATGACTTTTGGTCCAGATTGAATATAAATTGTGTATTTAATGTGGTAATAAGAAATGCAAGTTGAATCATTTGAAGTATATTTCAAATCCCATATCATGTTCTAACAAGGCCAGGGCCCCTTACTTTTTTTGGTGATATCATTTCCTTGTATCTTTTGAAATTATGTAGGGAAATGTAGTAAAATAATGAGACTTATAGGTGATTTGCTACCAAGATTTATTTTACTTTCCCTGCATTCATCATCATCATCAATTTCTTTTGAAAGGATGCTTGAAAAAGTATATTTTTCTGACCTAATATGACTATTTTCTCGGACTGCCCTTCATGGTGTGTTTTTACTTTTGCATCACATCTCCTGGAAGATGATGCCTCTTTTTCTAGAAATGGGACCAGATGCCTTTTGTACTCCTTTAAACCCTTAGTTTAAACTTCTTTTTGAATAATGTGTTCCATGTGTTTATTGCAATTTGTATGATATATCTGTGCCTGAGTTCCTTTATTTATTGCAAGTTTCCTGATTTTTAGAGTATAGCTTTTATGAACCGAAACATGCTCCCATAGGCTTAGTTTCCAGATTGGAATTCAGAACATTTCTCTTGTTCTTTTCCCTGCCCTCCCCACCCCTCCCCACCCCTCTGCTCCCCTCCCTCCCTCCCTCCTTTCCTCCCTCCCTTCCTGCCTTCCTTTGTTTCTCTCTCTCTCTGTCTCTTTTCTCTTTCGTTCTCTCTCCTTCTCTTTTTCTCTTTATATCTTTCTAAATAAGGGGAGGACATTGAGGCATCTAAAAAGGGTAGACATGACTTTTATTAAGTACTTTGGCATTTACTCTAAAGAAAATATGTGAGGGTTTGTTTGGCATCGTTTTCAGTGTCCAGATTTTGGCATGCTAAATTAGAGTGTGCTGTTTTTCCTTCATATTCAGGATTAGCATTTCTTTGTGAAATGATTCTCAGTGATTTACATTTATGTCCAATCACTCCAGACCTCTTACCCGAGATACTCTACACAAAGCCAAACACGTGCTCACACGGCGTACTCACTTGTAAACACTGGATCTATTACACTGTCACATGCCTATAGATGAAGCATCTCCTTTGACATAAGGCCTGGTCCACTCTCCTCACATTGCTACCTTCCCTATGCCAGCCAAGAATGGGACTTTCTCCCTGTCTGTTTTGCTGACCCTGCTATTCAGTCACAGGACTTTGACTCTGAGATCACTAACTGCTGATGCTACAGGCTTCTTATGGTAGCTTAAGTTTTGATAGCAAACCTCTCTCCTTACCCAGAAAATGGCATCCAGAATGTTTCCTCTTCTCTTTCTATTTTGTTTTAAAATACTGCCAAAATGAATTTTATTTTAAAAGGCCGAGTTATTTTGGAAGCATTGAAGTACCAAGGTGTTTTTGAATGTTTATGGTTGCAGGACAAGCCAATTTGAAACCAAATGAATGTGTATAAAAATATTCCCCCTTGGCTAAAAGCATAAATGCCAAAGTTCAACTTGTGGTGAATTTTTATTGCCAAGTTATATACACCTCTGTGGACAAGGGTTGGTTACGAGATGTTCAACACCATCTGACCTCAGAGCTGCTGCTGCCCAGCTCATTTTGTGGATCTAAAGAAGATCTAAAGTGATCTTTCATGCGTATTTTTAGGACATCTGTGTGCTTTCAGCAGAGGAAAGTTGCTCTTTCTAGCATGGCTCTGTAGACTTACATCCATTAGTGTTTTTACTAGGAAAGCTGGAAACTATAATACTGTAACAACAACACAAAAAAATATATTGACGGGAGAAAAACAAGCATACCGTGCCAAAATCTATAATGTGCTTCGATGACTGGGGTGGGAGGAAGGAGCCACTTTTTGATGTTCAGTATTTATACAGCTGCCTGTTTAGTGGTAAGAATTCATAGCAGCTGTGATACCTCTAAAACAGGAAACCACCAAGTCACTGTACTATTGATAGTTAAATGCCTTTTATGTTTTAATCACTCCCCATACAGGAATGTAGACTCCTGAAGAATTTTTCTTCCTTGAGGGCCATCGTTTCGGCACTGCAGTCTAATTCCATCTATCGGTTAAAAAAGACTTGGGCTGCCGTCCCAAGGTAAGTTCCCAAGTGTCTACTCTACTTTTCGTTTGGCCGGGATAATTAGTTGTTGTGATGGGTCCTTACCTTCATAGCTCGAATCACATAACTAGAGGAACATCTTTGAAATCCTCTATGTGTTTCAGGCAGAGTGCATCTTACACATAATCATTAGTGACTTTTGAGGCAGGGCTGCTGTAAAAATCAAACTCATTCTAAGTATACCAAAGCCAAGATGATTGGCTTTGGGGATGATTTGAAGGATGTGCTTACTATCTGGATTTTGAGGGATAAGGTTGTGGAATGATGGTTACAGCGATTTGCCATTACTTCTGGTTATTTTTCAGCCTTACTGCAAAGCCCTAAGCTATTTTAGGATTCAAGGGGTAATATGTGCAGATAGGACATTAGTTCTTGATAGTCAGTAGAAAACTAGTTGTCCTTTTTGTTTCAGCATTTTAAAAGCTATCTTATTGACATTAAAAACCTTTAAATGTTCTTTCCTAAGTACTTGAAATTATTAACCGACCACATCCTGTGCTGTCTTTCTTCATATTTCTTGGTGCAGTCTTTGAAACAGTTAATATAATTTCCTGATTGATGCACTACTGCCATCTCCTCCATTTCCAGAACTTCACTGTAGATCAAAGAACTTTGTAAAAAGGAAGGAAAGGTGAGGGAGGGGGCAATTCTGATTCTCTATCACTACAGATTTCGAGGCTGGAGATTGTGTCATGAGTACAACTAAGCCAGCTACGTTCAACAGGTCTGCCCAGGTTTGAACTAGTCAGGAAGTTAGGATATATCAGGGAAGAATGTAGAAATTCTGTATGGTCTATACTGCGTATGGTATAGTCATTCTCAGTTAAGAGGATAGGGAGGCCAGGTGGCATCCCAGCCAGCTGCCTTTGTGGGGCAGAATGGAAGGTCTGCGTCCTCAGTTTCATAAGTTTGCTCACAGTTGATCAAGCCCTAAATGACACTGTTAATTGACAAGAGCCCCAAGCTGGTAAACCAGAGTTTCACAAATTTATGTTGAAAACTGGGGGCCAGAATCTTCAAGCTTGCTGATAAACTCATATTCTCACTCAGGGCAGATTCTACCTGATGGAAGCCAAATTATTTATTAGGTGATTCTTGATGGGTAAAAAGAAGAAACTAAATTGGGTGTTTGTAATGCCTCATGTTACAGAGCTGACGAAGCTACTCCGAAGCTCATGCTTTGTTTATGACACGAATAACGATCAGTACAAGAACCGGCAGGCTTTTCAAAGTCCAATGCAATTTTCTTGATTACTACTCTTTTCTTGGATTCTTTCTTCTCTTTATGATTTTGAATAATCAAGGTGATTGTGTGTGCTAAAGAGAGATTAGTTGGTTGATTTTCCTGTACACATTTCTCCTTAAGAATGATGGGGTCATATAAAGTCATTACTTGATAGGCCCTGGTGAATACTGTGGGAAAATCAGAAGCATGCAGTGTCCCTACCCTCCACACCTCCACTTCCCGTCTTCTTTCCCTCATCACCACTCTCCACCTAACTGTAGTATCAAAAACAAAAGGACAGTCAAGTGTTAAAATGTAGCCTCACTGGATTGATTGCAACCTTGTCTGATTGCCATGAAAGGTTAATCTTGCCGTTCTTTGGTGGTTGATAAAAAGAACACTAAGGGAAGTCATGTAACCAGCCTAAGATTTCTTCCACAGCAAGTTTGAGACTAAAACATGAGCAGAAAAAGTAATGGACTTGTATCTTAGTCTCCTGGGTTGCCATATGAGAAGGTTTATTCTAGCTGGCTTTTAAAACTGTTTTCTAAAGACAAATGAAAAACCCTCTAAGCTGCATTCTGAATAATGTTTCTGGTTTGTTTCTTAGTTAGTTTGTATGTGTTTTAGCAAGGACACTTCAGAAGTGTCACAGTTCCTTAGAGAAGACACTTCTATATCAGCTTTACATGTTCTCCATTGCGTCTCTACATGGTGCATCCATACAATGAAATATCATTCAGGCATAAAAGGAGTGTAGTACTGGTACGTGGTGTAACATGAAGGAACCTTGAAAACATGCTAAATTAAAGAAGCCAGCCACGACAGCTGCACATCATATACTTGGACTTATATATGAAATGTCCAGAATCAGCAAATCCGTAGACACAGAATGTAGATCAGTAGTTGCCTAGGGTTAGGGCTGAGAGGATGGTAGGGTCACAGGGTGATAGCTAAAGGGCAGAGGGCTTCCTTTTAGGTGATAAAATATTCTAAAATTGATTGTGGTGATGACTGCATAACTCTGTGAATATACTAAAAAACACTGGACCGTACACTTCAATGATATGTGGATTATATTGCAATAAAGCTGTTATTTTAAAAAAGAAAAGGAAAAAGATATCCTGTTTTGTTATCACTTTCTCTATAATCCTTTACAGTTATAGCTTTCAGTAGACAGAGAGGATATCTATTTATTTCTCTTCATTTAGGGCCACATATAACTAATTTTGAAATTATTTTCTCTAAAATATGAATAGCTTAATGGTTTTCATTATTATTTAGGGTAATCTTACATTCACTGTAAAACAAACAGGCTCTTAATAATGGTTTTTTTCGTAATAATGAAAATATTGCATACATAGTGATATTGCCCCTATTAATTCTTTGTTTTCAGAATTATGCACTCATTAACCCTGGAGGGTGTGTAGAGAAAACCATGAGGCTGACAGAGATGTAGTGTCCTGGAAAGGGAGCGGGCAGAGCAGGTGCTTTGCAGCTGTGGTTTCACTCACTTTCCTAGCAGTCCCATAAAAGCGCTGTCATATTTCCCTTGTAGAGACGAGAAAATTGAAGCTCAGCAAAGTTAAGCAGCGTGTCCGGGATCATTCAGAAAGTGAGTGGAGAGTTGCAGTTCGAACTCACCACCTCTGGTTGCAGAGCCCATCCTGGTTCCAACATTCTCCTCTGAGAGTGAATGCTAGCCTGTGAGCCAGAAAATCTGGGTTCCATACCTGCAACTCTCAGCAGTTATTTGTGGAAATTTGGGCAAATCCCTGGTTCTGTTCTTCATCTGTAAACTTAGGGGCCTGGCCAAGATGACCTCCTAGATCTGTGGGCTCTGTGTGTGTTGCTAACAATTTTTTTTTTTTAACTTACTGACAAGAATATGTCCTAATTGAACAACTTGATACCCTAATTGAATAATCCTTTTTTATGATTATAACATACTTGGCTAGGAAATACACCTCTCTCCACATGGGTGGCCAAGCACACCTTAAAAGAAATAAGCTACCCACATAAAAAAATCCATTGGCCTCATCTGTGTTTACAGTACCCACCAACCCTGAGATCAGCACAATCCCTCCTTAGACGTGGGTCCGGAGGACAGCTGGGCTGAAGGTGTCCGGTTGTTCCTAACTCTTCACTGTTAATGTTTTCTTAATCCCTTTTCATAGGGATCGAATGCTGATGTTTGAAGAACTTTCAGATATCTTCTCAGACCATAACAACCATTTGACCAGCCGAGAGCTACTGATGAAGGTGAGGCTCTTGGTGAGGGTGCTGGGTAGCGCTGTCCATAGCTCTGGAATCCATTCAAGGAAGAGTAGCGTGAGGGCTCCTTAAGTTGCTTCAACCTGGAAGAAAGCCTAAGGTAACTAGAAGGCAAAAAGTTTTTAAAATGCAGAACCTAAGAAACTTGGGACCAAGAAAATTCCGAGTCCAGTTGAGCTCTCTCTTTCTACCTCCCTTAGCTTTTCTGTTACACGAGAAGATTGTGAAACTTGAGTTCATGTGTGTATGTATCTCCTTAACAAGCTACTCTGCAAATACCAAGTGCTGGCAGTTAGGTGGGTAAGAGGCCCTGGAATATCCCTTCTCAGCAAAACGTCTCCTAGAATGATAGAGGCCAAGCCTGCCTGCAATTCCACTTCCTTTATTTGGACTAAATTGCACAATCTGTCAGTCAGTCAGCAGCATTTATTGAACACCAAGTAAGTGCTGACTGAGGGATGACACACTCGGTAAAGGTGTAGCTTAGTTCATTTTTCTCTCTCCAGACATTTGTTGAATGCCTACTATTTGTAAAGCTTTGAACCTGCCTCCAGAAATATGAGGATGACTAACACAGACCCTGTTTCCTGGAGTTCACCTTCTAATTGCAGTAAATAGACACTAAACAATAAGAATAAATAAATAGACAAAAAGAAAACTAACAAGTTATGAACAACCATCAGAGGGGAACTAGCATAGACCAAATACTATCCTCATAGTCTTTCTATAAAGTACATGTTATCATCATTTTGTAGATAGTCAAGACTCAAAGGGGTAGTAAACCGCCCTAAGGCATACGACTGATAGGTGGTAGAGCTCAAATATGAATGCAATCTGGTGAGACTCTAAAACCTGTGCTTTTATCACCAAGACATAAAGCTATTTCCTCTGACCTTTTGGGAGTAGGGTACAGGATGGATCAGGTCCAGCTTCATATAGAAGGTAAATTAGTAGTTCAATAAATATTGGTTGAGTACCCATTAGGTGTTGGAAATATAACCATATTAAAGGCAGTGTTTGATCTTAAGAGGATTATAGTCTCATAGGGGAGGTAAAACATTTATAAAATAGTGTGATATTTCCTACCGTAGGGGAAAGTCCTGAACTGGGCAATCAAAAGATGTGATTCTTGTCCTTAATCTCCTTTTCTGTAAATGGGAGCCAATCATCGTATTTGGTCTCTTGAGCTCTTATGATTGTTTTGAAGATTGATTATGGTAAAATACCTAAAAGTGCTATGCAAATTTAAGTTATTTTTAGTATTTGGTGAGCTATATTCATGTACAACCAAAGTATGCATAACAAATGAAAATGAATAGATTATAAGCTGCATATTTGAGCTTAGGGAAAAATTTTGGAGTAGGAGTGAAACTCAGGTAGAGGTGGGGTTCATAAGAAAAGACATCCTGGTGATAACTCTTAGGATAGTCGATCCTGTAAGGGCATTTGTTATGGTCTTCATGACTGTTCCTGCCCTATGTCCTACGTGTCTTTCATGTCTCGGTGTAGATGCCTGCTTTTCTGGAAGCCTTCTGTGACACTCTCAGGTCTGGTTAGGTGCCTTCCCCTGTGCTCCCAGAGAAGCTGTCATTTCTCTGTCCTGGCACTTATCACATGCTCTATTGGAATTGCCTGTCTCTTTACTGGTCTGCAGGCCTCTTGCAGGCAGGGGCTGTATTTATCTTTTCACTCTGTATCCCTAATGCCCAACCAGTGCCCAGCATGCAGTAAGTGTTCGGAAATTATTGTTTGGCTACATGAATTGATGGGTCTTATCATTCACATGACTTTTTAACAACATGTTCACTATTAGCTTTCTTGGAGTAGGTGATACGAGCAGGGCAGTATATGCTGATGCCTGACTTTGGATTTGGACTACCTGATTAGCTGCACACTGAACAATGATTGCTGAGATTGTGTTACTCCCTGCTTCACATCCCCCTGGCTTTGCATACTTTAAATGGAAACCCATCTGGCTGGAAGGAGATGGCTTATGGTCTCCCTGTCAGCAGTAGGAAGCTAGCCTAACTGGAGCCACACATTCAAATCCCAATAGCCCTGAGTCATCCTTCCAAAGCAGATAAGTTGAATACTGTGCAGCTCATTGCCTGGGGGCAGCCTTCTGGCTGAAGCCTCAGAAGCAAAGCTGTATCTTGACATTAAAGATGCCATAAACCTTTCTTAACGCAGAAGTTATTCCAGTACTCTAAGTTAAATTTCTTATAGAAATGGCTCAAATTCCAAAGAAATGAGCAACTTGGCTGTGAATGCATGTGGTCTGTGCGTCATCATTAATGACAGTGAAATGTTTTGGGCAGTCCGTGGGTATCTGTGCGTTCCCTTCCAGTCATCTTGGTTAATCAGTCTTCACGTGAAGTGTACGATTCTGAGTGTTAATTGTTAGCACATTTTAAAAAAATGGAATCAAGGTACTTAGGTCCTCAAAAGGGTCTCTAGAAAACACCACTGGCCTCTGTTTCTAACATGGTAGCTCTGGTTTTATACTGATTTATAGTTTGATAATAATATGATAGTTTTATTTTATTTTACTTTTTGTAGAGATGCAGTCTCACTATTTTTCTCAGGCTGGTCTCGAACTCCTGGGCTCTTAGTTTTAAATGATCTAACTTCTCTTCTTCTGGGAAGATGTAATATGCCACTTGTATAATACGGCCCGGGCAACATGATAATTAGCAAAAATCTGTGGTTTTCCTTTTAATTGTTTTTAAAAATGTTTTCATTTCTTCTCAAAGACTATTTTAAATCTGCTATGTCCTTATGATTTCTGAAATCTAGGTAATTCTAAGCAGGTGAATTATAGTCTGTAAATTTCAAAACATCAGGAGAGAAAGCAGAACGCCACCAAATCTTTGTTCTCATGACTCTTGGCAAGAATATTTTCTTGTTGACTTGATACAAAGGGCTGCTAGAAAGCCCCAGAAATTCAACCCTGATGGGGACGTATGTTCAGTGATACTTCAAAACGTGCTAAACTCAAAGTCAAAGCAAGAGCCTGTTAGAAGTGTGACAGTTTTGAGCTGTAATTGCTGGTAGCTATACTGAGCTTAAGCTAACCAACGTTTACTGAGATGGATCCAGAGCCACCAATAGACAAATTCCTTCTAAAATTAGTAGAAGAGGACCCTCTGAAGCCCAGGAACAACATGGATGAGGTAGCTGAACTCTGCTGAAGATGGATATAAAGAAAAGGTGAGACTTGACCAAGCCATTTGCACTACAGAGAGGGAGAGGGACAAAGGAGGACAGAGGCAGAGACGAAAGGAGAGGAGGAGGGAGTTGGAGATTGACAGAGGAAGAGGGAGGTTTGGCATTTATCCAAACATAGGTGATGATTAAAGTCATGAGATTAGATAATATTTCCAAAGATATGAGTACAGCAAAAAACAAGAGGATGACTTTGACAAGAAGAAGAATCACTAAGAGAATATGAGAACAGAAGACAAGGAGGAGGGGAGAATGAATTATGCCGTCACAAACGCCTATGAAAACTTCCAGGAAGGTTCGAGGGACTGGTGGTGTGAGACATTGCAGAGTAGGAGATTTGGGGCTGAGGAAGGAAAAACGGAAACTCCTATATGTGGGAGATAAGTGGGTTTTCAGTTACATCTCATTTGGAATAACTGGCCCTCATCAGTCGTTAGATCTCCAGCAGGGATGAAGTCTCATGCTCATGAAATCATGAAGTCATGAAATCAGTGAGCTCTCCATCTCAGGTCTTTCTCTCCCCTGCCTAATAAGAAGGTTGTCCTAAGTGCTCTTTTGAGATCCCTTCCATCTCTTCTATTCTGTGATTCTTAGGAGCCTTTTAACTTTTCAGAAATCCTCTTTAGGAATTTTAGCTATGTCTACAATAAATTTCCCATACATTATTCCTCTGCCCGTGATTGACATACTCGAGGGAGACCAGAAGGACCGACACACTGGAAAGAGATGGGCACTCGTATTCAAGTTAGACAGAATTGATTTCTAACCCTAAGCAAATTCTCAAAAATTTGTGAGGACTCACAACTACCTAGCACAGGAAACACACATATTAGGCTGCTTTCTTTTTTTTTGGAGGTGGGGTCTTACTGTGTTGCTCAGGTTGGAGTTGAACTCCTGGGCTCAAGCAACCTTCCTGCCTCAGTCTCCTGAGTAGCTAGGACTACAGGCACACGCCACCGTGTCCATGTCCGGGAGAGGCTATTTTCATTCATCCCTGGAAAAGACTATGAATAGAAGATCATTAAACAGTTGTTCTCCTTATTATCATTTGTGATGGAAAGAACTTAAATAGATAATGAGTCACTGTGGGTTCTGTCCCAGTGGTGTACCTGGGACCTGAGTTAAGGCTGGCGAAAGATGGAACGTGTTGATGCTCTGTCACTATCAGCAAGGCCAAGCCACTGAAAAAAATGCTTTTGCAGCTGTACAGTAGTGGAAGGTCACATGCTGTGGTAATATATAAATCTGAGAAAAAGTAACTAAGGAAAAACTAGTACAGAAGTCATCTACTACTGAGTTGTGAAATATATTCCGCCGCTGCCTGCCGCCCATTCATGTACTTCCTGGAAAATGGGAACTTAACAAGACCCTGAAACCACAAAACCAAAAACAGTGTTCAGTCAGCAAACTCATGATTACTCATCACATAGAAGAGTTTGTTGTTAAAATCGGCAGGAGGAGAGAAAGGGTAGCCATGTGTCCTCAGGCACCAGGAGGAAGGATTGATTTGTAAGCATCCCAGACATGAGAGGCAATTTAGAAGAACTGACTAGTGGCTGGGGATGTATGAAAGTTTGGCTTTCATGGATTGGTCATGTAGCACAATACTGGACTTCCTCAGAAAACTTCCGGTGCAAAAGTTTCATTTAGCTAAGAAATGCCACAGAAGTAGTCCCTTTCTTTCACAGAATGCTGGCATCCATTTCAGGCCAAGATCGAGAAATCACAAAATGTACAGAGGAAGTCGATCTTTGTTTTCAGGATATCTGATTACTTTTGAGTTTAATTTGGGATCCGTAGAAATGTCTTCATTTATGAGAATTGCCTGGTTTGTACTGAGGATTGATTTTATAACCAAATCAAGTGATCTTCCTACAAAGGAAGGAGAAGACTGGGTGTGGTGGCTCATACCTATAATCCTAGCACTTTGGGAGACTGAGGCAGGCAAATCACCTGAGATCAAAAGTTCAAGACCAGCCTAGCCAACATGGCAAAGCCCCATCTCTCCAAAAAAAAAAAAAAAAAAATTAGGCATGGTGGCACATTCCTATAATCCTAGCTACTCAGGAGGCTGAGGCATGAGAATGGCTTGAACCCAGGAGACAGAGGTTGCAGTGAGCTGAGATCATGCCACTGCACTCTAGCCTGGGTGACAGAGCGAGACTCCATCTCAAAAAAAGAAAGAAAGAAAAGAAACAAAAACAAGATAATCCAAGACCACCAGCCTCATTATAAATGGACAACTTGCAACAAGCTAGCCAAGTATATATAATATGCATCATGAGAGCCTGCTGGAGGCCTCTTCATTTTGCATTCTGAGCAAGAGTTGTGCAGGGTTGTGTGCGAGAAACTAGGTACCTCTGTACTTCTCTCCACTGTGGCATCCTATATCAGTTTCCTCTGTGTGGACTTTTGTTTCTTAGGAAGGAACCTCAAAATTTGCAAACCTGGATAGCAGTGTGAAAGAAAACCAGAAGCGTACCCAGAGGCGGCTGCAGCTCCAGAAGGACATGGTATGTCTGGCCCTTGTCTTCCCTGACAGCTCACAGAGGAGAAGGGCCACGTGTGGCTGGACTCCCACATGGCACTGGTACCTTTCAGTCTACAGGGCACCCAGGCTTTCAGAAAGCGGCTCCCATTCTCTACCTCATTTGCTCTCAGCAGCCCTGGGAGGTCTGTAGGAGAGAGATGATTACCCCCATTCGACCAGGAGGAATTAAGCACTGGGTTGCTAATCCTGTTTTCTGGAAACGTTGTTTTCTGAAGGTGAGGGGGAGTCTACAGCAGGTAGACTTCCCTCCTTCTTGCAGTCTCTTCCACCCACTCCTGCACTTAGAAGCTGTTCCACCTTGGCCTGAAGGCCTCCTGAGCTTCCTGCTGTAGTCAGCTTCTGATGCAAGGTGACCAAGGAGAAAGAGGGTGTCTTTTTCACAGGGCACTGGTCCTTGTACTCAGAGGTAATGACTCTAGTCATTACTCAGCTCTCCTTACTAATCCCAAGGCTAACCAAATCTTTATATTTTTCAGTATTTAAAGGAGCGTCACACCTCCATCCTTAAGACTGCAAGATAGTTATTTATTTTAAACTCCTGACTTTTAGCGTAAAGTGTAGAAGACCAGAGGAAGGCGATTAGAGACTGACAAGCTAAATATTCTGCTTTAAGAGGATTTTCTCTTTCTTTGGAAAGCTGAGCATAAGAAATGTTTTTGAATGATAGGACTCTTCTGCAACATGAAGCCTATGAAACATTCACAGTGTTACAAACTTTTTGGTTGTTCAAAGACAAGCTAAAAATAGCTGTTACCAAAAAAGTAGATTATTTTAGTTCAGGATGAGACCTTCTACGCAGAATGGGAAGGACACACTGCAGCTGACAGTGAGTTCCTGAAGGACAAAACCCTCTTTGGTATGAACCTCACAATGCAGGTCTGGCTGAGGAAGCAGCCCGCCTCCTATCAAGCAGCCTGGCTTTGCCCTGGTTGAGGCTTTGTGTTCCTGCAGTTGGCTTGATGAGATTTAGGATAAGGGATCCATGGGGACCCCTTTTTACTTTTCCTTCAGGATGATTGGTGCCTTGGTGGCTCCGTGAAGAGAGATGATTTTGAAGGAGATTTAGTGAAATGAATATAGTGTATCCCTGCAGTTGTAGGTACAAGTACCTCCACCTTCATTTCCAACTTTTTCTTCTGTAATAATTTTAGATTTACAGAAAAGCTGCAAAGCTGGAAGTACAGTTTTCCTCCTTGTTAACATCTTCTAAAACCATAGCACATTTGTCCATACTAAGAAACTGACACTGGCATAATACTGTTAACTAAAATCTAGACTTCGTTTGGATTTCACCAGTTCTCCACTAGTATCTTCTGTCTGTTCCAGTTCCCAATCTGGCATACCACACTGTGTTGTGTTGTCTGTCATCCCAGTCTCTTCTGGTCCACGACAGTGTTTCCTTGTTTTTTTTTTGTTTTTTTTGTTATGACCTCAGTGGTCTTAAGGAGTCCGTCCAGGTGCCCTGTAGAATGTTCACAGTCTGCGGTCGTCTGCTGTTTTCTAGTGATTAGACTGAGCTTGTGGATTTTTAGAAAGAATATCACAGAGTGTGGTGCCCTTCTCGTCACATCATATCAAGGAGTGAATGAATGCTTTCAGCGTTGACATCTGGTGTCATGTTGATGGTGACATGAATGATGTTGACCTTTATCACTTGGCTAAGGTAGAGTTTGCTAGGTTCTCCCTTAGAAGTTACTATTTTTCTCTTTCCCTCCTCTGTTCTTTGTGAGTCACTAAGTCTAGCCCAAGGGGTCATTTTAATAGTGAGTGCCCCCATAGTCTTGTGGTATGTATTTCTCCAGGTACTACAGCCAGTGGTGAGGCCATCACCATCCAGTGCCATTCCAAACGACCAGGAGTGTCCACATGCTCTCAAAGAGAACACACATCCTTCTCATTTGAGCCAAAGCAAAACATAAACCCCACAGTCAACATTTTTGAACAGATGTGCATGATCTCCTGGCTTTGAGGCTTGGTTTTCATGACTTTGAAAGTTAGACAGTAGATCATGGAGTTTTATCCTATTTGTGTAGAAATCTTAAAAATGTTATTCATGGAGGTTAGCACCACTGGCCCCCAATTAGGCCTTGAATACATCCATTTGCTCCAGCTTGAAGGTTTCTAAAACTCTTCAACTTTTCAATAACAGTAAAGACAGTTTTGCTCTGGTTGCTCTTCAGGGTGTGATGCAGGGAACCGTGCCCTACCTGGGCACCTTCCTGACCGACCTGACCATGCTTGACACTGCCCTGCAGGACTACATCGAGGTGAGTTCCATGTGGGTGGCGTGACTGGGCCTGCAGCCTTCACTGGATATCCCGAAGAGTAATTAACTTCTGTTCGTATCTTTTGAGGGTCCAAAGGTATATGACACTGTGCTAGCTGTTAGGAGGAATACAAAGAATAACACCAAAGACCAACACCAGAAGTGACTCAAAATCCAGTAGAAAGAATAGTATATTAAAATAAGCAGTGATCGATAGTAGTCGTAGAAATTCAAACAAATGCATTGCGAGAACACAGGAGATCACAATTAATTCTCCTTTTTTTTTTTTTTTTTTTTTAGATGGAATTCTACTCTTGTTGCCCAAGCTAGAGTGCAATGGCATGATCTCAGCTCACTGCAGCCTCTGCCTCCCAAATTCAAGCGATTTTCCTGCCTCGGCATACTGAGTAGCTGGGATTACAGGCGTGCCACTATGCCCAGCTAATTTTTTGTATTTTTAGTAGAAACAGGTTTCACCATGTTAGGCAGGCTAGTCTCAAACTCCTCACCACAGGTGATCTGCCTGCCTTGGCCTCCCAAAATATTGGGATTACAGGCGTGAGCTACCGTGCCCTGCCTACCATTAATTCTTAGGAGGGATTGTGATGAAAAGGGCTTATGAAGGAGTGAGTTTGGGTTTGAACAAGACTTTAAGGCCAGGTGTGGTGGGTCACACCTGTAATTCCAGCACTTTGGAAGGCCGAGGCAGGCAAATTACCTGAGGTCAGGAGTTCGAGACCAGCTTGACCAACATGGTGAAACCCTGTCTCTACTGAAAATACAAAAATTAGCTGGGTATGGTGCACATAGCTGTAGTCCCAGCTACTCAGGCGGCTGAGCTAGGAGAATTGCTCAAACCTGGGAGGCAGAGGTTGCAGTGAGCCTAGATTGTGCCACCATACTCCAGCCTGGGTGACAGAGCAAGACTCCAAATCTCAAAAAATAAACAAAAATCCCCCAAAATTAGCCTGGCATGATGGTGGGCACCTGTAATTCCAACTACTCTGGAAACGGAGGCAGGAGAATCACTTGACCCCAGGAGGTGGAGGCTGCAGTGAGCCAAGGTTGCACTACTGCACTCCGGCCTAGGTGCCAAAGTCTCAAAAAAAAAAAAAAAAAAAAAACCAAACCCATAAGACTTTAATGTTGAGTAGGACTACTTGATGGGGTAGGGAATTAGTCAAATTTGTGTTTCTTCAAATATGCTTTTCTTTTTGTATTGCTACCTGCCGTGAAGTGTTTTTTTCTCTCTCTTCCCCCTCCCTCTCCCCCATCTCTCCGCCCCCACTTCCCTCATCTCCCTCTTTTCTGAAAGGGAAAATACATGAAAACTCAGACAAACAACTTGTTAGTAGCAGCAATTAAATATTAAGCGAAGAAGAAATTTCAGATTTGCAATGAGATTGAAAGATTGCTTGTACATCTGGGTATGTCCTACCCCTGGTTTGCATATGCAGGCAGCCTGCTTTTGCTGTCTCTTAATCGGAGAGTCGGAGTTGTTTTGCTTAGCTCTACTTGCCTCTGGACTTGCCACAGCGTTGTGGACGTGTTTATTCGTTTTGCATTTCCCGACCTCTGTGTCTCCTCACATCCTCTTCCTCAGCTTATCTCAGGAAACACCCATCAGTGTCGGGGAATTCTGGGGAGTAACCAGAGATTTAGAAGTTAAATTCAGCCTACTGAGAATAGGAGCTGAGGGGATGAAGAATTGAAACCTAACTTTTCATGATGCTACAGAGAAATGACTTCCCTTTTGATAAATCATATGAGTCAATGACCATCTGTTTTAGTTACTTTTGGTAAAGGAAAAAAGTGTAATGGAATATTTACTCAAACTTTTATCTTTACTGGTTCTGTAAATGTCTTTGAATCCTGATTTGTAGTTATTTATCATTACTATTTTAGTTGGTTTCAGACGTTTCAAGAGAAGGCTTTCTGCCTATCCTGCCTTATAATAATAAATTAAAAAATTTTTAAAGCAAAACAGGACTCTCTTCTTCCACAGTAGCTGTAATTATAGCATCATTGATAATTGTGACTTTGTTGCTCCTTTGACCTGTTTTAATGTGACCCAAACAACACAAGGTTGTGTTTTCAAGTAGCTTGGTTGGTCACTCTTTTTTTTTTTTTTTTTTTTTTTTTTTTAATTTCTTTTAGGGTGGACTGATAAACTTTGAGAAAAGGAGAAGGGTAAGTAGCGTTGTTGGCTGTGGTTTTCTGTTTTCCTTTGAACATAAAAAAAAAAAAATGAAAGAAATTGGGACTGAAGTTTTTTGGTAGAGGCAGAAAAAAATGAGTTGGCACCTACTGACCATTTATCATATAGCAGTTTGCTTGGCATGCTCCCATGCATTATCCCCCATGAGCCCCGTCAGGTAGTTTTATCATCCTCAATTCAAAGGTGGAGAAGCTGGGACTCAAGAGGTTAAGTTCCTGGACCAGAACCTCTTGGTGGCCAAGCCAGGGTTCTCATCCTGTCCTGACCGGCCAAGGCCCACCCTTTGGCCCCGCCCACTCCTTATCTCCTTTACAGTTAGCTTCAGCGGTAGCAGGCTTGCGCCTATAATTAATAACAATGTCTTGTATACTTGAAGATTACTAAGAGAGCAGACTTTACATATTCTAACCACAGATAACTATGTGAAGTAATGGATATGTTGGTAGCTTGATTTAGCCATTCTGCAGTGTCTACATGTTTCAGAACATCATGTTGCAACCATAAATACAAACAGTTTTTTAATTTGCCAGTTAAAATAAAAACCAGGTTTACCCTATTAAGGATAAGGGGTTTCCGATGAGTAAATGTCATAGAAGAGTTAATAGAGATGGCAAACTCTTGTGGATGTGTTTAAGAGAGGAAAGGAAACAGTCTTCATTTTAGGTGTAGGTAGTTACTCTTTTCCTTTCCTGTCAGTATAGGAAGGTGTGCTCAACATCAGTTCGAGTCTTGCTGTCGATAGCACCGTTCTGAACTGTGCTATTCAAGATAAAACAGTTTGAAAATTTTCCATGATTTTTTGTATTCAAATGGTATATTTAAATAGATATTTAAAAGACTCAAAGGAAAATGAGTGAGCAAAATAATAACTTCACCCTCTAGTACTCTCATTGTTCCTTAGTACTTTCACATCCCACAAATACTGACTGTCCACCTAACGTGAGGGGTTTGGGAATTGCCGCAGAGAAAGACCAGAGCTCCCTGCCCTCATAAATTTCACAATCCAGGAGAGAGAGAGAGACAAATAAATAGGAAGTTAAAATACAGCCTGACAAGTGTTTGTGAGCGGAAGTAGTGGGGCTTAGAGAAGTATATAGGTGGATATCTATCTCCAATTTGTAGGGCCAGAGAACCTTCCAGGAGAAAATTACATTGAAGTGAAAACCAAAAAGGCATAGAGGAGCTAAACCAAGCCGAGCTCATCAGTAACAAGATACTAACCTGGACAAATGTTAACTTTCTGTCCCTTATAGACTGTACTTTTCTCTTTAGTATGAGGGTAAATATTCCTTGAGGATATTAAGACCAAGGGCTGAGGTCACTGGATGGAAAGCTGAGTGCTGGAGAATCTTGCCAGGTCTTGAGTTACTTCTGTCATGTCCTGTAATGTTAGAAAATTCACTTATTGCCCCCTCAGTGCCCCTCTTTGTCCTTTAACATCAGAATAACCCTGGTTAGTAATCTCTTTTCCTTTTAGACTAGGATATTAAACTTTTGGAAAGTTTGACTGTAAAACTTAAACCTAAAGCTTATACGCATTGCTGACTTTAAAAAATTTTTTGCTGAAACATCTGAAGAAGTATAAATAATTTTTGACATAATTACACACTTGCCTTTCTGTGAGTTTTAAAAGACTTAGATAGATGATTTACTGGCATAGTAACTAAAACCTGAGGATTCAGGAAATCTAAACATTCAAGTTTATGAGACCCAGGACTGTTTAGATACTCAGCCCTACCAAAACTTGTTGGCAGGCAAAGGTTGAAGAAGATGGAGATGGGAAACTTGGGAGCTTCCTGATTTAAAGTATTTGTTTTCTTTCTTTTTTAAGAAATAATTAGGAATTGAAATTTTTCATATATTTTATGAAGTACTTAAAACCTTAAAAATCACTTTTCTATCCCAAGTATGAAAATGAAAAAGAGAAAAAGAAAGCCCCCGTGACCTTACACAGTGGCTAGTTCGGGCTGCTTTGGTAGCTTGTTTTGTTCATACAAATTGCTTTCTCAAGGAGAAAAGAGGATTAAAAATTAAAGCATACAAGGACTTTGGAGATTCCGAGTTAGAATTTTTAAGAGTTAGTCAGCGCCTTTATTTTTAAGGAAGCAGTATTTCAGAATCCTCTGAGATGGTTTTCTTCGTCTTTTATCCTAATGTGGTGTATTTTCATGTTGAAAAGATCTATATTTGGTTGGCCTTATTATTCTGTCTTTTAAAAAAATTTTTGGTATTCTGTCTGCTTTAGGAATTTGAAGTCATTGCCCAGATAAAGCTCTTACAGTCGGCCTGCAACAGCTATTGTATGACCCCAGACCAAAAGTTCATCCAGTGGTTCCAGAGGCAGCAGCTCCTGACAGAGGAGGAGAGGTGCGCTGACCTGTCGTTCGTCAGGGCAGAACTGGAGCGTTGGCAAGAGAAATGCCGCATTTCATACCTTGCTGGGTCGTTTAATCAACTGTTTAGTGAGCAGCTGCTAGGTTCCAGGTCCTTGGTTTTCCAAGGTGCATGGTGCGGCAGGAAAAGCTGAGTGGTAGCACCAAGCTGTGCTTTCAGACTCCTGCGTGGCCACGTACTTATCTCTAACCTTGAAGGAGTCATTTGTTCTTCCCTATCTTTGGGAGGCTCATCTGTAAAATGTTTGTTTGTGAGGCAAAACCGAAATCTTATGTGGGAAAGCTCTGTTAGAATGCTTGTCCTCAGTGTTACCACCACCACCACCACCACTGTTAACCGTGTTTGTCCTTCCTGTTGGTTGATGTGACCTTTCCAGGGAGCTTTCCACCTAGAAGGGGTGACAGACTCATGAGCAATTGAAATATGATGGGTAACTAAATTGCTACAGAACCTATGGGAAGAATCTGGGAAAATAAGGAAGCTATAAAGGCATTAATATTTAGGCTGGACTAGAAAGGAGAAACAAGATTTTGCCATAAGAACTGGAAAAGAACATTCCAGACCAAGAGAGGACACAAGCAGACGCTTGGTGGCCTGCCATGCTTGGCATTTGGAGGAACAGTGATAACTCAGGTGTGGTCGGGACACAAGGAACAGATTCAAAATAGTGGGATGGACATAAAAATGCACGTTCGCTCGAGTGCCCCGCCTGCCGGCCCGCGTGCCAATCCCTGTCCTGTGTCTGCTGGTTGGCAGGTTGGTCTGAGGGCCATATGTGGCCCACTGCCTGTTTTTACATCTTTTAATGATTGGGGGGAGAAAAACAACAACAACAACAAAAGAATATTTTGTGACGTGAAACAGTTATTTGAAATTCAAATTTCAGTGTCTACATAAATAAGATTTTATTGAAACACAGCCCGTTCATTTACATCTCATCTATGGTTGCTTTCATGCCATAAAGACAGAGTTTGGTCATAACAGACACCATATGGCTCGCAAAGCCTAAAATACTTACTATGTGGTCCTTTACAGAAGAAGTTTGCCCCGCCCTACCCTAGCCCAGGGGATTTCTTTGGAAGTTTATCATAAGGGAGAGTGAAATTGACAGCAAAGAAGTGTTTACCAAAAAAAAAAAAAAAAAAAAAAAAAGAGGTTTAGAGAAGTATGAGAATGAATTAATGTGAATTAATGACAGCATTTGGATTCAAACCCAGCTCTGCCTGACTCTACAGCCTAGACTCTGAAGATGGCTGTGTCATGCCAGACGCCCTTCCTCACCTACCCAGTAACCAAATACATCTACCATCTAGAGCTACATGCTTTCGTAAAAGGCACTTCGAATCACATACACATTTCTCTTGTGCTTGTGTCAGTTATATCTGCGTGGCAGATAGAGGTCTGAATCCAGAGCATTTTTAATTTAGGATGTTTTGGCAATTTAAAAAGATTTATAGACCACCCTTGCCAACATGGTGAAACCCTATCTCTACATATAGATAGATAGATAGATAGATAGATAGATAGATAGATAGATAGATAGATAAACAGTAGATAGATAGATCTTTATCAATAATGTAATTGCCTATGTCTAATCATTGAAGATTAGATAGATTACAAAGTCCCTTCATTTTCTTTAGGTAAAACTGAGTCATGCGCATGTGCACAAACACACACATACAAAGGAGCAGGAAGGAGGTAGTAGAGAAGAAACAGGAGAGATAGTAGAGGAAGGAAGATTCTTTCCCCTGGCCTAGCAGTGGGATGAGAATTGTCATGTCACAGAAGGGAGTTCGTTTTTGATGCTGCCAGAGTGCAGACATCCTTGCATTTGAAGCATGCAGAACTAAATGGCCTCAATCCGTATGCCAGTGGAGGTGAGTGAGGAGGCACATAGGACAAGCGTGTCAAACCGGCCTATGAAGTCAGTACTCCCTGATGTTTATGATAGAACAACACTTGTCTATATCTTTACTTTGAATGATTAGAGCCTTCTCTAAAACAAAACCAGCACATCCTGTGAATTTAAATGTGTTTTTCAATTCTCTGACTTTGACCTCACGGACCCCCCTCTCTTTCTCAGCTATGCCCTGTCATGTGAGATTGAAGCAGCTGCCGACACCAGCACCACCTCGCCAAAGCCTCGGAAGAGCATGGTGAAGAGACTCAGCCTGTGAGTGTCACCTAGGGGTTCCGGGGGCCCCAAAACGGCCCCATCAGAGTCGGGAGAGGAGATGTATTCAACAGGGTGACCTTGAGCCCGGGTGAAAGTGCAGAGTCCTCGCTCATGTGTGAAAGTGTTTTTCTTTCTGTCGGTGGACGGACGCTTCTCCTCTCCCCTCCCCTCTCTCTTGTGAATCCCTCTCTTCTCCTGCCTGGAGCACTCCAGCAACCTCTTCGTTGTCTTCTGGCTGCCCCTTACCCAACCCTTCATTCTCCACTGAACAGCTGGGTGGTCTTTTAAAATGTACACCGGATTATGTTGCTTCCTTGTATAAAAACCCCTACAACTTTTATTTTTAAATGAAACCTGAACTCCATCCTAGCTTACTAGGCCTCACGTGACCTACCTGCATCCTTCCCTCTCTTAGAACAGTGCCCCCTGTTAACAGTGTCCAGGACGTTTGCACTGGCCGTGCCTGGCCTGGAATGCTCTTTCTTCATGGCTGGCTCCCTCAAATATTTGCAAAAATGTTATGTGCCAAGAGAGAACCACCCCCCGCCGCTTTTTTTTTTTTTTTTTTTTTTTTGAGATGGAGGGAGTCTCGCTCTGTTGTTGCCTAGGCTAGAGTGCAGTGGCGTGATCTCAGCTCACTGCAACCTCTGCCTTTCAGGTTCAAGCGATTCTTCTGCCTCAGCCTCCTGAGTACCTGGGACTACTACCTGGAGCGTTGGCAAGAGAAATGCCGCATTTCATGCCTCCACACCCAGCTGATGTTTTGTGTTTTTAGGAGAGATGGGTTTTTACCATGTTAGCCAGGATGATCTCGATCTCCTTACCTTATGATCCGCCCACCTCAGCCTCCCAAAGTGCTGGAATTACAGACTTGAGCCACAGCACCTGGCAGAGAGAACCCTTTCCAATGTTGCTGTCCACTCCTCATTCTCTTTCATGTTAGCTGCTTCCTCCAGTAGAATGTAAGCAATCCTGAGAATAGGAACTTTTTCTATCATGCTCACAGTTGTATTGCCTGAGGCCAGGAGTTCGAAACCATCCTAGACAACGTAGTGAGATCGTGCACCCAAAAAAAAAAAAAAAATCACTTAAAATGTTAGCTGGGCGTGGTGGTGCATGCATGTAGTCCTAGCTACTCAGGAGACTGAGGTAGGAGGATCACCTGAGCCCGGGAGTTCAACGTCAATATGATTGTGCCACTGCACTTCAGCCTGGATGACAGAGAGAGACCCTGTCTCTAAAAACAAAACAAAACAGATATACATATAAGCAGTGCCTACCTTTCTAAGCACCTAAAAAGCCACCATTATTTTTAATGAAATGAATTAGTTAATATCTTTTTGAGTATTTCGGGGATCAGGATTCTGACTGCTTTTATGGGCATTTGATATTTCCCAGCACTGTCTCCCCACCTACCTCAGTGAGTCACATTGAGACACAGAGGCAGGGCTGGAACATGCACTCGAGTGTTGTCATGTCCCCAATGTGACACATAAAGACCTCCGTTGGATGTGGATAGCAAGGTCTCCCACCATCAGAGGCCATGCACGCTGCTACTTGCTATCAGGTGATATGAGGCATTGTGGATGGGCTGGAACATGTGCCTTAGCAGAAAGCATCTGGAAGATAATTCTATGTTTTGCTCACCCTCTCTTTGTTCAGATGACTGCCCTGGCCTGAACTCTAGATTTATGAGCTTCTGGACTCAGCTCTTGAGGAGAATTTTTCTTAGTATCTTGCTGTCTTTTCATCTTTGCAGATAAGAGGGAGTGAACTCTTGAGATAATCTGAAGGGCCCTACCAAGCCTTGTCAGCTGGTAAGGCTGGCATGTGCACAGGGAAACAGCTCCCTGATAGAGGAGTTTAGAGAGGCAGCCAGTGCCAGGTGTTCACTCTGCTAACTGAGGCAGCAGAAGGGTTTGGGAGCTTCTGGACCCACTATGGCAGTCAGAAGTTCTTGAGGAAAAAAGCAAAAGCTCTCAATGCAGGCAGGCCTAACCTGAGTGCTGCTACCTCTGTCCTCCTGCCTTCTCCCCATCCTCCTTTCTATGAGACTGCTTCTCTGTACTCCTCTCCAAGCCTGAGATCTATGTGTATTGTGCTAGGTGCTCTCATACCCCTGGGTCCTCCCTCTTCACTGACACAGACAAGTGTTCAGTCCTGTGAAAACATTTACTGTGAAATCCAGGAAAGGCAGGACTGCGAGGGTGCTGTGCCCTTCACAAAGTGTGGTGGGCACTCAGTAAGTCTCTTACTAGTCAGATCTTGCTGGGATGACTGTTGGTATCTGCAGTTGAGTTTGGGCATCTATTATGAAAGCACGCCATATGCCCCCATCTTATTTCTTGTACATACAAGAGTCTTTGCATACCATTATTTTTCAAAAGATTTCATGATCTTCTTTTTAGCATGTTTACAAATCTGGGAAATGTATTTTTGCTGTTCCCACACTTAATGGTGCATCCAAAGAGGTTGGAGAAAACTTTGGGTACTTAGGCCTAGTTTGAAAGTCAGAGACGCAGACTACTGAGCCAGAATGAACCTTCACAAAGCAGGACCTTATTGAATTGTAGAAATGGAAGAACCTTTCCTCTTGGAACAGTTTAGTTCAAAGCTAGAGACTCTGAGATGATGGATGGAGGACCACTAGTTGACATCCTTCAAAGATCTCTCTTGTAATTCATAGAGTAGTAAGATAATGGCATTATTTTTGCTTCTGTGAAGATAAACATAGGATTATCTTCCAGATACTTTCTGCTAAGGCACATGTTCCAGCCCATCCACAATGTCTCATGTCACCTGATAGCAGGTAGCAGCGTGCGTGGTGGCCTCTGATGGTGGGAGACCTTGCTATCCACATCCAACGGAGGTCTTTATGTGTCACACTGGGGACATGACAACACTCGAGGGCATGTGCCAGCCCTGCTTCTGTGTCTCAATGTGACTCACTGAGGTAGGTGGGGAAGACAGTGCTGGGAAACATCAAATGCCCATAAAAACAGTCAGAATCAGAGTTCAGCTCATAGCCCTATAGTCCCTGTGGTGCTTAGAGGGTCATAAAAGGGAGACATGAAAAATGGGGCTGCAGATGATGGGGTAGAGATGAGGCACAGCAAAGATGCCCTTGAGCTCTTGGAGTTCAAGCCCATAATTCTTAACATATTTAATAAAGAATGCAGTCATCTTCGCCGTTTGATCGTTGTTATTTTACCGTCAGCTCTTGCCTGGGTTCAGCCCACTTCTTGTTGCCTTGCATGCCGTTCCTTCTTACGTCTGACTTCTGCCCTCCTTTTACCGCTGCTTGCACTGTCATCTGTTAATGGCAAATCAGTCCTCTCAGTCTGAGTCTGAGAAAGTCTTTATTTTGCCCTCCTTCTTGGCATTATATTAGATGGGTATAGAATTCAAGACTGACCGTTACTTCACTCCGCACTTTGAAGATATTATTGTCTTTTGACTTCTGTGATTGCTTTTGAGATATCTGATGCCTGCTTAATTATTATTCCTCTGTTTTATGTTCCCACCCAGGTAGCTTTTTTTTTTTTTTCTTTCTTCTTTTTTGAGACAGAGTTTTGCTCTGTCACTTAGGCTGGTGCAGTGTTGCGATCTCAGCTCTCTGCACTCTCTTCCTCCTTACTTCAAACAGTTCTCGTGCCTCAGCCTCCCGAGTAGCTGGGATTACCGGCACATACAACCACACTCAGCTAATCATGTTGCCTAGACTGGCCTCGAACTCCTGAGCTCTGGCAATCAGCCTGCCTCGGCCTTTCGAAGTCCCGGGAGCACTTTGGGAGCCACTGCACCCGGCCCCCTGTTAATATGAAGAATTTCTTTTGTCTTTGATACACTAGTTTAAGTGAGAGTTCAGTCTTACTCATCCTATTTAGGATGTGGCTCTTGGGTGTGAAGACTGCTATGGTCACCAGTTCTGGAATCTTCTCAGCCACTCTCTCTTCTGATGCAGGCCTTTTCCACCCTCTCCATGTCTTCTGGAGCTCCATACACAGGTATGGGGCTTCCTTATTGCCTCCATATCTTTCCACTGTTCTTTCTATGTCTTTATCTTTGATGATCATTTTTGAGGATTTTCTTCAGATCTGTCATCTAGTATATGATTTTTTTCTTTAACAGTTATGTAATCCTTCCACTGAGTTTTTAAGTCACCACCTTTTTCACTTACAAGCGAAATGTTTTTCACATTATCTTCTTCCTTTGTTAGAATGTCTTGCTCTGAGCTCCAGTTTTCCATTTCTTCTTCTAAGTCTTTAATGTTTTCCAACATACGCATTTTGTAGCTTGGCTTATGGTAGAGATGCAGCTAGTTGTTGGATGAATAAGCACATTATTTTTTTGTTCTAACAGTTCTCAAATGTGAAGTTCTCAGGAGTCTAAGCCTGCTTTTCATTATGCCTGTTGGCTTTCTCTTTCAGTGGAATATTTCCTTTTGTGTATTTTGTAATTTTGTATCACGAGTTTATCTTTATTTATCAGGGAATTCTCTGAATCCTGGGCTGAAGGTATATCCCTCCAGCAAGATTTTTTTTTTAAGAAAAATCTAATTGATACCAGTGGAGTCACCAGTTGAAAGCTGAGTTTTTAACTCCTAGATCACATATAGCAAATTGGAGTGAGGCACAGTCCCAGGTCACACGTGACTTCATAGGACACATTTCCCTTCTTTCCATGCTCAGGTGAAGAGAGGCTCCCTGCTGTCTTCCTATGCTAGTAGAAAGGTATTTTTCCAGCCCATCTTTTTACTAAGGGTACAGCCCTTTGAGGGTCCTGGCTCTATATAGTTTTGGTTCAAACTCCCCACCTTTCATAAACAGAAACCCTCATCTTTGGGCCCTGTGTGTGCATTAAAACCCACATCGCTATTTTGCCAAGATTGGCGTCTCCCACTCCCCCACCCGAGCAGCTGCAGAAGTAGCTCGCATGCTTCTGGTTTTCAGTTCCCTTTTCACATAAGGCCTATAGGGATTTCCCTTCCTACCTTGCAAGCTCGACTAAAAAGAGTTTTTAATATTTCTTACCCAGCTGTTTTATAGAGGAAGGGCTTTTGGGATATTATAGTTCACAGATAGTTGGAAATAGAAGTCTTCCTCCTCGGTTTCTTACCCAAAGCAGTACCATCCATTCTTAGCCTGTGAAGATAATTTTATGGTAGGAAGTGATGCGGGTATGGTGATGGCGTTTTGATCCTGCCAACATGGTCCGTAGACTATTAAAAGGTAGAGCATCACTGGCCTAGAAAGACTTCAGATTAGTGCTGAATAATCTAGGTAGGGCACCATTGACCTAGGAAGACTTGATTAATACTAAATAATCTATGTGTTCTTTGAAGTTGGAAATAATCTTTTGGGACAAGATGTTTACTACTATTTGTTAGAAACTTTATAGTGAATGTCTTCCTAAAATAATCATGACAGAACACACAAGACTGAAAAAACATCAAGGGCTTAATCAACACAAAATATTTGCTTAATCATGGATTCCAGATTTGTAACAGCCCAAATGCTTGGCATTCTGTTTTTTTCCAGGCTGTTTCTGGGGTCTGACTTTATCACCAGTCCCACTTCCACCAAGGAGCAGTCCAAGTCCACTGCCAGCGGGAGCTCTGGCGAAAGCATGGATTCTGTCAGCGTGTCGTCCTGCGAGTCGAACCACTCAGAGGCGGAGGAGGGCTCCATGACTCCCATGGACACCCCTGATGAGCCTCAAAAAAAGGTATGTACTCAACCCTTCTCGTAATTCCTAATGCAGGCACCTGACATACTGTTTGCCATACCACAGCAAGGAATGTCTCTTTTTAAGTGGATCACTCTATGGTATTTTGAAAGTCATGTTTTTAACAGGCATCAAAAGAAGAGTTCAGTTTGGGGACATACTCCTAATAGAAACAGGTGTAAAAGCCCTAAGCAGTTTTGGTGTATTCGTTTGACCTTTGAAATACTGTTCTATACCCACATCTTATGGCACAGAAGTTATTTAGGGGAGGTAGGACAACTTAGAGCAAAAAGTCAGAGATGGAGGTGTGTCAGCTTCTTGGTGCCATATTTCGTCTTAGCTAAGCATTTATCACAATAATGTTGCATAGCAAGCCTCTCCAAAACTCAGTGACTTAAAATAACCACCTTATCTCTCTTATGCATTTGCTGGTTGGGTCATCTGAGTTGGGCTTGGCACTAGGCCACAGATTTGGTCCAGGTCTGCTCCACTTGCCTCTCGTTATTTTTGGAGTAACGGGCTACCCAGGGCATGCTCTTAGCATGCTAAGATGGACAAGCAAGAGGGCAAGTCCAGCTCACAAGCACACATCAAGCCTTTACTTGAGTCAAATCTACCAACATTCCATTGGCTCAAGCAATCATGTGGCCACATTCTACATAAGTACATGAGGCAGAGAAATAGGCTCCAGTTTTAGTGGGAGGAACTCTGAAATCACGGTGCAAAGGACACAGATGCAGGGGAAGATGAGGGCTTGGTAGCAAGGATGCATTCTACCATGTTGGAAAAACGAAAACTGATGAGAGGTGATAAAAGAATGTCCACAGAGTTTCTGTTTTCCATGACTGCATAAAAATTTTTAAAAACCAAAATATCTTAATCTTAAAATCTTAAGACCAGTCCTCTTTTTTTTTTTTTTTTTGAGATGGATTCTCACTTTCTCTGTTGCCCAGGCTGGAATGCAGTGGTGCAATCTTGGCTCGCTGCAACCTCTGTCTCCCGCATTCAGAGGATTCTCCTGCCTCAGCCTCCTGAGTAGCTGGGATTACAGGGTTGTGCCACCACGCCTGGATAATTTTTGTATTTTTAGTAAAGATGGGGTTTCACCATTTTGGCCAGGGTTGTCACAAACCCCTGACCCCAGGTGATCCACCTGCCTTGGCCTTCCAAAGTGCTGGGATTACAGGCGTGAGCCAACACATCCCATCATGATCCGTGTTGATTTTCTGTTCACAGCTGCTTCAATCTGTTGGTCAAAGAGTTTGCATCAGAGAGTCAACTGTGACCTAACTAGAATTTGCAGCATTTGGGGGAAGGTTTCTGGCTAACCAAGCTCACTCCATAGTGACTTCTGGCTCTTAGCATAAGGTAGAACGCTGGTAATAGCTTCATCATTTGGTTTATATCTGCTGCTCTTCAAGGGGACATGTGTGTTGCTTACGTGGTGTTAAAGCAACAGTGGTAATCCGGGAACCCTCAGGTGACTTTGTCATAATGCAGCCCCTCCAGGAAGAGCATCATATTCAGGATTCATCAAACTGAGATGACTAATTTGCTGCTCTAGTTGGACTTCTCACCTTTCTGCTTTGAAATTCAGGGGACACAATCATTCCTGCTCTAGATGTTGAAAGAATTCTGTGGATACCTACGGACTGGCCATGCTCTCAAAAGGCATTTTGCCTCAACCAGGGATGTAGTCACTCTTTGTGACTTGACATTGGATTTGTGAGAATCTGGATCACAGTGTCATCATCCACTTTTTCTCAGCCTCTGAGGTTTTGTGGGCTCCGTTTCTGACAGTAGACATTGTAGGACAGTAACAACTGAGGTGCTACTCACATTTTTGTAGGATTTCTTCCTGTCTCTCCAGGAAGAAGATGGAATCACAGTCACACCTTGTGGCTCAGTGGAAATGTACAATGGTCCAGATACCTTTAAAAACTACACAGAAACCCAGGGTGCTGTGTCTTGCACACCCCTGGCTTCATCATTTTTGTCCCATCCCCTATCACACTGGCTTTTAAAATTCTTGCAGAAGTCATGGCTCTTTATTCTTTGGGTATATGTACCTTTCTCAGAGTCTTAAATTTCTCTAGACCTAAACATGAGTAATTCACTTGGACCCAGGTGGTTCCTGGGCTGCATAATCCCTGCATATTAGCTAGAAAAGGCTCTTGGTTCTCTTGCTTAGCAAATAGCTGGACTGGGCTGACCACATTTCCTTCCTGCTCTGAGAGCCTGTGACAGCCGCCTTCTCCAAAAGTCCTCCAGGCTGTCCCTTTCCTTTCCCACAGGCTACACTGTGAGGTTGCTCTTAAAAGTGCAGAGTCACTTGATTTGCATTCCTTTCTTCATTGCCCTGATCGTGATTTCTAAACATTGATCTCTGCACTCGCTCCTCACTTCTTAAATTCTCAGTAGGACTCTGGGGGCTCCTCAGGCAGTCTGTTTAGAGCTGCTATAACACAGGCATGTTCTAGACTTTATCTTAACTATAAATGTCACTAGAATAATGAAAATCTAACAAAGGAAATAGAGTTTAGATAGAGGAACAAGAAGATAAAAAAGTCAAATGAATAATTGGAAAATGAACCCCTTTGACTAATGTATCTGGAAGGATAGTTATCTTGTTAACTAATCCATCATTACTAGTCCTCAGATTGAGCCACCAGGTTGATTCACTTGGGAACATAAGGAAGAAAAAAAAAAACCCAAACCCAAATAAAAACTAAACCATATTATGATAGAGCCACAGTCAGACCCCTACCCGTGAGAACTGTCACATCAGCTTGCTGGCTGTAAACTAACTGTCCGGTAGAATTGAATGTATAGGCCATAGGAGGAAATCTACAGGAAATAGGATAGTAGAATCCATTTTAATCAGAAGCCTGATAATCAGAAAGCTAAACTTCCATGGAAAGGCAGATAAATGTGAAAGAAATTAGTAAGTCACTTATTTTATAAATGACCTCCAGAATATTTTATAGGATTAACATGGTACGATTTAGCTTAACTCATTCCGGGAAATTGTTTATCATTTTCTACAATAAGAATTGATATTTTAAATTATTCAATTTAATGATTTTTAAAAGTACCTCTTCCAGTAACCTCTTTCTTTGGTTATTGGCATTGCATGCATGAGAAATGTATAGTTAATCAGAAAAGCACATTAACTGTACTACTTCACTCCTTAATTGTCCTTGATACACAACATGCAAATGTGTACAGTTGGCTCTGGTAGCCAGTGTGGAAAGTGGTGAAGCTGCTTAAAGGCTGTATTTCCCTCGGGCAAGTCACTTTTATGTTCTGAGTCTTATTCTCCTCATCTTTATAATGCTCTGCGTTTTGTTCACAAGACAGTTGTGGGATTAAAATGGGATACGCTATACGAAAGCTCATCATAAGCCTCACTGTGCTAAACATACCACGGTCGCGGCCTATCATGTTAATTCATCTTGTCATCAACCACAGGCGAGCCTTGGCCATGAGCTTGCTCTGTGAACATGGCAGTGGGAATCAGGGAGCTTGGGTTCCTGTCCTAGAGGCGCTGTCAACTAGCCGTGTGGACCTGGAGCCCCAGTTTTCTCCCTGGGTCTCAGGTTCCTCAGCAGAACAGGTATGGGGTCAGTTGATGTCCAAGGCCTTTCCAGCCCTGATATTCAACGCAGAGCCATATAATCTGGAGTACTTATCTTAGAAACTTCTAAAAATACAGAACTTTCTCTCCCACTATGAAATCTGGCTGCAGTAGGACTGAATCAACTGCTGATGAGGCTTTTTCCTCCAGCCCCGTAAGCTTCTGACTTCGTTAGGAACCCACATTGCTTCCAATTTCTGGTGTCTGCTGCCACCTGCTGGTTAACTTCCATAAAGCAGCTAAAACCTAGGGAAATAAAGAGAACTGCTTTGCCTCTTGTGGTTATAGAGTGATTAGGTCACACTGAGTCACCGATAGGCATCTACCACTGATGGGGACTTGGAGTACTTACCCCAGGGATGAGATACATATGTGCTGTGGGCTGTCGTGGAGGAAATAACTGAGGTCTATCGGTCTTTATATCTACCTCTAATTTGAAAATTGCAAAGCGGTTGGCCAGGGTTCTAATCTGTTTTCTCGTGGGGTGTGTTTACTCTTCCAGCTCTCTGAGTCCTCCTCATCCTGCTCTTCCATCCATTCCATGGACACAAATTCCTCAGGGATGTCTTCCTTAATCAACCCCCTCTCCTCGCCTCCGTCCTGCAACAACAACCCCAAAATCCACAAGCGCTCTGTCTCGGTGACGTCCATTACCTCGACTGTGCTGCCTCCCGTTTACAACCAACAGAACGAAGACACCTGCATCATCCGCATCAGTGTGGAAGACAACAACGGCAACATGTACAAGAGCATCATGGTGAGGAGCAAACCCCGACCCAGGCGCGGGTCCCCATTTGGATTGTGTGTCTGTGGGCTGCTCAGACCACGCTCCCTTAGTATGCACACGCAGCGTTAGCATATACATATCTGCATTCACACAGAAGGGCCGTGTGTAAACGCCAGGCCTCCTGGGCATAGATGCTGAATGGTGTATTTATATAAAATATACATACGTATATATGTACGTGCAATACGTATAGGATATAATTTCACATGTTAAAAAATGCTAAAACTTACTCATTCAGGTCAGTTATTTCCCTTTTCAAAGTTATTAATTTGGGTGGCTGTGTAAGTGTGTTCAGGGGGTGCCACTGCTTCACACATTCTTGGAGCCTTCCTGTGGAGCTGTATGTCTGCTTTATAATTGCATTTCCACACATTCTTAGCAGCGTACTCCCCTGATGGCAGACTTTTATCACTTGGTCCCTTGGATCAAGCCTAGTTAATAACGTGGATGATCGAGCTAGAAGTACAGTTTGGGTTGATGAAGAACGATGCTTATATATAAATGAGAGTGACCTTTTTAAGCTTCTTGTAACAACTGTGTTTCTGAGGGCAATTGTAAAACTATTTGTAATAATGGCAGTCTTTTGGGAATACACACAGAGCCTCTCGTGGCGATAACCTTGGAAATGTGAGGTCTGGTATGTTTATCACAGGAATATAAACTCCTTAGTTTATGGGAGATAATCATGTGTTGGAAATCACATTATCCTTTGCAGCAAAATCCCACAGCTAATTCCACATCTCTCCTCATCGTTATCACTCTCGCCTTTGAAGGCACAGTGAGTGCTTACAAGCTCAGGTCTGAATATGACGTAAGTGATATGGAGGCTCCACAGAAAAGCTTCGCCAAAGCATTTATTGAATCAACAAAACAGCAACAAGTGATTGCATACTGGTCATTGGACCAGGCTTTGGGGATAGGGAGATGAGTGAGACATTTCTGTCTTTAAGGAACTTTTAATCAGAAAGGGAGATCACAAAGCATTATTCACAAGGTACTAAATAATAGAGTCAAGACCAGGTCGTAGGTTGCGCTTGCTGTCTGAGCATCGGGAGGGTAGTTAGCAGAAGATCCTCTGCCCCTGCCTGAGCTTCCTCCTTCCCCAGCAGATGGGCTGCCTCTGTGAGAGTCACCTCTAGGCTAGCCCCTTCCTGTGGCCCTTTCTGTTGCACCAGCTGATGCCACTTACCTTTCATGAAAATCCTGCCAGCCCGTGTCACAGGCTTATTCTGGAGAGACGACACACTGCTCTTGTGCCCTCATTCTCATCGTCAGGCCTCTCAGCAGAAAGTCTGCTCCACGGGAAGTCCCTCTGTGAAATGTATTATGCTGTGTGCCATTGACCAGAGGATGGAAATAAATCAGTCTGGTTCAGGCGAGACTAGCAGTTCACAAACTTTTTGTTCTCAGGACCCGTTTCTACTCTGAAACAGCATTTAATATTCCTAAGAGCTTTAGACTATGAGGATTCTATCTGTTGATATTTACCACATTAGATATTTAAACTGAGAAACTTTCAAAATGTTAATTCATTTGAAATAGCAATAAGGAACACATTGCGTGTTAATGTAAATTCTATTTTTTTCTAAACATTATTGAGATGAGTGGCATTGTTTTCCATTTTTAGTCTTCTGTAAGTCTGTTAAAATCTGAGTGAGACTGCTCTGTTTTATTTTTGCTTTTTCTGTGAGGACAGGGTACTGAGGAATACAGTGACAGCCAGCAGAGCTGCAGTTAGAAACCGCAGGATCGGTTTGTGCTAAGTGCCAGTACTTGCATCCACCATAGCTGCTGCAGTATCCGTGCACATGTCAACACACAGAACAGACAGCCAGCCTCTCAGTATTACTGCAACATCATTTTCATCTCGTGGATCCCCTCACGGACTTCAGGGGCCCCGTGGGCTGCAGATTTCACACTGAGAACAGGTGGCCTAGGAGACTTGCTCTGTAGCAGCAACTAAAATCCCTGGAATCCAAGGTCCTTCCATGAAAAGTAGGAGAAACATCAAATTACCTCCTCAGTGACCACGGAAACATGTCTTCCACCACTGTACCCCTCACTCTTTCGAAGTGACCTTTCTCTCCATTACGTCAGTCACAGAGTCAGTCTCCCCGAGATCCCTTACAAAGGGAATGCAGTATTTCCGGTCACAGGAGAGTCAACGAAGGTGACACAAAGCATCCTTCAGTACTGCGCATTCGTACAGCAACCGCTGGCCCCGGGTGGCGGTGGAGCACTTGAAATGGGAATGCTCCAAATTGAGATGAGCTGTGGGGGAAAAAGATTGAACACTTAGTACAAAAAAGTAAAATATCTCATTAACAATCTTTGTATTGATTATATATGCTGATGTAATATTTGGGGTGTTTGAATTAAATACAGCATTTTTTAAAAAAAGTTTTAATTGGGACCACTAGAAATTTAAAATGAAACATGGTTCATATTCGATACCTGTGAGTGCTGGTTGTCTGTCGGCATGAGGATGCATGCTGTAATCATGCGGACTGCTCACTGTAATCATCGGTTCAGTTCAGTGTCGCTCTGATGGCACCAAGTAATACACACCCATGGGAGAGCCTTGGCCATCTTGTCCTCATTTGGACATACCTGGGGAAGTTGAAGGTGAGGAAGATGGAGGTGGCCTGGCTGTTTCATGTGACTTACCCCCCTGAGCCTGACAGGCATCCCCTGAGGGGAGGTCTTCTCCTTTAGCTTTCTGCTTCTAGTCCAGTGTGACCCAGCTTCGGGAGTATTTTCTTTATACTATCGAAAACCGTATTTTCCTCATTTAGAATTTTGTGTGCACCTATTTTTCCCCTGTAAATGAATATGCCAGATGTTTTGGGAACAGACAAGCGAACAAGATCTTTGCTGCTTACAAGGATCCCTTTGTAATGCACGTTGTTTATGGAATCGCAAATACCAGCTGCTGCCCCAGATCAGAGCGAGGCGTCCAGGCACTGCCATGCCCGGGCTCACAACGGCAGGTTCTTGGAGCGAATGAGACTTCTCTTTGTGTGGAGGGGAGTCGTGGGGGGGCTTCCTTTCTGTAGTCCTCTTGCCTCCTCGGGAGAATAGCTTTTGTTTTTAAGTAAGAATAATCTGAATTTTCATTCCCTTCTTTCAAATTTAAAGAAATCCCCCAAGGGTATGGTACTAAGTCAGCTTTCTTTTCGTGTTGCTCTGGACACCCTGTAAATGGCTGGCAGGCAGAGAGCTGAAGGGAAGGACGTCAGAATTGGGATGAGGGAAACCTTTAACTTGTGCTTTTAAAACACTCAGAGCTGATGTTGATCGAAGCATAATTTGCATGTAATTACATATACAGATCTTGTTTGATTCTTCGAGAACTACATATATCTATGTAACTCCTACCACAAATCTAGATAAAGAACATTTCCATCCCACCGGCTGGATTCCCTTGTGTTCTTTCCTCTTAACCTAGAGGTTCCTTTTCTAATGCCACAGATGGGGTTTTCCTTTTTTTTGGAAGGAATAGACTCCACTGGTGTGTAACGTTTTGTGTCAGGTTTCTTTTGCTCAAGACGATGTTTGTGAGATTCGTCTGCATTGCCATGTGTGCCAGTCCTTAGCTCCTTTCCGTTGCTCAGCAGGATTCCATTATGAATATACGACGATTTATTCTCTTTTCCTGTTGATGGAGATTCAGACTGATTCTAGTTTTTAGCTATTGTGAATAAATCTGCTATGAATGTTTGACACAGACATATATCCACAAGCCCTTCTGTGGACAGACGTTTTCATTCCGCTTGGGAAGTGCCTGGGAGAGGGACTACTGAGTCACAGGGTCACCTGAACTTTTTGAAATGGTCAGTGCGCAGAACTGTGACTGTTTTTATCCCGTGGGTTGTAGTGACCAGTGCCATAGGAGCAGTTCAACGTGGGAGGATAATTTTTGGCCAGGACTAATGAGGCTTCACATTTCTCACAATTCCCTTGTATATATTCTTTCATGGGATCTTCAGCCAGTGTGGAGGAGACAGGCAAGGAAAGTCTCTCCAGTTGAATAGCGGATGATGCTATGGCTCAGAGATTAGGTGGCTTGCCCATCGTCTGTGGCTACTAAGGGCAGAACCAGGACTAGAAACCGGGGATCCTGGCTCTTGGTCCAGTTCCCATTCCATGAATTTGTTCTTCTTGGAAAGGCATCACAACACAAGACAGCAAGAATGAGAGGGTCTGGAGAACTCGCTCAGGAAAGGCAAAGCTAAGTACTTTACAAACCTGTTCGTTGTCTTTGCAGTTGACGAGCCAGGATAAGACCCCCGCGGTGATCCAGAGAGCCATGCTGAAGCACAATCTGGACTCAGACCCCGCCGAGGAGTACGAGCTGGTGCAGGTCATCTCGGAGGATAAAGGTGGGCATCTCCAAGACAGGCGCGTTCCTTCTCAGGGCGGGGGGCCAGCCCATGTCCACAGCGCTCCCATTTAGAAGGCAGAACGTGGATACATATTGTTTTATTGGGACCCAGTGGTGGCTTTTGATAGTGCAAGGATGAACAACCGTGCCATCACCTCGCTTGTAGAATTAAGCATCTCAAACCACTCCGTGATTCCTCAGCTCTTGTCTTTCCTGTGATTTTGCTGGGCATTTCTTCTGCCCAATCTTTCTGAGCTCTTCAAACATTTTTCTAGGAAGAAGTCTCTCCCTATGCCAGGAGGCAGAGGGCAGGGGAGTCTGTTGGCCATCTTCGGTGGCCATACACCTCCTTCACCCAAGCATGTGTTTACAAATTGTGTGTGAATCTTTAGCAGTTCCTATAATTTCTCATCATTTCAATTAATCAGTTATGAGAGGTATTATCTTTATTCATAATCAATTTAAAAATAAGACAGACCTCTAACTTGAAGGTTATTTACCTCACATTTATTGAGGCAAAGAATTGGTCATCGATGAACAGCTTCAGTATGCTTGGGAATGTGGTATTTAAAGAAATCTCTTTTATGAAAGACTTTTTGGGCAAATAATCACCCTTGCATGTAATCACCTGCTGATAGGAATTTGGGGTGGTGTTTGCTGAGCGAAGGAAGCAGGCTGGGAGATAACTCCTCTGTACCTCGTCACTTCACAGTGACTGTCACGATAGGTCTCTTCTCCAAGGGAAGAAGGAATAGCAAATACTCTTGACCGAAGCCAACCCTTTCTGCCGCCAGACCCCAGAATGACCATTCCATTCACCTTAAGTGCTCTGCTCACCAACAATCAGTGGCCTATCAGTGAGAAGCATTCCACAGGCTAGGCCGTGGGACCCACATGGCACCCAGGGCTCTAACGGAGAGGGGCCGAAATTAGAATACTACCTTCTCCCAGAGATTAAAAGCTACAGCCTGTGGGGAAATTCTTTTTCAGCTTCCTCTTGGAAGTTTTCCCATTCACTCAGCTGAACCTTAGGCTGTGGGGTAGCACTTTCTCAGTTATAACCTTTTAATGTAGTTATCGTTACAATTCTGAGCCTGAAAGGTGGTCTTACATTGTACCATTTTGCTTACAACACAGGACTAAGGTGAAGCCAGGGGGTCTAAAGGTCCAGGAGTCTTGAGGGGTAGCCTGGACCCAGCACTGCCCACCCGCGGTCTGGTCCTAAATGCAAGCTGCTGGACCCGCTGGGCCTTGGTCCTTAATTAGAGACAGTACCCTGTTGGTTCCTCATGCATCACAGGGCGATTCTGAAGATAACAGGAAGTCACGTACCCGAATGTGGGGAGCTGAGTGATATATAACTGTGAGGCCTATTCTTACTGACCCGTGCGTATGTGGGCAGCAGCATGGGCCATGTTGAGGGCGTTGTTCTCCACTGAGGCTTTGTGCACAGAATGTACCAGAGTCACTTGGAACCTGCTCGTCTCAGTCTTGCTGTTGGATCTCAGTGTTTGACGTTTACTTAAGACTCACTTTGTACAGTTTTACACCTCTGGTTGCCTCCCCCACACCACTACCACAAAGTTAGACTTGCACATTTACCTCTTTTTATTCTTTGTTTTTTCAAATACTCATTACACTTAAGTGCTAAATACTGTATACCTTCTTGTGGTGATTCCTCAAGGATCTAGAAATAGAAATACCATTAGACCCAGTAATCCCATTACTGGGTATATACCCAAAGAATTATAAAATCATACTACTATAAAGACACATGCACATGTATGTTGATTGCAGTATTATTCACAATAGCAAAGACTTGGAACCAACCCAAGTTCTCATCAATGATAGACTGGATAAAGAAAATGTGGCACATATACACCATGGAATACTATGCAGCCATAAAAAAGGTTGAGTTCACATCCTTTGCAGGGACATGGATGAAGCTGGAAACCATCATTCTCAGCAAACTACGCAGGAACAGAAAACCAAAACACTACATGTTCTTACTTCTGAGTGGGAGTTGAACAGTGAGAACACATGGACACAGGGAGGGGAACACAACACACTGGGGCCTATTGGGGAATGGGGGTTCAGGGGAGGGAGAGCATTAGGACAGATATCTACTGTAGGTGATGGGGTGATGAGTGCAGCCAGCCACCATGGCACATGTATAGCTATGCAACGAACCTGCATGTTCTGCACATGTGTCCCGGAACTTAAAGTATAATTAAAAAAATAAATAAATAAAAAATAAAAGTGAAGCTGGGTGCAGTGGTTCACACCTGTAATCCCAGCACTTTAAGAGGCCAAAACAGGTGAATTCATCTGACGTCAGGAGTTTGAGACCAGCCTGGCCCAACATGGTGAAACCCCATCTTTAAAAATGTGAAATAATAACAATAATTAGCTCAGTGTGGTTGTTGGCAACTGTAATCCCAGCCACTCAGGAGGTTGAGGCAGGAGAATCACTTGAAACTGGGAGGCAGAGGTTGCAGTGAGCTGAGATTGCACCACTGCACTCCAGCCTGGGCAACAAGAGCGAAACTCCATCTCAAAAAACAAACAAACAAACAAACAAAAAAGGGAAAGAAAATATAGGTGAGTCAAAATAACTTTGATGATTTCATATTACACTTGGAACAATCCTTGTTCAAAAATTGCAGATGTCTAGTTGGGAATCATTGAAGTTGAAAGGAGTTTAAATGTTAAAAGATACGGAGGAAGGGAAACATTACACATTGAGGACTGTTGGGGCTTCGGGGAGAGGGGAGGGAGGGCAGTAGGCCAGATACCTAATGCACGCAGGGCTTAAAACCTAGGTGATGGGTTGGTGGCTGCAGCAAACCACCACAGCACATGTATACCTGTGTAACAAACCTGCACGCTCAGCATATGTATCCCAGAACTTAAAACAAATTTTAAAAAAGAAGATACACACTTTTTACTTGGGGAAATAAAATACTGGTTTGATGGGATTACTTCAAAATATGTTTCAGTATTTCAAGTAGAATTCTGGGATGCTGTAGATTTTCTGTTTTCTCCATGCCATTGGACTCTTAGTCTTTGAGAAAATCTGCATACTAGGGTGGAAAATGGACCACAGGAGACGGGAAACCCGAGTTTTCCAGTCCTGCTGCTCGCTGGCTGCAGGCTTCGGAATGTTTGCTAACTTTTCTTGGTCTCTGTTTTCTACTCTGTTTTTTTTCTGCTTTAACATTTTCTATTGGAATGTTTAATTCATGGAATGAATTTCTAAAATCTTATTTGTACTAATTTTAAAAATTGGGATTGAGAAGTGGGAATTCAATTTTGGGGGGAAGTGGTGATGATCACTGTCTGGCTCAGGTCACGGTCCAGAGGCAAAGGGCTGTAGCCCCTGTCTCGTGTCTGGGCAAGGTTTATACCTGCCGCTGTCAGGGCTGGGCTGACCTCTGCAAGGTAGCCACCTTCTCTTTTCTTATCTTTTTCAGAACTTGTGATTCCAGACTCAGCAAACGTCTTTTATGCCATGAACAGCCAGGTGAACTTTGACTTCATTTTGCGCAAAAAGAACTCCATGGAAGAACAAGTGAAACTGCGTAGCCGGACCAGCTTGACTTTGCCCAGGACAGCTAAACGGGGCTGCTGGAGTAACAGACACAGCAAAATCACCCTCTGAAGGGAGGGACCCATGGCCCCTTGTTTGCTAAAGGCAGAGCGGGGCTGAGAACAGGCTGTGGTGATTGCAATTACCATCCAGTGTTCAAGGATCATGGGTGAAGTCAGCAGATATTTATTCAGTTCCTGTGGTGTGCAAAGCACTATGATAGGCATTGTGGGGAAATTGGAAGTGAATTTGACATGAAGAGGGTGAACGATTCACTGATTCTCTGACTTATTTCAGACTAAAATGCAGAATTACCCACACTTAAAATATATATATGCACACATGTTTGGTATGTATGTGTATATATATAAAAATATGTAAGAGGGACTTTATGGGATATTATGGACTATGGAAAACCAAATTTGCACAATGGCCTGGGAAGTTGAGGTCACTTTTTACAGGGAAATAGAAGAAACTGAGAACCTAGTCTCATATTCTTCCGAGTAAATGGAGTCAGTCCTGGGAATAGAGAGTGTCCTTTGTGCCAGTATTACAAGAAGCCCAAACTTTATTTTTATAAAGGGAGAGGATGACTTTCTCAATCAAGTGCCACCAGATAAAACAACTGCAGAGGCTGGAACTGCCACAGGCTGCATGAAAGGCCACTTTGGAAGGGGTTTGGATGAGCCAGTGGCCTTCAACCTCTGCCTGCATCCGCCACTTTCTGCTACCCCAGGGAGGCCAGGAGGAGCTTCGGAGGCCCATCGCCCCACTGGCCTAGCCATCACAATGCCTCTGGAAGTGCCAAGCTCCTGAAACAAACTCATTTCAGTTTCTGGCAACCCCTTGTATTTCTGTTTCTCCCTTAAAGAACATATCATAATCATTGCACAAATAACGATGTTCTTTGGTAACGTAGCCAGAAAAGAAAGCGTGAAAGAACAGTGACTTATCTGGACTCTTATCTGTCTTGGAATGTCACTATTTCATTGCCTTCTCTGATTGCCTTTTGCATGTAAAACTATGTGTCTGGAGTCTTTGGCCATCTGGATCCAAGTACCTCTATATTATGTGCAATTTGTTCCTCAGGTGTGGAAATTTCTACTGCGGTTGACATTTGATCATTTTGAGCCTGTGAAAGATTTCTGAATGGTGATTGCCCTGTTAGTAGCCCCTCAAAAGATGTTCCGTGCTGATAACAGCATTCTATTTTACTTATTAACTTTTATAGCATTACTGTGCCTAGTCATGAGGAAAGAGATGGGGCTGCACATATTATCTGAATCATTTCTCAAAGAGGTACATTCTTCCAGATGGAATCAATAACTTTTTTTGTTCAGGTTCCCATGCTTGCTATCACAGTATGACTGCTAAGCGACATTTTTGTCTCTCATAACACCATCACACTCTTCCTTCCAAGTCTGAGCTGTGCTAGGGCTTGAACTAAAAGCCATATGTGGAATATTGACATGTGTAAGAAGCACTTTCAGAATGTTGTCCCTCAAGAAATAATTCTCAAAATGCCAGTTTTTATTCCAAAAATAAAGAGAACAAACCCAGAATATGGAGTGCACATTGTAACATGGAGCTACTTTCCCCCTAATCTCATAATACAGCTCCTAAAAGTTGTGTGGGATATGTGTTATGTGAACAGCCATGTGAATTCCGCAAGAAACACCAGGGAAAGTTTAGAGGTTTGTGGCAATGGACCGAAGAGTGGGCCAGGAAGCCCTCCGATTTCCTTTGGTCTTTCCAGGAGATTGGGCTACATGTTGTAAAGACAGCGACTGGGTTTCAGCTAGTCAGAAAGCACTTTGTTTTCAATGCTTGTTCAATTTGTGCTTCTGTGCTTGGAGGAGAGATGGCCAGGGTGGCAGCCCTCATGCAGACTGAAGCATTTGTAGCCTCAGCCCGGCATTCTTGGTGTGAAGGTAAGAAAATATAAAACCGTTGGCCTGTTTGAGGGTGTGGCTACCAAGACATACATGTTGTGCCCCTGTGCTCACCCTGTGTATTTATACTGTATATGTAGAGTCTAGATTTATATACTGCAATGTAAATATATATATATATATATATATATATATATATATATATATATATATATTTACCTTTTTTAAAGACAATGGAAATTCCAAGTAGATAAAACTTAGCCTCATTTATTTAATGCCACTTTGAATGTCTTAAATTGGTTTCCTGGTGGACAGCCGGGTCATGATTCTAGCTGCTCGCATGCTTGTCTTTCTGCGTCTCCATTATCTGTTTACCTTTTGGTTAAACTAATAAACTGGTTTGGGACTTGGCTGGCATGTGCTGCCAGACCCAAAGGGATTGTATGTGGATTATTAACCAGGTGGGTTCTGGGTTACAGGTGTGTCGGCAAGCTTTTGGGAAGCCCACTGGATGGGTTGGAGAAGCACAGGGAAAGCCAATGGCAGAGTTCAGAGGGACCTCCCAACTGGCAAGTGTCAAGAGCCTTTGGAGGAAAGAATGGTGTCCTTAGGAAACTGCAGCCGGAAATGATGCTTTTCCTAGACTGCTGTTCTTACTGACGGAGTCTCGCTCTGTCACCCAGGCTGGAGTGCAGTGGCGCAATCTCGGCTCACTGTAACCTCCAACCCCCGGGTTCAAGCAATTCTCCTGCCTCAGTCTCTCAAGTAGCTGGGATTACAGGTGCATGCCACCACACCCAGCTAATTTTTGTATTTTTAGTAGAGATGGGGTTTCACCCATTTGTTGGCCATGCTGGTCTCGATTTCCTGACCTCATGATCCACCCACCTTGACCTCCCAAAGTGCTGGGATTACAGGCATGAGTCACCGCGCCTGTCATGGGGACACTTAATAAACTCCAACTTAGAGTGAGGGTCCAAGTTAGCATTGTGTCGCTTTTCTGAGGGCCTTTCCCCCCATTTTGTGATGGATACCACTTCGATAATTCTTGAACCCTCCCATGGTGCCCTGGAAGCCAGGGGGCCTCTGTGGAGGAAGGAAAGGCATTCCCAAAGAATTGCATTTGAAATCCTTTTAAATTAATCCGTGTAGTTTCCCCAAAGGCATTAGGTCTGAGGCCAGCTTCACTGAACAGATGCACAATATTGTCATTTATCATGCTATTAAAAAGTTTCCAGAATTATTTTCCAAAGGATTCCTAAAGGGATCCAAATTATCGAGTGTTCTGTGCCCTTCTGGAATTTTTAGAGAAAGCCAAGTAGATGTTTTAAAAATAGGAAACTGGTAATATGGGGAGGGGCCGGAAAAAAGGGAATTTTGTCTTTGTTACTTGTTTTTTCAAGATCATTCTAAAAACCTGTTTCCCTTGTTTGGCCTTTTTCTAGGAACTGGGCCTGGGGACATTTTGCCTGAAGGAATATTGTCTTAAACCTGTCTTCTCTGGAGCATTTGTAAGTTCTTCTTGCAGCACAGGACCATTAGGAGGCATGCAATATTGCTTTATGTGTTCCGATTTCAGTGGGATTGAGAACCTCTTTTTCTGTAGATGCCTACATTTCCACTAGAAGTTATTTCCGTTGTGTTTTGCATTGCTTTTTCCCCCTAGATGCTCTCCTAAAATTAAATACCTTTGGAAGGGATGTACTGAGCTAGGCTAGGCTGGACTGAAGTAACAGAGCAGGAAATCTCAACAGCTTAAGACTGACTTTTATTTTTCTTTCATGTGACAGTGTAATGCAAGTCAGGAAACTGCTTAGTAGATCCAGGGAGCTTCCATCTTGCAACTTTGCCATCTCAGTTTTTCTCTTCTAGTCACAGTGATGGTAAAGAGAGCAAGGAGAACTTGCAACTGTTCCCAGCTGCCTTAGACCAAAGCGACACGTGTCGCTTCCATTCATAGCCCATTGGCCAGTCCCCGGCTCCAGTGAGAGTGCAGGGGAGCAGGGAGATGCAGGAGGAACCCGGAGGAGTTGATGCACACGACTGCCTCTACCACCGAGGGGTCGTGCCTTCTTGCTAGGGTGCATGGGTCTGTTAATCGTTCACAGTCATCAGAAAGTGTTTGGAAGAGACGGCAGTGAGGACTTGAGATGGGGCTGCACAGAGCAAGGGAAGAGTTGAAGAGAGATGCTGAAAGGAGAAAATACTAGAAAGAACAGTTCAATTTTGTCTGGAATTAGCCTTGATCTTATTTTTTTATTTTATTTTTTGAGACAGGGTCTCACTCAGGCTGCAGTAGCACGACCTCAGCTCACTGCAGCCTCTACTTCCTGGGCTCAAGCCGTTCTCCAGCCTCAGCCTCATGAGTAGCTGGGACTACATACACAAGCCGCCAACAGCTGGCTAATTTGTTTTAAGAGATGTGGTCTTGCCATGATGCCCAGCCTGGTCTTGAACTCCTGAGCTCAAAGTGATCCACCTGCCTTGGCCTCCCAACGTGCTGGGATTACAGGTGTGAGCTACCGCACCCAGCCAATCTAATTTATTTTTAATTTTTAATATACAGCCACTCACCAACAATATATGTTCTTCTGATGTGGTTCCTACTTGGATGAAACTAGTAGCTACTTTACAGATGTATGTCAGGTCAAAAAAAGAAACCTCGGAAATGTAAAGAATTTGCACAGAAACCACCAGATCAAGTAGAAGCCAGGCAAATTAATTATTTTATACTCAGAATTCGGTAACCATTATTGGGTGTGGTTTCTCAACTCCTCTACCCAGAAACCTTTCGTGGAAGCAATTTCTTATTTAACATTTCAAGTAGTCCCGTGTTTGTAATGTTTTCCTATGTGTTGCAGGCAACTTACAAGTCATGTAGTCAGTGGCCTGTTATTACAGATACGGGGCTGAGGCGCAGACCAGTTAAGTTGCCCTAGTTTAGGGACAGAGCTCCGGATCATCAGCCCCACTCTGAACCTATACAGTGGGCCGGGCACGGAATGGAGGAGGCTCTCCTGACAGACACCCCACAGCCTCCCGGAGCTGGAGAGAATCCCTGAGATATGCGGGCTCCATCCCAGCCTTCCCGTCACGTGAATTCACACAAACTGCCTCCCTCAGCTGGGCACCTGGTAAGTGTCTGAGGAACATTCTGCTGTGGGTCAGAGCACTGCTACCTGTTATCCTGAGCACCATTTCCATCCCATCAATGAGGAAACTGGGCCATAAAGATGATTATGTGAGTTAGCACCCAGCTGGACTGGAATCCATTTCTGATCTGTAGATTCAGATGTTCTCCAGCAAGAGAAACTCCTAGGAAAGGCACCAACTGACAGGAGTTAACAAAGGAGAAGCAGGTGGGACTGGGGCTTGCGTGGCATTGAGGAGAGCCAGTTTTAAGACCTCCCAGACCAGCCTCCCTGTAAGCCAGCTATCAGTATCCAAGTGCTTTAACACAGGCTTCTCACAAGTCTTTTTTATTCCTACCATTGTTTCATACCAAAGCATCATTTTGTGCTACAGTTCCAATTTCTGACACAAGAATGAAAGGCGTTACCAGTACCGCAACTTTAAAAAACAGACTGAATGATTTAAGCTGTTTCTGAATGGTTCCTGCCATATAAAAAGGCATGAGTTTTGAAATGGGAGAAGCATTCTAAATGAGACTGTTGTTGCTTGCTCCTTGATGTCTATTTCTGATCCTCGTTTATACAGTATCTAACAGCCAAGCCTCCAGCAATGCTGTATGAGAGTTTGCAGTATGACCAGCTGAATAATCAGTTTATGAGGTTTCACAGGGGAGACAGACATGGGTTAGAGGTACCAGTTTTACGTATCAGGCTGGGGTGTGTGTGTGTGTGTGTGTGTGTGTGTGTGCGCGCGCGCGTGCGCGTGCGCAAGAGTGAGAGATTAAAACATTAAATGTTACTGAGAAAACAAGAAACGAGCCAGATTATCCCCCAGCAGCTTGGAATTGGGTGCAGTTTTTGGGGCTCTGACAGCCTTGGTGTGATTCCCAGGCCACTTAGCACCTTGGGCAACTTGCTTTCCTTAGCTCTTTGCCTTAGCTGAAAGATAGTGATTAATAGTTCCTAATTCTTGAGATTCATGCTATATTCAACTACACAGCACGTGTAAGGAAAGCACGTTTCATTTTGGTGCATGATACGAGAGTTAACTGCTGTTATTCCTGGGAAGCTTCTAGCCTAAGTCACGTCTTCAAAGAAGCCCTCCAGCCTCCTCCCTGGATGAGCCAAATGGTCCAGATGTGAGACTCTTTGAGGTGGGGCTTCCACGTGCGGAACAGCACCCGGGGAAAAGCTGAGCCTGCCGCAGCTCCAGGGAGAGACTGGCTTATGGAGTTGGAGGGCATCCAGGGCTCCTGCAGCTTGTTCCATGGCCGCAGTCCTCAGCGGCTCACAGAGGGTTGTGGGCCCAGCGCAGCCCTCCTGGCTGGCCCTCAGGCTGTGTAGCATGGACTCATGCTGGATGGGCTGTGACGGGAGAGGCTGGTGCACAAGCACCCCTGGGCCGGCGTGTCCCTCTCGGGGCCTGAGATTGGCCACCACGCAGAGCTGGCAGCAATTCCCATCAGGGTTCCTGCTTTCTTGATTTCTCTCACCAGAAGCTCTGCGCCTGCTCCGTGGTCCTCCTGTCTGTGCCTGTCCACAGTCCCTGTGTCTTCCTACAGGAAGGGGTTCTCAGCTCTGGTTCCAGAGGCCCTGTCCAGGGACAACGGAGATGCTTGACTGTGGGTTACTGCTGTTCCCCCAAGCACCGGGGGCACTGGACATTTCACTTGTTCCTTTGCAAGCTGTTCAACTCAACACCTCAGCCTCTCCCATACTTGCAGACTTATAAGGACAAAATGGTTATTCTAAGGCCCAGGCTGTCACCATTTCCATTTCAAGCCTCCCTCCTCCACACTTTTCCCCACCGGCTCCCTGTCCTCTTCCTTGGCCTGTGCACTGGCATCCCCGTCTGCAGCGATGGGCTTGCATCAGTCTCTTCTCCACGCTCTTGCACCGCTCTCCAGGACTCTGCTGTGTGTGGTGCTCTGGAAGCGGCCTCTGTCCTCTCCCTTTAGATCCCCAACAGGCTTGCATCCCTCTGTCCCTTGCAGTCAGCTCTGCTCACAGTTTCCTTCCCTGTGCTACGCCTGAGCAATGATATCATCCCCTTCAAGTCTTCACCATTGATGCTAGTAATTTTTAAAAGCAGTTAAAACCCTTCAGGCCACACCATCTAAACACCTGGACAACTCAACTCCTGTCTGGGAGTCTGTCCCAAACTTCTCATTTCCTTTTGGGAGAGGAAACTTGCTGATTATTTTCTAAGCATCTAACAACAGAGAAAGAGCTGCCCACTCCACCTTCAAAATCAGATTCCTCCACAAGCAAGAGCCCAGACATCCACCCAGCCACCCCTAGAACGGGAAGCTCCCCCTCACCCAGCAAAGCCTCGCCAGGTCGATGGGGCCCTAGGATTGCTCAGGCATGGCAAGGTTATTAAAGCAGCTGTTCCAGAGGAAGCTAGGCTTGGGAACAACAGGGAGGGGCATAAAAACAAACTCCTCAGATTAAAAATAGAGAAGGCAATCCTCAGAGGTGCTTCTTCATTCCTTCCAAACTTTTCGAGGACAGATGGGAGGATGGATGGCTTTGGATTGGAAGCAACACAGCTGGTGTCACAGGGGCCACTGAGCCAAGATCGCCCAAGTATTAGCACATCTATGTGTGAAAGCAAAAACTAGGGCATTTCAGTATCACAGAGCAGAAAGCCAGCCACGCTTCTTCCCAACAGCGAAGTTTGATGGAGCCATTCCACCACTTACCTTGGAACCCCATTCAGTGTCTGACAAACTCCTCAGGCTGTTCCTGGGACAAGAGGGAGCACCGTTTTTCATGGAATCTTCGGTAATGTAACGTACTAAAATCTACCATTATTACTTCTCTCTTCTCCAAGCAGGCACAAAAACAGACTTCGGTGCTTGTCTCAGCTCCCTGCACTGGCTTAGCGGTGCGGACTCACAGGGAGGCCCCTCACAGGCTCCTCCTCTCCTGCTGGCCCTCCTCCCTGAGCCACATTAAACTGAGGGACAGCAGGTTCCTCTGAAATAATAAACATCACACAAAACATCACGTGGATGTGACAATTTTTCCAAAGCTGTCTGCTCGTAGTTTTCGGAACGTGTCACCCATTACATGCTATTTTCTTCTCATACAGCCAGCTTCATTTTAACTTGACGTTGTGATTATTTAACTCCTTAGTGAATGAACTTCTGTCAGGGAGCTCACTTCTGGATCCTTTCTTTCCTCTGTTTAGTTGGCTAGAATGTCTCAAGAGCATGTTATAGGAAGCCTCCTGGGAAGACATTTCTTCATTTTATAGTTACTAGCGGGAGGGATTTCCTCTAGCCGTAAGGGAAAAGCCCTAAGATTCCCACGTTTGTAGCTGAGTGGGAACATTTCTTGTTTTGGACATCAGCATTTTACTGGAAGCCTCTGTATTATCTGTCAAGAAGGTAACCAAACCTAGAATTCTCCCGGAAATGCTGGGCTCTGTGTTTGTGATGGGGCAGCCCACAGCAGCCAGCTGGAATGCCAGCGTGACAGCAGCTCCGTCTAGTTTGCTGTCATCAACCTCAACACATGCCTAACTCTTCCGCCCTACTGAGTTCCCATGAATCCCACTTAGGTCCTTTCGTAGTCCTGCCTGGCAACGCCTAGCTAGACGCTTCTCCACCCACCGTGCCCAACCCGGCTCCCTCTTCTGAACTCCCATTCACCCTCCAAACACCAACCCAAATGCCACCTTCCCAGCAAAGCTGCCCCAACAGTCCTCCTCTGCCCATTTTGTTCATCTCTGAGATAAAGGCATCCTGTCTGGCAGCTGCCTGCTCACGTTGCTCCCCTTTGGACTGTGGGCCCACACAGCACTAGAGACCTCACCTGCTCCTCTGAGCGTCTCGGTGCCCAGCACACAGTCTGCAGCAAGGCCGTGTTCACAGCACGATTTTTGAGATAAGAAGAAGCTTGATCTAAAAATTCAAGTGGTCACTGAGACCAACGAGGATTCTCTTTTTGTTGCTGCTCTTGTTTTCCCCAGGAAAAAGCCCTTCGACCTTGGACCAGTATCACAGTATCACAGTATCTTTTGACGAATGGATAGGCTGACCTGTGGCACAAAATGCAAGCTGGACACCTTCTTCCCACTGGGGGCCTCTCCTCCACCTTCCTACACCCTAGAATCCTTTTCAGCGTACACACCAGTACCCATCGGTCTAAAACAACCCTGACCGCACAGGAAGGGCAGCAACCACCCTCCCCTCGTTTGCCACGGGGATCACACGGCAGTGATGGTTCTGCCCGACCCTGGCATCCTTGGTCAAGGGCAGACCTGGGACTCTCTGTGGTGCTGGCCATTGATCAGTGACTGTGGAAGCAATGGACAATCATATCTTTGAGCTAAGTTTTTTTTTTAATTTTTCACAAAGAGCTCCAGAAGGCAAATAGTTGATCACTTCCCCACCCTGAAACGGCACAGCAAGACAGATGATGCAGGGTGCAGGGTGTCAGCTCTTTCTTGTTCTCCAGAGCTCCTGCAGCAGGTCTGAGTGAACCCCAACTGGGGCCCACGCAGTGTGTCCCCTGCAAAGTGCAGGTGTTCAGTCCACACACAGCAGCACCAGCACTGCTGATGTCACGGTTGTCTGCCCAGAAGATCCCACGTTAGATCCCAAGAGGAGTTCAGACAGGGTTTAGCCTCCAGAGGCAGAGAGCGGGTGACAGGGCCAGATGCAAAGGCCTCTACACTGACGACCTCACGTGACACTGCGAAGGTCAAATGTCTTGGCTTAGGACAGTTAATGAGGTCAGGGAACCTCTGGATTGCTGAAGAGATGACTTAAAAACAAAGTCACATCTGCAGCTCACAACGTTCACCAGGAAAAAACGCTGCTCGGGATCTGCAGGCTGAGCAGGGAGAAACAAGCCGGGCAAACAGAGCCAGAACTTTCTTCACAGTACAACAGTCCTAGTCTAAAATGCTAGAATTTAAGTCCAATGTCTTTTAAGAATGAGAGTTCTTAAATCTGTCAGACCAGCTGACAGAGAAACAGGAGAAAAAATTCTCTATTAAACAAAACAACACAAAAATCAACCCAAACTTCCTTCACCCTCAGCACCTCAGCAACCTCCCGCTTTGTTAAAAAAAAAATCATTAAAGCCATGCACACATGCACACACTCACATATGCAAACAAAAACCAGATACCCAAGGAAATCTTAGGAATCACTCACTCCCCAGATGCTCTTGACAGCTAAGTCTCCGCGGTACAATTGGAGTAGGGCGAGATCCCTTTCCTCGGTGTCCCGGCTTGCTGGTCAGTGGAGAATGGTATCCACAGTGAGTCAGGAAGGCAGGCCAGGGCTGGCGTCTGGTGGAAGGCAAGCTGCCTATTGTCCTAAACCGGGGATCCGCCCCTCACCTGGGAAGGTGAGGCTGCCGGGCTGCCTGAACTACCTATTTGCTGATGGGAAAGCTTGGTGATCATTTTCTTTAGACTCTGAGCCATGCTGTTTAACCTTAATGTGAGAATCAGTATCACATAGGCAGTGAACTGAAGAATTAGGTATCTGGCTGAAAGTTTATCTTACGTTTGTACACTAAGCTTGCATAGGCAGCACCACCTACCATGGGCTCTGCTCTGAAGGGCCCTCCCCCTGAGTCTTAAGTGTGAAGCTCAAGCTCTGGAGTGCGCACAGCCCCGCCGTGTGCCTGCATGGTGCGTGGGCACTGAGGAGGAAGGGTGCTTGTATGGGATGCCTGGGAGGGTTTTTCTGGAGACAGAAATTTACAGATTGAGGGCGTGAGAATGTACACTTGAGGAAAACCGCCATGATCTATACTAGGACGACAGATTGTGGAGTGGGAAGAAATTATGTAGTCCAACTCTGCATTTTACATAAAATCAATGTGTGAAGAAAGCAGAAAGGACTCTTTGGGGATATTTTCTAAGAAAGGGTGTCTGCCCGGGATTCTGATTCCAAGAGCTTCCCTGGTTGCTGGCCTCAATCAGTTGACCAGCCCTTTGTTTCCAACCAGGTTTCTTACCTCACATAGAGAATCATTTGTTTCAAAACAGTTCAGATCCCCCATCCACAGGCCTCCCTGCAGGAGCCTGGCTGGGAAAGTCAGGAGAATCAGATTGCTGAACCAGTATGTCCACACCCACTGCTCCCCCGGGCTCGGTGGAAGTCTGCAACATCTGTTTCTCTGCCTCATTCTAAAGACAATGTCTTCCCCATATTCTGCAAAATAAATAATTCAAAATATAATGAAAAAGCCAGGCAAGGATAGTTGCTGGCCTGAAAATGTGCTCTGTCTCTTAGCAGTGACTCATAAAACTCACACCTGCGTGCGTTCCCAGGCTAGGGGTGGAGAGGAGAGCGTGAGGCCCTGCAGCAGCACGCAAACCCAGAATGGGGCAGGAGGCACAGCCAGCCCTTGCCCTTTATATATTACATTTGTCTTTATAAATACAGCATCGTGACTCAGTGGCCATAATTTTTAAAAAGCCAAACATTGAGTTTTTCCCTCAAATACCTACACAAACTGTCAATTATCTACTGATTTATATCCACATGGCAAACTGGTCACCTCTATATGAGAGCTTCAGCCACCATGATGGTCACAGGCCAAGTCTCAACCAGACCCAAATACCCATCCCTATTGCATACAAGGACTATTTATAAAAAATCTACTTTGCAATAAGGTTCATTATAGAATTCTTTAAATAAAAAGCCAAATTAATATGACTTGAAGTGATTGATTCCCATCTCCCAATCACTGCATATAAAAGTTTTCAATGTCACATAAAATGGACAAACTAGACCAATAAAGGTTGTCCAGTTGGCTTGGAGTTTTCAAGGTCACATCTGTCACATAAAATGGACCAAGCAGACCAGTTAAGTGTGGTCTAGCTGGCCTGGCTGCCTTGACTACCCACCCATTTGCTGATGGGACAGCTTGGTGATCAGTCTCTTGGATAAGACTCCGAGCCACATTGTTCAACCTTCATGTGGGAATCAGCGTCACATGGGTAGTGAACTGAGGAATTTGGTGTCTGGATTACAGTTTATCTTAACGGTTTCTAGAAAGCCTGTCTGTTAGCCATCTTGGGAAATCTGGGTTGAATTTCCTTATTTCCCTCCACTGTCAAAAATATATTAATTTCAATCTATCACATTAGATCACTTTCGTTAGATGACTGTGACCACTAAAAACAAAAAACAGAAAATTGGAACAAACACATGAATAGCCCTTTAGAAAAACCGAAGGATGTGCACCGATGTGGGTCACACTCCCAGGGAGACCTCACAGCTCGTCCCTCGAAGGCGCAGTGTCCAGGGAGGTTGGCGGTGGCAGGGCCTCCGTGTTCTTGGCATTGCTGTAGATGCGACTTTGCTTCCGGGACTTCCAGGCATGTGTCCTATCCCAGTCGGTGGCCACCGTCTCGTTGTCCCAGATGGTGGAGGTCTCCGTGTCACTCAAGTACCCCGGCTGGCCTGTGTAGTGTGTCGGGTAGATGAGCAAGGGTTCTGCAGAGAAGGCTTTCAGGTCCCTGGATTCATAATGCTCCTTGTATTCGGCTCTGAAAACCAGAAGGTGCCGGACACATGAGGGGGCGGAAAGACTCATGGAACAGGGATAAGGAGGGGAGGTTACCTCTTCCGTTGTCATGAGTTCGTTTCATTATTTAAAGTGTCACTGGTGAAAAGCCTTAGCGTACAAACACAAAGATTTCTTTAAAAGCTTTCCAAAGACAAGCTACCAAGCAGAAAGGTCAGGATATTTCTGAGGTATCTAGATAGACTAGTTTAAAAGATGAATTTCGAGGCTGGACACGGTGGCTCACGTCTGTAATCCCAGCACTTTGATGAGGCCGAGGAGGGTGGATCACGAGATGAGGAGATCAAGACTATCCTGGCCAACATGGTGAAACCGCATCTCTACTAAAATACAAAATTGATTGGCCGGGCGTGGCGGCACTTGCCTGTAGTCCCAGCTGCTCAGGAGGCTAAGGCAGGGGAATCGCTTGAACCCAGGTGGAGGAGGATGCTGTGAGCCAAGACCATGACACTGCCCTCCAGCCTGGGTGACAGGGCAAGACTCCATCTCAAAAAAAAAAAAAGGGATGAATTTGAGGTCTGACTCCACAAGTTAAAAAGTAAGCCCTGTTAGACCATAATGATACATAAACATGATCACTTTAAAAAAATGCCCTGCTCTTGAATTAATAAATAGGACACCCGAGAACCAGACAGAGGCAATAGGCTGTGCCGTGTGGAGGCCTGGACGCACGCATGCTTGGCTTTGTGCCCTAGCTCCCTGCTCCCCACTGAGGCTCCAGCAGGTGTAAAGGAGCCTCCCTCCCCCTCATACTCCTGTGAAGAGTATGAAGAGACATCTGAATTTAGTAATTTCTTTTTTTTTTTTTTTAGGGGATAAGGGTTTGACATCCATGTTTCTGCCAGGACACAGAGACTCTGACGTGTTATATACAAGAGAACAAAGAGCTCCGCTTTTACTGAGGACAAAAGATAAAATGAACTGGAGGCAGCACAGGAAATCTCAACAGCTAAAATGAAGACAATCTGCTGAAGAGATCACCCAGCAACTGAGAGAAGGGGCCAAGGTCAGAGCCTGCGCTGCTCCATTAATGAATTTAGGAGTCATTCATTGATGATTCAGGAGCTGCTGTTATGTGTAGCTGCTGTTATGTGTAGCATTTGGACTAGGATCTAAGGACACAGAGGCGTAAGACTGTTCCTGCCCCAAAGGGTTTGTAGTTTATTGGGGAGACTGACCGGTAAACCAATCATTGCTACACCTTTTGCTAAGAGCTACGTCAGGGGAAGCTCCTGGGCTATGGGAGCCCTGAGCATCACAGTGCCTTCTTCCATTGACATCATGCTCAGGTATCACGTCCACATGCCCTGACCCTCTTACACACCCTTATGATCCCAGGAATCACAATATATTGTCATGATTTGTTCATGAGTCTCAATTCCTGAACGGATTGTGAGCTCTGCAAAGATGGGTACCTCTGCCTAGCCAACAGTACACACAATGACCTGAGCCAGAGGAACTGGAAATTTTGAGGTGCTTAGGAAGACGTCCTTCACCTTGAGGAGCATCAGGTTATGGAAGTAAGAAGAGCAAAGACAAGGGGACCAAGCACATTACATTCAGTTCAACTACAAACTGGGTATTACAAGAATCACTGGGCAGGACACCCACTATCTCTGCCTCACCTTCCCATCTATACAAAGGGATAATCACCTGAGTCAGGCTCTCTTAATATTAATAATGAGAAGATCATTTAGGAAGGCAGTACACTTTAGAAAATATCAAGAACTACCAGAATCGGAGAGCATAATTCATGAAGAGGCTGTGCCCAAGAGAGGGCAGGCAGTTCGGGGAGACTCACACAGGATGCTTGTTGTACATGATTGGCAGAAACTCATCCACTGGCAGCATCTTCCCAAAAGGATTGGCTCCAACCAGCTTCTGTGCCCCTTCCAGAGAGATGACGTAGCCCAGGGTCCAGTAGGAATAGTCGGCTTCGACCAGGTTTTCCACACTGGGCACTGCTTTCTCTGGCTCCTTGACTTGCATCCTCTTCCTACCAATATAACTACATGGAAACAGCAGGGGAGAAAAATTCCACCTTGAATATTAGGCTGGGATAAGGATGGAGCACAGCTTTGGTTTACATAGATACTTTTGCAATCCTGGACTGTCTGTCATTAAATGACGTTTCACGTCCCCAAGTGGATCCTGTCACCAGTCATGACTGCCATCTGCCATCACTGGGGCCATTTTTCTGGCTTCATTTACCAGCACCCCCACTATACCTGTCTAGTGGACTGTTTTCAAGCCAGAAAGTAAGACGTAGTGAGATTAAAAGATCTTTCAGCTCATTTATCAAAGATGGGATGGGGTTTCATGTTGTTTACAGAGGTTGGAAAGGCACAAAAAAGGCCAGATGGGAGAATCCTGAACCTGCTGTCTTCAGGTCCCCAGAGTTAGCAGCCTCGGGTGCCTTCTGCACAGGGCTGAAAAAGCTGGGGGAAAGTGTCAGTCTGCAGAACCCCGGAGCGGCCGAAGGGGTTTCTCCTGGGGAATATGAATGACAGCTCCTGACAGACATTCTCCTGCCTCACACTCGCCAGCTGTGACCAGGCTTCCTCCTGACACGCTGCTCCAAGAAAGGCCCCCAGGCACCTTCTGTCCTCCGTGAATAACTTCTGCAATGTGGGGTGCCCCTTGGGCCGCTCTTCCCTAGTCTACCCATGGACCCATGCTCCATCACTTTTGTCTGGAACCTGCAGGTATGGGCTTGACGGGAGCTGCCTGCTTCTTGCCTGCTGGGTAAAGCAGGACTTCCTCTATTTTACCCTAAAACAACCTCTTTCAACAGTCAAGGGATTCCCTCTTGTCAAAGCATCCCAGAATTTATAGAACAAGTCTATGTTCAAATGTCAGTTCTAAGGACAGCAAACATACATCCCCAACCACTGTCTCTTCAGATTACAGAGTCTGATCTTTTCTGGTGTCTCATCCACTGGAAGGGAAACTTTTATGGAGCACTTGGGAGGTACTAGAGTGATAGGGGCTATAAAGTCAAGAGTTAATGCTCTAACTTTAATTAATTTAATTTTAAATGTTGAAGCTATGTGAAATATATATATATTTTCACGAAACAAGTTGTTTTGGTAGGACTATAGTTTAACAGCTGTAAATTTAGCTTCTGGATTTAGATGTGTTCTAGGTGTAAAATACATACCAGATTTTGAAGACTTGGTATGAAAAAAAAAGAGAAGGGAAACTATGCCATTAATGCTTTTAAAATATTAATTACATACCAAAATGATGATTCTGTTTGGTTAAGTAAAATGTATTATTTAAATTAATTTGACTTAATTTATTTTTTCCTTTTTAATGTGATTATTAGAAAATTGAAAATTACATATGTGGCTTGCATTATATATCTATTGAACAACAGTGCCTAGATGATTCCAATGACTTCTTGTATTCTTCCTTTTACTATTTTCTGGAAAAATGTAATGTGGCAATCATGGACAGCTTATTACCTTTCATGTTTTAGGTTTAAGTAACATTTGTTTCTTTGTTTTAGAAAACGACAGGTACAATTTAAAACTGTTATCATTCTTTAAGACTATATAATAGATTTTAAGGGAATATTTTGACTTGATCAATCATCTGTGAAATTTAGAAAACATTTTTTTCCTGTATCCTTATCAAGACAACTGTCCTTCCTTCTTGGATCTGTTGGTGCTTTGTCCTGAGAAATGCACCCACCAAACTACATGTGAAGAGCAATGTATGCCAGCTCTAAACCGTACATTCCCTGGGCTCAGTCTTCTGTGATTATGAGACTTAAGTGAAAGTTGCCTTTACACAAGTCACGTGGGCATCAAGTAGCTTCCAGGCTCCATGCGTGAGAGGCCTTAACCATAGGCTGTGGAGCCATCCATCAGAAAGGCTGAAGTGCAGAGACTTCTGGAGGATATAGGAAAAAGCAGTGATCTCAAGGGACTGTGCAGAATGCCAAGTCTAACCACATGACCACATGACTGAAATCTGACAGAGTGTAGGTTCCTTATTAAACAGTAACACATTAATTGAGCCACTGCTAGGTTTCTTTTGAGCTCAGAGTGGCCCATTTTCTAGGAAACAAGTATTTCACCTGGGCTCATAGTTAAATCCCCCCCTTCTCCCCGGGGGTGGGAGGAGCAGGGACAGCTCCTCTGCCGCTGCTGCTCCAAAGAAGCAGGCTCTGAACTGATGAATTGCCTTTGACACACAGCTGGGAGCAAACACAATGCCTGGGAACTTTCTGCTTCATTGGAGGGAAGCTGAAAGTGTCATTTGTTTTACAAAGAAAATCAGAGAGAGAAAGAAGGAGGAGGGAGAGGAGGAAGAAGAAAAAGAAAGGAAAGAGGGAGGGAGAGAAAGAAGAAAAAAACCGAAAGGAAGGGAAAGGAAGGAAAGGGGAAGGGGGAGGGGAGCGGAGGGGACAAAGTCGAAACCACTAGATTCCCAAGGCGATAGACAAAGAACATTAACTAAATGCCAGCTCAGAGCCAGCACTCCCTTGGTGAGCCTGGTTTTCCTGTGTCAGCCTCAGACTCTTCCTCAGATCTGGTTGTCCATGTTCTCCACGTTTGTGCAACCTCGTTTCCCAACAGAGGAGCTGCCTGGCTGACCCTCTAACCTCACCTTCTCGGAAGCTGCAGGGGCAATCTGCTCTCCCAGCATCTGAGGCCTAAATATGACACAGGACTTTGGCACTTGAATAAATGGCCTCTCCTCCCACATCACACCCACTCCATGGGCCACATTGCTTGAGGGTGGGATTTCTGCTGTGGTCCTAAGTAAGTGGCTCAGTGCCACACCTTGGCTCTGTCTGAAGGCCTCTGATCTGCAGGCAGACTCCAGGTCTCAGAGAATCTTCCACAGTTTCCCACCCTGAAGAGTAGAAGGATACAAAAATCCAGTGGCTAACCTCTACCCACTTTTGTTTCTGAAAACATTTATGGAAAGAAAACCAGGTAAGTGGAAGCTTAAGCTGTATCTCCTACTGGCTACAAAGGTGGGGTTCTCTGCTCCTTGGAAAGGACTGAGTGTCTCTCCGAGCCCTTTCACAAGGTCATCTTGTCACTCACATCAGCTCCCAGTCCAGCTGAGCCTGGTCGATATCATCCATCAGCTTCATCAGCTTCTTTTTAAACTGATGCTCAAAACGCACATCATCTTCAATTACAAGAGTCTTCTCTAGTTCTCGGTCAATAACCTGTAAAGGTCATCAGTAGGAAGATAACCTATGAAAAGTTCGACACCCAATTTTTATGAGATCAAAATGTATTAAAAAGTCACAAGTCTAGCAGGGTAGGTTCATAAGTGGAATCTAAGCAAATGGCCGTCAACAGTAGAACAGATAAATAAACTGTGGCATATTCACAGCACTGAGGATGTATGATCCACAATTAAATGCAATTTTATAGGTGAATCTCCGAAAGGTCATGTTGGGAGAGTACCTATATTGTAGGACTCCATTCATATAAAGGAAAGTACAAACAAAGATAAAGCTTTAGAAGTCAAGATGGTGACTACCCTTGGGGACTGGTGACTAGAAGGAAGTATGGTGGGGAGCACTTCTGGGATGCTGCTTACCTGCTTCTTGATCTGTGTGCTGACTAACATGGGTGTGTTGGTCCGCTTGTGAAATTTCCCTGAGCTATATCTTTTGATCTATATACTTTTATATCTATTTATTACATTTCACTTAAAGAAAAAAAAAAGGCAGGCATAGACTGGATCATTAAAAGAGAAAGTGTTCAAGAGGACTTTCTTCAGGAACTTTCTCTTTTGTTGTGGAAACTGACTATCAGGAACCCTACACACAAATACCCCCTCCAGAAATGTCTCGATCTGTAAGACAGGGGTTCAAGTTCTGGCACTGCCACTTCTTCCCTAGACACGGTACTTAATAATTTCTTCTTGGGTAAAAGTGGTCTGTCCTTCCCAACCCACCTCACATGACTTCTGTGTGATTTGTTGTATAAAATCACTTAATAAGTGATGTCATAATAGGTACCATAGAAGGCATTCCTGCTAATGATGACAATGAATTAATGAAAGTGTGGCACGTAGGACATGGTATCTCCTGTCATCATCCCATGTGGCACCAAAGCTACTCCTCCTTGCCCCTCTGTTGCTGGTCTCGGGTCAGAGGGAGACACAGGCAGGAGCAGCTCTCATGCACACTTCCAGAACAGTTATGGGCTCATTTTACATCTAGCCCTAATTCACCTACGACATCCTACTTTCCTTTCGCCTCATCGTAAAACTGCAATCTGAACACAGCATTATTTACCTCTTTCCAGACTGAGTAGTGGCTGAGAAAGCAGCCAATTTCACCCCTGGTTAGAGGCCTGGAGGAATAGGGATCTCGGTAGCCAGGGAGCATTTCAATATTCAGGGACTTCAGCTGGCTTGTGTTGAGTGCCCTGCATCACAGAAAATGTGTCTGAAAATTAATGTCACAGGTCCCCACCACAGATGCGAGAGAGAGAGAGAGAGAGAGAGAGAGAGAGAGAGAGAGAGAGAGAAAGTTCTGCAAATACCCCTCTCCCACTGCTCCTGACCACCGCCCCCCCCACCCCCAACCGCCCCAACAGAGCCTCTGTGCACACAGACAAAGACCTCTCAGGCTTCCCTTTACTCCTTACAAGTTCCTCACGGTTAATGTGTCACACTAGTATTATGTGGTCTGTGAAGACAAGAGGGTATCATATTTTCATGTATCCCTCATAGTGCCCAACATAGTTCTCAGCATCATGAGTTTTTTGACAACGTTTAATAAGTATGCTCCTAATGAAGGAAAAGTGGCTTGTAGGAGTATTAAATATCAGAAGGGATGAGCACAGGAAGAATGAGCAGAGGAACTGCGTGCTTCTGTGTCTCTCCTTTGCACCTAAAATAAAAACAATGGAAAAACAAAACACACAGGGAAGCATTTCCAGAATAGTGAAGTAAGGACCTCTGAAAATCTGCTCCTCTCTAAAAGCAATAAGGACACTGGCAAAAAAAAATATCAAAATTAACTTTTCTAGACCTCTGGAAATTGGCTAAACTATTGCTTAGTAATTCAAGGAGTGTTTAATCAAGACTCACTGCTGAATCTCTGCTAACATAGTGGTTTTTGTGGAGTTCACAGCTGCTCTAATCTTAACCTGTTCTCTCTAACCCTACAAAAGCCTTGAAAACCAGTAGCCTTACAACTACGATAGCTGCAAAACCCACCAACCCAGCAGCCACTGGTGGGGGCAAAATGGACTGAGACTCCCCTAAAGACCTGCCTCCAGAAAATAATCCCTATTCAACCTGTCTGGTAGCTCCCTGAAGAGCTACATTGTCAGACCTTGTCTTGATTTGACCTGACTCAGAGTTCACTTTCTGTGAACAGCACTATCTGCAGTGCGTTTGTCAAAACCCATGAGCAACAAATGTTTAACATTACAGTTGTTTGAGCAGGAATAAGAGGTCCATAGAGAGTTTGAAAAGCTCCAAAATATCCCTGAGAATCTAGAAGGCCCCAGGCATATTCAGGACTGTCCATGCACCCAGGAAAAGCTTGAAAAGTCCCTATTCTCTAACCTCTGGCTGACCTTAAGAATCTGGAAAAAAAGGTAGTGAAGGCAAATGAATAAAACTCTGCAATCAAGGTAGAATTTGGCATAATGAATTTTAAAAAATGATGTAACCATGTAGTATCTACAAGAGGCAGCCTTTAGACTAAAAGACAAAAATAGGTTGAAAATAAAAGAATGGAAAAAGATACACTATGTAATCAGTAATGACAAGAAAGCTGGCAGTGCTATGCCAATATTAGACAAAATATATCTTAGACAAAATTCATGCTAGAGCCAAGGAAGGACATTTTTTAATGATAAAAAAGTCAATCCATCAGGAAGACGTAACAATATAAATACATATGCACCTAATGGAGCTTCAAAACCATGAGGCAGAAACTGGAAGAACTGAAAGGAGAAATAGACAACTCAACAATAATAGTGGAAGACATCAATATGTCACTTGCAATAATAGAACTAGGCAGGAGGACAACAAGGAAACAGAAGACTTGAATACTTTCTTAAAACAATCAGACCTAGTAGACATCTAGAACACTCCATCCAACAATAGCCAAATACAAACTTTCAAGTGTGCATGGAACATTTTTTAAGAAATTCCATTTTTTTTAGACCATAAAGACCATATAGGTCATAAATTAAGCCTTGGTATACTTAAAAGGATTGAAATCACTCAAGGTATGTTCTCCAATCTCAGTGGCATGAAATTAAGTATCAGTAACAAAAGGAAACTTGGGAAATTTAGAAATGTGGAATTAAACAATACACTCCTAACCAATGAATCAAAGAAGAAATCACAAGAAAAATTAGAAAATATTTTGAGATGAATGAAAACACAGCATACCAAAACTTGAGGAATACACCTAACATAGTACTTGGAGATACAGTTACAGCAGCAAATGCCTATAGGAAAACAGAATATTTCAAATAAATAATTTTACCATACATCTTAAGAAACTAGATAAAGAGAAAATTCAACCCAAAGCAAGCAGGAGGAAGAAAATGATAAAGACTACAGTAGAAATAAATAAACTAGAGAACAGAAAAATAATAGATAAAATCAACAAAACCAAAAGTCAGTCCTCTGAAAAGATCAAAAAAATTGACAATTATTTGCCTAAGCTGATGTATTTTTTTAAAAAAGTAGACTCAAACTATTAAAGTCAGGAATGAAAGGGGGGGTCACCCCTACATACCTTATGAAAGTAAAAAAGATTATATGAAAATACTATGAACAATTGTATGCCAACAAATTAGATAACCTAGATGAAATGGACAAATTGATAGAAAGGTACAAACTACCAAAATTTACTCAAGAAGAAATGGAAAGTGTAAATATACCTATAACAAGCAAATAAGTTTAATTAGTAATAAAAATAATTTCCACAAAGAAAAGCCTAGAACCAGATGGCTTCACTAGGGTATTCTGCCAAATGTTTAAAAATTGTTAACATGGATCCTTCACAAACTTCCAAAAAAGAGAATAGGAAGAAACACATCCTAGCTGATTTTATGAAGCCAATATTATTTTGATATAAAACCAAAAACATAAGAAAACTACACACCAATATCACTTATTAATATAGATTATTATCTATATTAATAATCCCAGGATTATACCAGGGTTGCAAGTTTGTTTTAACATGTAAAAACTGATTAATGTGCCATATTAATAGACAAAAATCACATGTTCATCTTAATAGACACAGACAAACCATTTAATAAAATCCAACGCCCTTTCATGATAAAAATACTCAACAAAATAGGACTAAAAGGGAAATTCCTCAACCCAATAAAGTCCATCTGTGAAAAACCCACATTTAATATCATACTTAGCAGTGACAGACTGAATGCTTTCCCTCTAAGATCAGGAACAAATCAAGAAACTCTCCTCTCACCAGTTCTATTCAACGTTGTACTTGATGATCTAGCAAGGATAGTTAGACATGAAGAAAAAATAATGTAATCCCAGTTTGAAAGGAACATATAACACTATCTCAACTTGCATATGACATGGTCATGTATGTAGAAGATCCTAAGGAATATACACACACAAAGGAAAAATTACTATTAGAACTGATAAAAGAGTTCAGCAAAGTTGCAGGATACAGGATCAATATACAAAAATCAATTGTATTCCTATTCATTTAGCAATGAACAACCTGAAAATAAAGCTTAAGGAAACAGTTCCATTTACCATAGCAGCAAAAGAGCAAAATACTTAGGAATATATTTAATAAAATAAATGCAAAATAACAAAATATCATTCAAAGAACTAAAGATCTAAATAATAAAAAGACATCACATGATTATGAATCAAAAGACTTCATATTGTTAACATGGAAATATTCCCCCAGTTGATTTATAGACTCAATGCAATTCCTATCAAAATCCCAGCTGCTGTTTTCTTTTTTTGTGGAACTTGACAAGCTAATTCTAAAATTCATATGGAAATGCAAGGGACCCAGAATAGCTAAGACAAGCTTGAAAAGAATAACAAAATTGAAGGATTTCTTAAATAAAAAGCTACCGTCATCAAGACAGTATAATGCTGGCATAAGGACAGACATATGGATTAAATAAAATTGAGAGTTCAGAAATAAACCCTTACATTTATGGGCAACTGATTTTTTACAGTGGTGCTAATACAATTCGACAAGGAAAAGGAGTCTTTTTAACAAATGGTGAAGGGACAAATGGATAACTATGTGCAAAAGAATGAATATGGATCCCTGCCTCATACCATATACAAAAATTAGCTCCACGTGGATCAGAGACCTAAATATAATAGATAAAACTATAGAACTCTCAGAAGAAAACTTCATTAATTAAATCTTCATGGCTTTGAACTTGACAATGGATTCTTAGGTATGACACCTAAATTACTAGCAACAAGAACAAAAAATAAATTGGACTTCATCAAAATGAAAAACTCTTTTGCTTCAACGTACACCATCATGAAAGTGTGACAATCCATAATCCATAAACTTGAAGAAAATATTTGACAATTACATATCTGATAAAGGACTTGCATCCAGAGTATATAAAGAATTCTTGCTACTCAACTAGTTTCCCTGGTCCATGTGGCCTATGAATGGGATTGAGGCTCTTGGAGGCATTTGAAGCAGTGGTTCCTAAACTCTACTGCACCCAAGAATAGGGATGACAGATTTAGGAAGTTAAAAACACAAAACACCCAGTCAAATTTAAGTTCCAGATAAATAATGAATAATTTTTTAGTATAACCAACCCCTACATGATGTTTCGGACAAATTTAACTGGCTATCCAGTATTTTATGTGGCAATCCTATCCAAGGATCACCTTGAGGCTTCTTAAATGCAGTTCCTAGGTCCAGCCTCATAGAGCATAATTCAGTAGGTCTGAGATGGGACTGAGGCAGCTGCCCCCTTAACCACCCCTGGGGACTCTGATGTGAGTGTCCGGGTCACACTTTGAGAAACCCTGAAGAGATTCTCTAAGGGAGTCATAAGAACGTCAACAGCTGCTAGCCATACTCCTTAGTTAGGGGTATGCAAATAGAAAACAAAGGAACTGATATTCAAAACCAACATATAACATGGAAAGGCACATTTTGTAAAAATCTATGCCTTGAAATAGTTTAGGATGTGAAATAAAAGGGCAAAGCCAAACAAGATACAACAAAAAGAAGGGATCTAACTAGGTTCTCTGTGTTACTTTCCTGCCATATTTCCAGGAAAAGTGGCCACTATGATCAATCCAGGTAGATTGTGGCAGGCATTTCATGCAACAGGACATGTAGACCTTTATGCATTTTTCCATCCATTTTCTTCAGGTTGCCCAAGTTTCAGCACTTTATGCTCTAATTCAGCTCTGAACACAATTCTGAACACATTCCTTCTGTTACACTACAGAAAGCTGAACACCACAACTGTTCCAAGAACCCCCAGAGATGGGACAATCACATCCAATGTGAGTCTTCAGTATAATGAAGACCAAAGACCACTGGCTAGTGAGTGGATTTCATGCCTGCTCTACAGGATTAAATTAACTTAAATGCTACTATAGGTGGCACATGGCTGTTTTAAAAACAGGACTATCCTCTAATGACCAAAGAGTCTTAGAGCCCCACCCGGGACTGTCTGTCAGAGAAGACATATCCCCACTCCAATCACATCTGCAAGAGGAGAAGAAACCCAACTCACTTTCCATCCACAGCCTCGACGATCTTGACCTCAATCTCCTGCTCATACAGTGTGCGCAACATCCGGTCCCGCCTGTCCTTTCTGCGTTTGAGGTTTATCATGAAAATCTAATGCAAGAAGAAAAAGGGAAAAGACACATAAATTATTCAAGTCTTCTTTTAGGCTGTTTGAAAGTTTAGTAAATGTTTTAGATAGAAGAAGTGGAAAGGATAGGAAGAACTGTGGTGAAAACTTGTTTTTATCTCAGACCAGTGTTTATTTAGGGTAAATGATATTAATTCAAATTGATTATTTGCAAAGCTCAACTCTTCCTAGTGACTTAACTTTCTTTGTTTCTCTGATGTTCATTGATAAATATGTTCTCCCTTCTCTTGAAATAGGGAAGTTTAAAAAGGCTGCTCTTTAAGAGGTCAAAGAACAACAAGATCCCATGTTTAGAAAAACCTAAAGATTCCACCAAAAAACCATTAGAATTGATAAACAGCTTCAGTGAAGTTACATGATACAAAATCAACAAACAAAAATTATTAGTATTTATATATGCTAACAACAATCTGAAAAAGAAATAGAAAAAACAATCCCATTTATGATAGCTACAAAAAATTAATACTTAGAAATAAATTTAACCAAAGAAGTTAAAGATCTTTATAATGAAAACTATAAAACACCATAAAAGAAATGGAAGGACATTAAAAATAGAAAGATATCCTATGTTCATTGATTGAAAGAATTAATATTGCTAAAATGTCCAAGATTGAAAGAATTAATATTGCTAAAATGTCCATACTATCAAAAGTGATAAACAGATTCAATGTAATCCCTACCAAAATACAAATGATATTTCTCTTAGAAAAAGAAAAAAAAATCCTAAAATTTTCATGGAACCACAAAAGATCCCGAATAGCCAAAGCTATTCTGAGCAAAAAGAACAAAGTTTGAGGCAACAAACTACCTGCCTTCAAAATATGCTACAAAACTATAGTAACCAAAACAGCATGGTACTGACATAAGAACAGACAAAACACAGACCAGTGGAACAGAATAGAGAACCAGAAATAAGTGTACACATTTACAGCCAACTCATTTTTTTATAAGGACAACAAGAGTTACAGATATTGAAGATGTCCTCACTATTCCCAGATTTAATGAACCACAAAAATACCTAAAGCTTTGTGAATGCCATTACAGGTAAATCAATGTTTTAATCAGGTCCTTTTGCTACAAACAGTAAGAAACTCACTTTAAATGTTAAACTAGTGACTTTAACTGCCAATGAGAAGCGATGACACATAGCACAGTAAAGCAGAAACTATAGAAATAAGTCAGGTGGTGATGACTTCATCCTGACTAACCATCTGGATGACTTTGAGGAAGACATTAATGTTTCTGGGTCCAGTTCCGTAAAAACAGGAAAGTGAACAAACTCATCTTTCAAATTCAGGACAGATTAAAACATCTAAGATGGTGTTTTATAATAGAGTAGGCTTTCTGCTATGGCCAGAATAAAAGAGAAACGTTGTCTTAGAACCAGTCTTGAGTTCAGATTGTACCGTGTTAAGGTTTGGTTCACATGTCATTCTGAAGGCAGTCATATGTGTATGTTTCACGGGAATTAAAAGCTACACTAACTAAAATTTCAGCCCTTCCTTGCAAAATATTGTCATGTCATTCATATCCATTTCTAAATCCCTGGGTATAGAAACTGATAGAGGAGCAAGATGTTCTCTCTGAAGAAACTGTCCACCTGATTTAGGGCCAAGTAGATTAAGTGCATCCTAATTTTACTACCTTGCTTGTTTACCTAACTGGGTAATTATTCTGTAAAAAACATAATATTCTGTGGTTACTCTATTTGCCTCATTACTTTGGACTTTATAACTTAATGGATTGTGTTCTTTTAGTCAGAATCATACTGTGATGGATCATGTCTCATCCCCTAATTTTCCAGATATGGAAAGGAACAGGTATTTTCTCATGAATAAACATGGAGCCACCTGGGGTCACTGTAGGAGAACAGAAGAAACAGAACAAAAAAACAAAAATGCATCCAAAAAGGCCCCCCAAATCATAGATCTCCAGTCTGGGGAGACTTTTAGTAAATAACAATCCAGTTGCAGTCCCTGCCAGGACAAGTGCAATAAAACTGTAGCCACGAAGGAAAAACACAGACGGTTCGCTCATACTTAGTGAACAGTAAACAGAAAAAAGAGCCTCACAGCCAAATGCAGCCCAGACACCACCAGTGAGGTCACAGAGTCCTAGGAGGATTGAAAGGCCCCTGAAAAGCCCTTTTTCTACCATGCTATCTGTTCCACACAGAAAGGTGACTACCGCAGACGCAGGAAGGTAGAGTCTCCGAGCCCGTGCCACTTCACGGAGTTGGCTTTTTCCTGAAGGGCCCTAGGAGTGACCCGTTCCTTACACCGTGTCCTGCCCAGGGAAGACCAGAACTGGAAGATCTTCGTTTTGTCTTATTTTGTTTGCTTTGGTTTGGTCCTCATAGGAATGTTTTTAGGAGGAAAAATAAATCTATGTAAGGACACTTGGGTCCTTTCTCCTAGGGAACCAAGAGAGGGCTGCAGGGAAGGAAAGCTACAGTTACATGTGGAAGCTGGTCTACTCTGGGTGTGGGACAACCTTCTCTGTAACCCTGATCATTTTTGAAAACTATTTGCAAATGAGTCTGATTCCTCACTACATGTAGTTCATCTCTTCTCATTCCGCCCTCTGTGGAAACAGCATAGTAGCTGTTAACTCTTCTCCACTTAATATTCATGAAATACTCTTTCCCCATTCCTTAGGTCTAGTTCTAAATCAGTTTTATGGGAGAAATCTTGATTCCCAGTTCCAGTGTCAAATCCCTTTGAGAAGACTGTACTTTGGGGACATATATGTATATGTTACCATGTGACAAACAAGGCATCTTCCTTCGATTGAGCAGTGGCGATGAGCACCAAGCTCAAAGCCTGATCTGCAACATATCCAGAGTCCATGGAAGAATTCTCAGTTTGTGGATTCCTGAGGCACCGCCCTAGCGTCTAGACTTTGATTAAAAGGTTGATTAAAAATACGGCAATGTCTGCTCCTAGAAAATATGAAATTTACTTTCATTACTAAATGGTAATTGATTTCTGAGTAAATGATTAATTACCTTTTATCACGATCCTCCTATTTTTAAGATAAAGTAACTAAGGAACAACAAAAACCAAGTAGTTTTTCCAAGACCTCAGAGCCATTTCAGCAACGAAGCCACATCTTGCTGGGTCTCAGATGCAAGCTCAGACTTGTGTTCCAAAACGGACACAGAAGCCCGCACATACATGCACATGCACACACACATATAGACACCTTTCCTACCTCATCAAATCCCATCTTGTCTGGATATTTAGGGACAACTGAGACATACTGGGAGGGTTCCATTGGAGGACGATCAACTGGAAGACACAAGAAACACGCAGAGTGCTTTGTTAATGAAAGGGTCAGAAATCAGAATTCCATCCGCATGCCTGACCTCTAGGGCTGGAATACAACTTGGAAATACAGAGCAAGGGACGATGGCAGCACTTCTCCAGGACTGGGTAGCCACATAGGAACCCTGCCAGTCAGGGCACTGGTTTCAAGAACATTTGTTTATATGGAGATTGCAACATTTGCTCCACTTCCCTTAAGACTTATTTCAAGAATATTTAAGAGGCAGTTTAGGATAATGGTTAAGAGGAAGGGCTCCAGAGTCAGATCATCTGGGTCCAAATCTTGGTTTGTGAAGGGAGTAGGAGAGTTAGGGGACCTTGTTAAGTTCATTTCTTTGGTGTAAAATTGGGATAATAAAAGTGTATCTGTGTTATAAAATTTAAATGAGACCTGCATGCAAAGCACTCACAATTTTAGCATAATAAATGCTCAACAATTCATAGTTAACTACTATGGCCCATGATGAAAGAGCTCAGAAATAGGCTAGAAATTTTACTGAAAAACACTTTTTTCTCTACATTTAAAATTGTCCAAGTGTGGGACTATTTTTATCCTACCCGGGCAGGTTTAGCTGCGGGTGCACAAAAGGTCCCTTGCTTTAACAGGATCTTACCATGGAGGGCTGGCCCACATCCCAGAACTTGGGACAGGGATAATGGGAAGATTCCAGCTAGGAGTGACATTGCTTCTTAAGCAATGAAAGTTTTATTTATTTGATACTCTAAAAAAGCTTCCTTTGCAAACTATGTATTTTAAAGATTGGAAGTAATATTGGTTAAGAAATCTGAAAAGGCCTCGAAGAATTTTTAGTATCATACAAATTCAAAGTCCTCATTTGATTTTCCTTAAAGGGATAATACAAAGAAAATTTAAAATGAGAGCTGGTAACTGGGTTGTTGAAAGAACTGTGGGTGATGGCCATTACTACTGTAACCTCTATTCCAGGCACAGGAGAGGAATACATTCTCTTGCCCTTGAAGTTATTCAGGGCTATGTGACTTTCTGAGGAAAGTTTACAGTGCAGTGCTGCTGCTCCAGTCTCCAGAGCTCCCCGCACCCTGTCCCTGAGCAGCTGTAAATTGGCAACAGCCTGGAATGCTGCATCAACACATGGAGGGCAGCTCCCAGGAAAGGCAGCAGCTCTGCAGACGTGGATGGCAAGGAATAAGCCATTGTTGTATGAAGCCCATCAGATTTTTATATTCTACCATAACTTTGCCCATCTGAGATACTCTCCAGAGGGTATGATCTGTTTAACTTCACTGAGATATCACACAGAAACCATGACATCCAATTTTATTTATTGGCAGATGATGTGAAATTCTAGAACACAGTGAGACAGAGTTCTTAGGCCAAACACAAGAGTTGGTCTCATTACTTCAAACTTGACACAGTCACATTTCTGTGAACATGCAGGGCATGTGTTTCTCTTAAGAGCAGCCCAGAATAGTCTGGTCCTTTCTGCTCCACTCTACTCCTTATTAGTTTCTTTTAAAATCAGCAGGGAGGGTCCACCACGTACAGGGTTAGGTTTTTAAGAGAAAGAAATTTAATGTACCAGCTTCCTCTTGTTCATGATATTGTCTGAGAAGCTGTCTAGCTTTCCCTCCTGGGGCCTGAGACTTGGGGAGGATGTTGTATTTTGAGTTACCTGTTCTAGGCTGCTGGTCTTCTTTGGACTCACATGGCCTATGTGGCTTTAACGTTTCAGCCAAAGAGGCTGCTTTTAGCCACTTTGTTTCCATCAAACTTAGGCAGTCAACTGCATTCACAGGACAAGTGTTGCACAAAAGCCACAAGTGGTTGGCTCCTGAAAGTCATCATTGAGCAAAAATATCAGAGAAGTGTGCTTGGGTTTTGCCACTGAAGGCAGCAGTAAGCCACAGAGGAAAACAAAAGTGATACAGTGAATTGGACCTAAGAAACTTAGTCTTGGGGGAGAAGGATGTGTCTTTGCTGACAACAGACTTGAAGATTAGGTTCTAATCTATCCTGGCTTCTGTTTGTGGTCATTTCTGACTCCACCATTCATAATTGATCTGGTCTGTCATTAAATCTCTTCCTGTAAATAATCCTTCCCTTGTACTACCACTTGGGACAATGAGCGTCACTGCTTTCTGGATAGTTTCAGGATCTAATGTGAATAATTATAGCCATTGTTGTAGAGATCTTGACATATATTTAATATTCACATGTACCATGCGATATGTATGAGTGTCTCTATTTTACAGACAAGGAAACAAATCTTAAATAACTTGCCCAAGATCACAGAGCTAACAGAGCTGGTATTTGAACACAGGTCTGAGCTCCTGCACAGGAGCTCTTAATTCACACTCCACATCACCCCCAGAGCTAGGCCTTGCTGGCCACTGATACTAGTCAACCAGGCAACTGGGCTGGGTCCAGAGGAGCTCATTTAAGTTATTTAAGCTCAGTTGTGTCTGGAAAAGTACTTGATAGATTGTACTTGGATCAAATCCTAATGCTGCTTCTCTGTAATCTCTCTTGAACTTCTTCCATTGCTGCAGCCTAGCTCAGGTCCTTACTCACTGTGCCTGGGCTGTGTTTTATATTTTTCAAACACTCACATGCTCTCAGTCTTTTCTGTTCTAATCAATCATTCACACTGTTGTCAAAATACTCTTCCACCACGCAGCTCTGTTCTCAACCATAACTGGCACACTCAACACTACAGTTAAGGGCTTAACAGCTTGTTGGGTGTTTTCATAGTTGCCATGTAATTTTACCTTCACTTTCTGTGGTGATTGTTTTTACAAATAAAGAAACTGAGACCAAGCCAGATGTAGACTTGTCCAAGTTCAAATACTGAGTGATTGGCAGAGCTGGAACTCAGTTTTAGATTTGACTTCAAATCCAAATATCTTACTAATTTTCAGATGATGTGCTGTTACCTCAAAATGTCAATATTAAGAACAGGTACCTGAGACTTCCTATCACCTTACACTATAATTTGCAAGAACAATCTCCTCATGTTTATAAACCATTTAAATCTAGCATCTTTACAAGATCTGGTCTCCTGTCACTCATCTCCCAAAGGAAGCACATCCCCAAATTCTCTGTACAGCTTCTAATGTACTAAATGAGTTACCACATGAAAAGAGATGGGCACAGCGCTTTGAATAAGTGTTAGTTGTTGCTGTCATAACCCTCCTCTCACCTAACTCAAACCCTTCCACTCTGATTTCTAAATCTCCAGTCTACAATTCCAAAACTCCCTGATCACGCTTTTCACAACATTTTCAATTCTCATCCACTGATGCCTGATAAAACCCTAATCCTGGTTAAACCCGGTTGCCCACTTACTCAGCATCAAGAGGACTACTGTGAGAAACATACACAATTGTGTTGACACAGTCACTTCAAAGCTACAACCAAAGATGTCAAGTTGGCACTTGACACCAAGTTATGTAACTGTCCTCCCATAGTAAACTTATTTTCCTACTCTTTGAGAGATTGTATCTTATGCCGTCTCTCCTGAAATCTGCAAAATCTCTGTCTAGCTCATGACTGGACTATATACTCCAGAAAGAAAACATTCAAAATCAAATTATATCTACCTTTTCAATCTACCTGAAGTCCACCAACCAAACCGCATGTGTACGGATACATTCTGCCATCCAGTCTGCCACAGCAGATGAAGTTTCTATCTAGTACAGCCTCTCCAATATGGTCCTACAAGCTAGGATAACAACCATCTTGTTTTTGTCTTACAATTACCGTCTCTTCTACATCATCAAGATCTCCTTATGTATTGGATACCTGTGATTAGCATACAAGCATACATTACATTTCCATTAAAAACAAAACAAAACAAAACAAAAAACGGTGCAAGCAGACAAACCAAACCCAACCAGGAAAACCTTTCCCTTGACTTTTCACCCCCAACAGCCTCCATGTGATTTCTCGATTCCCCGTCCCATCAAGATTCAGCTTTCTTATCTCCCCATTGGCGTCTCTTCAGTCCACTTGAATGGATTTGTGTCCTCACCACTGCACTGAAGTGGTCCTTGTCAAGGACATCACAGAGACCTCTCTCGACAGAACCAGTGAATAATTCTTTATCCTCGTTTTCCTTGGCTTCTTAGCAGCATCTTGGCTCTTTCTTGAAACACTTCTCAATTTTTCCTCTCAGCTCTCTGGCTGTTTGTCTTCCCCAGGGATCTGTCCTCTTCTCGTTCCATGTTCTTCTACTACATGAGTCCACACTGTTCCATGGTTTCAGATATCCTTTTGATGCTGATGATTCTCAAATGTCTGTCTCTAGCTGGAGTCTCTTCCATGAACTCCAGACTCACATATCCAATTATCTTCTGACTTTTCTATTTAAATGTCTAATAAATATCTTAAGCTTACATGGCCAAAACTACCTCCCCACTTTCCAGTCTTTTTCCATAAAGCCTTTCCCATCTCAGTAAATGGTGTATTAGGCTAAAATCCTGGACTCATTCTTGATTCCTTTCTTCCCTTCATGGACTGCATCCAGGTCTCTGTAAGTCCTATTGGCTCCACCACCAAAATATATCCTCAATCTGTCTGTTTCTCATTACCTCCCTGCTATAGCTCACATTCCAATTACCATCATGTCTCACCAGGAGAGAGATACTGGTCCCCTACACTCTGGTATCCACACCACAGTCCAAATGATACTTCCAGATGCACAAGTCATATCAGGCCACCCCCACCCGTCACACACCACCCTTCTATGGATTCCCATTACTCTTCAAGTAAAATCTAAATTCCTTACCATGGCCAGAATGTTCTGCATGATCTGGAAATTTCTTCTTCCATGATCTCATCTCCCTTGACCCAACTCATTCTCTATACCCCAACCACGCTGGCTTTTTGTCCCTGGAACACCCCAAGCTTTTCCTAACAGCCTTTACATGTCCTGTTCACTCCACTTCGGACATTCTTCTCCCAAATATTCATGTGTCTGCTTCTTAGATATATTGTCTGTTGTCTAACTCTCTGTGTTAGAATATAAGTTCCCTAATGGCAGGGTGTCTGCCTATTTTGTTCACTGCTGTGTATATTGAACAATTTGTACAAGGTACAATGTGGTTTGAATAAATGCTTACAGCTTGATTCTCTCTTCTTCTTCTTCTTCTTTTTTTTTTTTTTAGATGGAGTTTCGCTCGTTACCCAGGCTGGAGTGCAATGGCGCGATCTCAGCTCACCGCAACCTCCGCCTCCTGGGTTCAGGCAATTCTCCTGCCTCAGCCTCCTGAGTAGCTGAGATTACAGGCACACGCCACCATGCCCAGCTGATTTTGTATTTTTAGCAGAGATGGGGTTTCACCATCTTGACCAGGATGGTCTCTATCTCTTGACCTCATGATCCACCTGCCTCGGCCTCTCAAAGTGCCGGGATTACAGGCATGAGCCACCGCACCCGGCCCCTGATTCTCTCTTCTAACATCTTCGTTGGCTCCTTAGGATAGGCCTTCTTCTTTAGTTGAGCATTCAAGGACCACAGCAATGAAGCCACCCCACCGTACCTAACTTTATTTCTGCCTACTGTTTTAAGTCAGCTTTCCTTCAGAGTGAGAATACTTTGTCTTTTCTCAGTCTTTTTCCTCTGACTGTAGTGTCCTCACCATACCACTCCTCTTGTTTAAATTCTACACTTTTACCCAAGCTTAGCTTAAGAATCATTAGGACTTGAGGCTCTCTTAGATCACACAGGCTACAGCAATCTCTATCTATCCCAAATTTTGATTGCTTTGATATTTTCTCCTTTCTCAAAATGCATCTATCTTGTTTCTCCTATTAAATCCTAAGTACCTGAAGACAGAAAATTGATCATAAAATGTTTTGAATTCCCAGTATCTTCACAGACGACTCATACATCATAGGCATTCTATGTTTGCTCATGAATAAAATGCATTTTCTAACGCAAGCTTGTCCAACCTGTGGCCCGCAGGCCATATGTGGCCCAGGAGGGCTCTGAATGTGACCCAATACAAATTTGTGAACTTTCTTAAAATATTATGAGATTTTCTTTGTGATTTTTTTTTAGCTCATCGTCTATTGTTAGTGTTAGTATATTTTATGTGTGGCCCAAGGCAATTAATTCTTCTTCTTCTAGTATGGCCCAGGGAAGCCAAAATATTAGACACCCCATTCCTATTCTTCAATCGATATAGTCTAATAACACAATTAGCCATTTATTTACTGCTTATTGGGTTCCAGGCACTATGCAAAGTGTTTCTAACATTTAGTTAATTTTTTTATTTGAGAAGGATACTTGACTGATAGGATTTTGCCATTACCAACATTTTATTAATCTTACATGGACCTCCAAACCATATTTCTGCATTATACCCCTCAAAATTTTATTTTTCAACATTTTCTTATTTGATTATGTTCTATATTTTTAAAATTCAGAGAAGGAGGTAAGTATAAAAATAAATGCAATATGTAAAGTGCTTAGCACTAGAGGTGGCATGTGTTGGGAGATCAATGATGAAAGCCATAATTTACAGGTTCTTCTCAAATGAACTCTACCTGGCTAGCATGGTGTTGTGTATATTTGTAATTTGCAATCATTAAAATCTTTATTGACCACGTGTGCATTTCTGTGTACTGAGAACTTGTACTCTCAGCCCTGTGGGAGAAAATCAGAGAACATAAGGCTCTGGCTGGTCTCTCTCTGAGGCCAGAGAGACTCTCTCCCTACTTGGGAGTCAAGACCGATAGCCATGAAACAGGGATGATACGGGACAGCACTTTATCGAGAGCTAAAGGCAGTCATAATAATGGCAACACCTCATTATTTTACGGAGTTGATACATTATTTTATTTTCTCCTCTCAAGCCTACAAAACCACTCTATAGATGAAGAAACTAAAGTCCTGAAAGAAACTGAAGATTCTCTCTTCATAAGTGACAGCACCTAAGTTCAAGCCCATTGTTCTGGCTTTGGGGTCAGTGCTCTTGTCAATACAGTTTTCAACCATTCATTTGCTCATCTGTTCATGCGTTCAGCAGATATTTTTTTGGTAACAACTACATTCCAGGCACTGTGCTAGGTGCTTGGAATACAAAGCAGTAAGATGCTACCCATATCCTATAGGGCCTAGAACATAGGGAAAGCAACAGAAAAAGTATGTGTTAAAGAAATCCACAAAGGAGATTCCTGAGGACTGGTTCAAGAAATACTGTCACAGTGAACTAGCTCCTTATTCAGTAATTTCATCATCAGTCATTCAGTCATTCAACAAATATTTACTGGGTATCTACCAGGTGACAGACAAAGTGCTAGATCCTGAGACTAACATGATAAAAAAGGAATTTATAGCGTAGGAGCAAGGGAATGGGAAACAGATACTCATAGACAACTCAATGGATCTAAAAGTAAACTCATGATCTCTCTTTTCTTTTCCTATTTTTTTTTTTTGAGATGGAATCTCGCTTTGCCATTCAGGCTGGAGTGCAATGGCGTGATCTCGGCCTACTCCAACCTCCGCCTTCTGCATAGCTGGGAATACAGATGTGCACCACCACACCTGGCTTCTTTTTGTATTTTTAGTAGAGAAAGGGTTTCACCATGTTGGCCAGGCTGATCTCGAACTCCTGACCTCAGGTGATCCACCCGCCTTGGCCTCCCAAAGTGCTGGGATTACAGGCATGAGCCACAGTGCCCAGCCACAGTCTCTCTTTTCAAAACTCTCCTTTATTTTACATGTCCTATTCCATTTAAAGTTCCTAAAATCACCCTCAGACACTCAAGACAGATCTTGGGAGTTTTCTCTATGCCTCCCTTTCGCTTATCCACCTACAACCAACCTTTGGCGAGGTCCTTTCAAGCGTATGTCCTGAGCTTCTCTTCCTTCCTCTCCATTTTCACTGCTACTGCTCTAGCTCAGGTCCTTACCACCTTTTGCCCAGTAGCCATGACACGTCCAGTGGTCTCTTCACCTCTGGCCTGAGACCAGTAGCCACTGCCCGTGCATGCTCTACCTACATTCTCTTGCCACTAGAGTGATCCAAATTCAACCCGACATTTCTGTGCTAAAATCTTTTTGAGAGCTCCTATCCTTTCAGCTAAAGCACAAACAGCTTCTTATACATTAGAGTCTCCTGATGGGGCTCCAAATTCAACCCGACATTTCTGTGCTAAAATCTTTTTGAGAGCTCCTATCCTTTCAGCTAAAGCACAAACAGCTTCTTATACATTAGAGTCTCCTGATGGGGCTCCTGTCCACCCTCTAGCTTCGGTTCCTGCTGTTCCTCCCTTCCCACCTCCACTGCTCACATACACACCTCCTATGCTTTACTGACGAATGACAGAAAATGGTCCCCGCTTTGGAAAGACATTTCCAACATCCTTCTCTCGGCTAGGTGGACTGGTTGCTTTCTCTTTTAGCCACCATTTTACATCACACATAATAAAAAGCATAGCTACTGAAAAGAGAGCACAGCAATTCATATATCATGCCAGACCCAGAGGCAATAACAATAGTGTTGAAGGACACGAGCTTTGGAGATAGCAAGATATGTTCAGATCCCAATCTGTCATTTGTTTAGCAGAATGATCTAGGGCAAGTTACTTAAAACAACACTTCATTTTTTTTTTTCATCTTTAATATGGGCATAATAAAACCCCTTCATTGAGTTGTTGCAAGGATTAATGAGACAATATACAAAAAGTGCTTAGCATTTTATGATGTAACAGTGGTATCCGTTACATCATGAGCTACTATTAAGTCGAAGTCATCATTACTGTGTCTGTATTAGACTTTTTACATATACCATGAAGAATGTGCCCCCAAACCCTGGAAGTTTTTGTTATTTCCATTTTACAAGTAAGGCTACTACTTGCTCAAAGTCATATAATTAGAAAGCAGCCAAGTTAGAGTTTAAGTCCACACCACAAAACACTATGATAGCAGTTATCAGATCCTTTGGAAAGTATTTACTTTGTACCCAGCTCTCCTCTAGGATGGGAAGCTCCCAGAGGGCAAAGACTTTGTCATATTCTTATTTCCCATAGGAAAAGTTTAGGACAGAATGAACAAATAAATGGCTATGTATTCAGCCAGGAGAGACTGACGGCTGTGAGATTCTAATCCTGAAAGAGGAGGGAAGTGGCTGGTGTGGTCACTGTGGCAATGAAATGAGAGCCATCCCCCCCACTCCTGGGTCACTCACTCATTGCTTCAATCTGCACGTGGATGAGGTTCTCGATGTCCTCCTGCAGCGTCTGATGGGGCTTCAGGGGGATGGGCAGGTAGCCATAGTGCTCTCTGTTGCAGAGGTACATCTGGATGCCTGAGGATCCAAGAGAGGGGCAAAGCCATCAATCAGAAAACACTGCTGAGTGACAAGTGAGGAGAAGGAACCTGAACCGTGTCTGATGCTGAGTTTGACACTGCAATTAAATAAGTGCAATTAAATAAGTGTTTCAGGGATGTCTATAGACCTCGAAAACGCTACTTTATAAAAAAGAAAAACAGAGCATTAGGGACTAATAAAAACACTAGGCCATTCTTTAGCCCAGAGGAAATTGACTTTTTCTTTCTGAAGAAAAAGCAAACCTGTGGCCTGGAATGAACACAAAAGGCATGAAGGATCAAAAGAAAGTCAAGGAATTCCCATTCCAGAGAGCAGAATGGAACACTGTAATCCACCTACAGGAAATAACGAGAAAATGCGGAATGAAATCCACATTTGATATGAAAGCAAACAGGAAAATTCTGTCATGCTGACAGATTATTAAAGCTAAATCTAGGCATACATAAAACAAAAAATGAAAAAACAAAGGAAATCTAAAATTCTCCATGATTCTCCTTGGTTTTATTTCTTCCCTTAGCAAGCACGGATTTGGAGCCAACCAACAGACATGAAACTTCCAAAATCGGTTCATATAGAGACAAAAGAGTTAGCATTTCAGAATGTCCTGTTAAGAACCTATAGTGTGACAATACCAGAAATACGTACACAATACTCTTCTCATATTCAAATTGGTCTTCATAGCCCCATCTGATATCTTGCGGTTGTAAGGCATCTGGGTTCAACCAGAAACCTAGAAATATAGGCATCAGGATGGTCTCATATAGATCACTCATCAACAATTGACACTCCTGACCAATGAAAAAATTGCTTAGTGAAAAAGATGAGTCTGCCAAGCTCTGGTCCATGTATCCAAGCCTCTGATTTGTTAATTGTTATAATCGTCAGTGATTTCCTGAGAGGGAATTATCTGCTTTATGCAGATGAAATTTCCTCCAGTCAGCTACATCATCTGCCAAATCAGGTGAAGCTGTCTCATGGCATTAACAGAGAGGGACAAAAAAAGAAAAGAACCTTTATTCTCTGCTTTTACTGAATCTGGCTTGAATCAAGGCTGGTCTACCAAGCACTGTTCCTTCTCTTGCCTTCACCAAGCAAACTCATCAGCTCTGCTGTTTGCCCACATGAATGCTTCTGGGAAGCTTCAAAGTCATGATGAATTCAGGAAGTGGAAGGAAAAAGATATTAAAGTTGCAGCTCTCCTAATTAGTCAAACCATTTTACAATTTAACTTTGAGGCTTCCATAAAAAAATTGTGTGATACCTATCCAAACTATCCATCAAGTGTGAGGGTACAAAGAAGGCATTTTTAGGCATGCAAGACAGTAATATATTTACTTGCCATCATGTTTTCTTGGAAAGTTACTGGATGATGTGGGAGAAGGATGAGGAGGAAAGGAAGGAAGAGGAGGAGGAGGAAGAAGAGGAGGACAATTATAACTAGTAAGAAAGATTACAAACAACATGAACAGGAGAGTCAGTGTGTAAGAGAAGAAATATAAGCCTTAGATTGATAGCTGCAGCACCACTCAGATTAGAATATATTTAGAAGGCTTCAGGACAGACATCCTCACAGATATGCAAAAAAGGACATCTGACAAATCTGAACACTCTGAGAGGAGTTTGAGGTAATTAGTGATTAGTTTTAGATCTTACTAGTAATAATAAAGCTAAGCAAAAAAATAAATAAATAAAAAATAAAAGGCAATTATTAAAGGAATAGCCTCTAAAGGAAATCTAAGGCAAAGGAGAAGTAGTCATAGTGTATAAATGATTGAGCTTGGAGTTAGGCTTCCACGATTACAACAAGAACACTGGCCATCGATTGGTTTGAAATTACATTGGGAGAACAGTGATGAGAAGAATGTGTTTGCATGCAGAGGGCAAAAGGCAGAAAGAGAGCTGACTCCTCAGTGTCTATAGTGGAGTCAATAAATAATGCCTAAGCTAAAGCCAGAAAATCAAGAAGTAGCAATACATGCATATTATTTAACATGGATGTAAATATTATATCATATGATCATTTAAAAGAGGTAAAAGTGGTTACCTCTGGAAGACAGAAATGGTGCAAGGTGTGCAGGAGACTATTCATTTCTTAATAAACCATGGGTAACTATGTGAACACTTTCATCTATGTGCATGGGCAGTTTGATAAAATTTAAAAGAAAATATGCTAATAATTAGATAAAGTCTATGAAAGAGTCTGAACTCTCAGTGAAAGCTGCTTCTTGGGAAAACAATTTTTCTTTTGAAAAATAAAAGTGAATTATGCTACATTTTGAAGGACTTTGTTTTTCTTATAAACATATAAAACATGTTCTTGAACTCACATAGTACCTTAATCTTGTAGATTGATATAATTATCCCTATCCTTGGTGACGAAAAACCAGACTCAGCCTGTCACTTGCCCAAGGTCACCCAGTAAGTCATTAGTGCCAAATCTTTGTCCCTAAAGAGCCAATGCCAAGTGCTTTCTACCCACCCAGGATTTAGAAGCTCAGTTCCAAGATCATTAGTCACTAGGAGGTTGCCATCCCTCCACATGGAGACAATTTTGATCACTACCAGTGGTGTCTAGGAGGAAGATCTGTCTGCCCATTGCCCATATCAGTTGCCTCTTTTGACTCACATCAGACATTTGGAAGATGACTGGCTGGCGCCGGGATGGTTCCTGTGGCCATAATACAGAACCCAGATCCCTGGCCACAATGGGAGGTGAACTCTTGACCCTGGCCTCATTCCAGCCACAGAGACTCGCCTGTGACCATGCACTCTCTTTTTAGGCTAGAAGGGTGGCTAGGCCCTGCTCACCAGAACACTTGGATTGCCCCTCATCACCCACACAGGGCAATGGCTAGAGTCTGGGGTGAAAGATTTAGAACCAAGGTTTGCAGTTATATGATCCTGCCTAGAACATCGATGATACACAGCTAGGGAGCTCAGAGAGTAAGAACTAAAAAATACCAATCATCTTTCATGAAAAAAGAGGGAAAATGCTTTCCTTTGGAGCTAAGGAAGGAAGAGCCTCGAGACACCCCTCGGGCTGCCCTTGACTCCCAGGCTCATTCATGTTTCTCTCAAAGATATTTAGAGATAAGTACAATATTACCTTAAAATTCATAGTTGGCAAGAAATACCTTTCATCTTCCCAAAATGACAGTGCACCTTTCCTGCCCTGACCCCTGCTGTTCATGGTCTGCACTGCCAGTCTGGCCCTTAGCTTTCACTGCTTCATGACTATTAGTTGTGTTTTCACACATAAAACTCTTTAACTGCCAACTAACACAGTGCCTGGCACAGAAGGAAACACTTGAAGGTTGATTCTTTCTCTTTCCTTTTGTATTTCTCCTCTTCCCAAATGAGTCACCGAACAACTTGGGTGTATGTACCTGCTTTCAGTGTTCTAAAAAAGCCTTTGCAAAGTCCGACCAGTAACACACAAAGACCTGGTGAACAGGCCAAGCACAGGGTAGAGCTGAAAAATTCCTGCCTAGCCTGAATCACTCTTCCCACCCAAATATCCAGGTATTAGTTTCACACCATGTAGCATAATAATTTCAAACATGGGCTCATAATAACGCTTTGTGCAGTGACTATAAAGGTGGACTTCGTTAGGCAGTGCCATTTGTGTAACTGTTAATATCTCACTTTCAATCTCTGAAGGAAAGGGACTGGCACTCGAAGCACTCAGAAGGCCCTGACCCTGCTTCCCATCCTGGAGATGTCAGAGCAAATCACCGACCAATTGAAAGAAGCAGTTTCCATTAACACTGACACAGGAACCTTTGCAAAAAAACTTCTAATCCTTATGAGGATTGCTTTTGCCTGGACACAAGGTCTATAAAATGCCTAGGCCAGGCCAAAGGGTCTAAATTGCTCTAGCAGCCAGAGAGGGGACAGTCTGATGTGTGAATTGTAGCCTGAATTTGTATTAACATTCTCATCTGCTAGCCACTTCCTCAGCTGCCTGGGATCTTTGCACCAACTTTTCCTCCCTCAGTTATATTGCCACAGTGAACTTACTCATCATCTTCTTGGTTTGTGAGCCTATTTTTGCTAGTGGTTAAGTGACACATTTCTGGCACATTGATAATGGGACCCGAATTCTGTCAGGAAAGTCTGAATTATCCTTACAAAGCTTTGCTCTGTCAGAAGCCATGTATCTTTCTGTCGAACTGCTCTTGTGAACTGTGTCCTCCTGAGGCAAGTGTAGGGTGAAATGAGAGAAATAACTTTCCTTCCTATTGACTTGTCTTTCTCAAAAATCCACAGGCCCTGCCAGAAATGCTTTCCCAGTGGTTCACAAAAGACTTCAGTCAGGCTTTGCCTCTCCTTTCACAGAGACTGAGGCTGAGGCTGTTCAGGGCCTATCTGTTTTTTCCTTCTTCTAGAGGGTGAAAATTAGAGTGCATGCCCACAGAGCATAAAGACGACATTCTGAGCCTCCCTTACAGTGACTAAGTTCTGGCTAACGGGATTTGCATGGAAGCACTGTATTCAACTTCTGGATTACACCATTCAAGGGACAGGGAGAGCTCTCCCTGCTGTTTCTGCCTTGCTGGCGGAAATGCATCTGAGTTGGTGAGACACTTGGGACTGCACAATTAAGGGCAGCTCCTCGTGGAGAGTGAGAAGCAATACACAAGAAGCCTGGGACTCTGAACACTTTGTGGAACAAGGCCACTGCAGTAGCTCAGATTTTGTTAGGAAGAAATGAACTCCTATTTTTAAAGTCTGTGGTCTTTGCCAATGTTAGGCCTCTGTGACAGTTTCCTAATAAATAAACAGACTTGTATAATAAACAATTGCAATGCAGTAGCAACACAGAGAACCAGTCACCTTCTCATGACTCCCAACATCACAGTTCCCCCATCAATGTTACCCACCAACATAGAGTAAGTTCCCAGGTAGAAGCCAGTCCTGGCTCTTGGTCAATGGTGCTCCCAGGGACAGAAATATAGAGGGGTGCTGGTATGGTTATTGCAGATAAGTTATTGCCTCTCACTACCTGAAATGTGAGGGGGTGTGTGTGTGTGTGTGTGTGTGTGTGTGTGTCTGTGTAATTTTTAAAAATAAGATGCACGAAACGAAGGAGCTGGTCATTTTGCTGTGTCTCCATGGGGGCAGTACAACCAAAGACAACCAGTACCTGCTTGCCTGCTGGAGAAGGCAAAGACGATGATGTCATCAAACGTCCAAGTGTAGTCCTGGTGTGGGGGGTAGAAAGTCAGCTTGTTTGAGGCCTCCTTCCTGAGGTCAATTAGGAAGGTGGAGTGGACCATGGGGACGGGGAAGCAGCCTGTCCTCTTCCATTCTCGAATCTGAACGTAGTCTGGGGTCCTCTTATAGAAGCCCTGTAAAACAGCAAATAGGTGAGTTGTGTTTTCTGATCTGAAGTCTTCATCTTTTTCAGTCATTTGCTGGACTGATTCCTTTCAAGTTATCACCAGCTAAATAGAAGCTTCCAAACAAAGCCACCTTCACTTCTCTTGTCATGGCCTATGAATTTCCAAGAGAGCACAAGAAATACTATCTACATGTAAAATAATACTAAAAGGGTCTTGATATAAGAAATAACTTTGATTTCAGCATATCTCTTGATTTAATAATTTCATAGAAGTGTATTTTATGTTGGCTCATGATTAAACACGAAGCATGAGTATTGAGAAGGGGAAGAGCGGAGCAGTTAAGAGCACAGGTTCCGGCATTAGACTCCCAGAATTCAAATCCCACCTCTTCAAAGCCCAGCTACGTATTGTCTGCAGATAAGGGTCAAGTGACTCAACCTTGCTGTGCTTATTTCTCATCTCTAAGACAGGGATGATGGCACTATCTTCTCCATAAGGTTAGCTATAAAATTTAAGTAAGATAAAACCTGAATATTGTTGAGAATACTGCCCAGCACCAAAAACGTATCAACAAATATTGGCACCTATTAAAATGACATTACACTATGGCTAATATTTGTAATTAAGCATGCATTACTTAGATATACAAGTGAGGGTCTTCTTTCAATGCGGTTACTTAGTCAATATTCTGGTGAATCTGCAGCTGCTCCACAGTTTTTGGGGATTCAGCTTCTGAAACTTCCTTCTGCACAAGCACACGGGACAACCAATTTCCTTATTCCAAAGCTTGAATCATTTCCAAAAAGATGAAGATATATCTCAACAAAACATGCTTACAAAACATATTTGTAGAAGCTTTGCAAGGTATTTTGGAAAATGTTCTAGGTGATGGCAGGCTCACTGGGATAAGCGTGAAGTTTTGCAAGGCCAGCCCTCTGAAGGGCACGATACTCTAGATCTCTAGATGCAGAAGTTCTTATGTGTTCATTAATCAGTCACATCACTTTATGGTCATATTTCCTGTTGTAATTCAGCAGCCACACATAAGGCACTATGGCTTCATCTACTTCTCTGATATTCCCTTCAGATTCTAGAAGAGTGTCCCTAGCTGAGCTAACCCCAGTGTTGACCCCATGATCAGGGAGGAGGATCACAAATGAGGACTTAGAAGACATGGGTCTCAGAGTCATCTGAACCACCTTCTAGCCATTTCACCTTAGCCCATGCCGACCCTCTTTGAGCCTGAGTTGTTTTCTCCTGAAAAATGGGATAACAGCTGCTCTGTCAATCTCACAGGGCAGCAGAATGAATCACATGTGATAAGGTCAATGAACCTATTTTGGGAACTGCAATTCATTATATGAAGTATTATTATTACCATAATTTTTAAATTAGCCTTTAACTTAAGCATCGTTTAACATTTTCTATGGTTTCTCCTAACACTTCAGCTTATGAGCACTCTTCCAAGGGATAAAAGGAACTCGGGTTTTTTAAAGGGGATGCCTAAGGACTCGTGTCAAATATAAAGTTCTAAACTGCTTAGGAACAATATTCCCAGAGTGAGAAGCTTGGAAAATCCATGATGATGATGAATCACTGAATATCCTTGAGGTGGGGGTGAGAAGGAAGGAAGCAGTGAAAGTGAGAGAGAATAAATGTGCCTTCTGCAAAGAGGCAGAGGCAATGAATGTGTTTCTTTTTCCACTAGAAATTGAATCTTGTTGGTAATAATTCCCGTTCATTGGCCAGACAACATCAAGGTCATTTTGTTTTGAATGTGTTTAAAGGCTCTGGAAACCAGGGCCTGCCTTGAACTTATGAAGTCATTGGTCCTTTCTATTCCTGCCTTAGGGGAGACTAACTGGGATGGTAGAAGGCCAAAAATAAATGCAGGAAAATAAGAATTGTCCCTAAGTCGCTCAGAATTCAGTTTTATGTACAAGATGAGTGAGTACATTTCTCCTGTTTGCTTTTAAGCATGAAAGCAAATAAAAAGATAATATAAATTTGTAGGCTGTGACTACTAGGATAACCCACCCTTTTTGCTGATGTCAAAAGCAACCCTCAAGTGATTCTGCCATATGAAACACTGAAAATGTATGAATTTAAACTAATATAATGCATTTTGGATTATTAACTGAAAATGTATGAATTTGAACCAATATAATGTTTTATCTCAAGGGACTGAATGGCCTTTAGAAATATGAACCTATTGCCTTCAAAAGAGACATAGAAAATAGCACACATCCAAAATCTCTTACAACTGGAAGAAATAATTACAACAAAAGAGGAATGCTTCATCCAGTGGTGTACTGGACCACACATTGTTAAATTTTCAGAAATTCTGCAAACCAGTTGACATGTTGGTAGCTTAGAATCCATAAAAACAAAAATCATGTTAATCCCCACCATTCTAATAACACCTTAGGTAGCAGTTTTGTATATTTTTTATAGCTATATCATCAAGTGGCTATATTGCAGTTTACTTAGCCTTTTCCCTTAGCTTCACAACATTTAAGTTGTTTGCATGGTGGGAGTATTTAAACCATAAAAATTGACAAGTGCTACCAACCAGGGTTTTTCCCACAGAGAGCCAGTTATTAGACATTTATCAGCACACTACTGGCCTTATTTCTCATCCAAAACAAAACCAAATATAAAAGGGAGACTCAAACGTTAGCCCTTTGGCCATGAGAATACATTGAACATACTCCCCCGTTTTTTGAGACCAACGTCTCACTTAGTCCCTTAGGCTGGAGTGCAGTGGTGTGATCACAGCTCACTGCAGCCTCAACGTCCTGGGCTCAAGCAATCCTCCCACCTCTGCCTCCAAATTGCTGGAACTATAGGTGTGCTGATTTTTTTGATTTGTTGTAGAGATGAGGTTTTGCCATGTTGCCCTTGTTGGTCTCAAACTCCTGGACTCAAGTAATTGTCCCACCTCAACCTCCCAAAGTGCTGGGATTACAGGCATGAGCCACCACACCTGGCCAACATATCTTTTTTCGTTTAGCACGTTTTTATCCTACATTGATACATATTACACTAATCAGTTGAATTTATCTCTCTGATTCATTAATTAAAGAATAAAAAATATAACCAGCCGTAAGCATTCCCTAAAACAGACCTCTAGACTCTGAAGATTTTACTATGAAAAAAAGAAATGATAAAAATTCAAACTTTTTTTAAACTTGAATTTTATAAAAACAACCTACCATGGAAGTTTTCATTATTAGAACTCTTTGAAAATAAATTCGGCAACATAAATTGAAGGTCATCAAAATATTTATACTCTTTGACTCAGTAATTCCACTTCTAAGAAGCTATCCTACAGATATAATCTTAAACACTGAAAAATTATATTAATCATGATGGTCACAATAGTTAAAAGCTGAGACTACTTTAAATGCTCTTCAAACCAAGATAAAGATTAAGTAAATTGCAGTATAGCCGCTTGATGATACAGTTATTAAAAATATGCAAGTTTCCGCTGCCATGTGTGTACCTATGCAACAATCTTGCATGTTCTTCACATGTACCCCAAAACCTAAAATGCAATTAAATAAATAAATAAATAAATAAATAAAAATATGCAAGTTTCTTTACCTATGGTGTTGTCACAGTGACAGGGATTTAACATCTGTTTTGTTGGTTTTCTTTTAAACTTTTTTAAATTTCTAAGTTTTTCTATAGTGTTCTTATGTTAGTTTTGTAATGACAAGAATAATTAATTAAAAATAGTCATCCTTGAATTGGGTGGGGGAAAGTACAAATTCTAGCATGCTTTATTGGCTAATTTTAAGTTTCTAAGGCTAAGCTCTTCAGACTATTTTCTTCATAATTAATTAATACAGAAGAAACCCATTGGGTTGTGGCATTGGACCCAGATTTACTGCCCTTCCTAAAATCGTTGCTCTGGGAACACAATGGCATGCATGTTTCAAGGGAGTGAGAAACAGAAAGGTGAACAGGGCAACTGTTGACAGGGTGTTGCCTTGTGAAAACCAGAAGCCTGAATTCATCAAGCAAAAGACTTGCCTTAGGGGTGATTCCACACCAGAAATTAGAATACAGGCCCCGAGACTCCAGCATGGGGGCCACAATAGTTTTGTTTTCCGCCATCAGTAGATTGAGGGTCTGTGGATTAGTCAGGAAATTGTCGACATCTATGAACTAGGAAAAGAAAAAGATGATGTCAGGTGAAGAGGCACGTTCAGTAACGAGTTTCAGAACAACCCAGCTCTTCTGAAGGATCCCAGAAGCGCGCTCATGACACACGGAACCAGTTATCTATGTCCTTATTGAAACCCACAGCAGCTAGGTGGTTCTTATTCAGTCAAAAAACATTGAGTCTAACTTTCGTATGATAGGCTTTGCATAAGGCACTAAAGTAATAAATTGGTGCTGCCACACTGGGCACAGCCTCAACCAGGACCCAACCTACACTTTGGCTAGTGTTTTAAACACAAGATATTAGTGGTTCCCAAGCCACTAAAGGTTCATTCAAAAACACTTATGGACTGCCCAGTCTAGGTACAGATGGGCAGACCTACTTAGCTTTTCCATAGTAATGCCAGAGTGGCTCAAAACAGATCTATCAATTTATTTTAATGCTACAAGTAGAATTTTTGTTTAAGTACATTATATCAACCCATGTTAACCAGTGAAGCTATTTCCTATTCTTAGAAGTCCCTGTTAACAGTGATTTATTTACAGAGACAGTGTAACAACAGATTCTAACATATAAAATAAATCATACTAAACTGTACACTGAAAAAGGGATCAACGGACAGATTTTACATTATGTAGGTTTGATCACAAAAAATAAAATTAGAAGTCTTCATTTTTACGGTAGTCTATCTGTTTACCCCAAATTTTCTGGTTTAACATTTGTACACTTCAAATGGCATTTAAACAGCTTCACAATGTTAAGTATTGTCAGTACAATTTGAAAACTTCTATGAAAGGATTTGTGTCATAAGTGTGCATGATACATTATTGAGCTGATTTTCACTGTCATTGAAGGACTGGGGATGGACATAAATTCTCCAAACAGAGCATCACTGGGAGCAACCAGGAAGCCAAGCAAGAGATGCCACTCCCTAGATCATTCAGGAGCAAAAGGGAACCGTTTCAGAGCTGTGCAGTTCAATCTGTTTTTTACAGAATGATTCTTTCATAACTCCCAAATTCTTCTGAAAAGTTATGAGAACAATTTACATTGCTTTACCTACAGCATTTCCCACGAAGTAAAAATATGGAGAGTTCGTCTGCCTATTGTAGGGCAGAGACCAAATAATTCAGGCACTTCTTCACCTACCCACTAAAAATGCATGTGGGTCTGAAGATGAAGTCCAGGTAGCTCAATAGTAAACCACCAAACATTTCCTTGGGCCTTTCTTAAAAAGCAGGGGAGGCACTGCCTAAGCCAAAGTGGTTTTGATTGCTTCCATGGTTTGGACGACTGATCTGGATACATTCTAGATGACAGTTGTCAAGAAATCAAACATCTCTTTTTACCAGAATGTAGTCTGACCATTTTTCCCTCGCAGTTCGAAGGGCTGCCTGTCGTAGTTTCATCACATGGGCAAACCGGGAGCTTGGCCAGTGCTTTCGGTCCAATTTCATCAGGATAAGACCTAAAATGATAATAACAGCTCATCATTATTGAATGCCTACACATACCAAGCTCTGTCCTAAAGGTTTATATGTATTCATTCAATCTTCATCAACCCCAGAAAGTAGATACTATTATTGTTATCATCATCCTCATATTACAGATGAGGAAACTGGAGCAATGAGAGGTCAAGTAACTCAGTGCTTACTGTATATAGGAATCTTTACATGAAACATTTCAGTGAGTTCTCATGAGAGCCCTTTCAGGTGAGTACTACTGTTCTCTGCATTTCACAGGTGAGGACATAGGGGTAGAGCAGTTAAGTCATTCATATAATGTTACACAATGGGGCACAATCAAGATTTGAATCCAAGCAAAAAGCTCATGTTCCCAGACAATTTTTATACATCCTGCCATTGAACAAATTTAAAGAGTACGCAGTGTAAAACATGAGTTTCCCAGGAAAAACAAAGGTTTACTTTACTTGTTGGAGTCTCCACAAATGATTCCGTATAGTCTAACACATTGATCTATTGTAGGTAAAGTGAGATCATGTGATCCCTGTCAACATTCACAAAACAGCCACGGCAAGACTCCTCCAATGGCCACATAGGCAAGTGGGTTGGGGCACCCTCCAAAACCCTTTCTAAGGCACGCAACTGGCATGGACACTGATACTGTTGCAGTAATCCAAAACCCACCATCACTTCAAGATCTCATAGCTGCACTGGCAATACATTTGTTTTAGTGAACGAAAAACTGGAAAAACAATGAGACTATAACTTACAAATAAAGTTAACAAAACTATGTACAGCAAAGGAATTCTCTGGAATGTCTTTCCCAATTATCTTTTCAATGAAAATCAGTAGAATTCTCATTTTTCTAAATATATTGCCCCTCCAAAATGCCTGCTCAGATATTTTTTCACACTGACCTTGGCATATAATATATTTAGTCAAAACCTGGCTGCAGAGAACATTACCAAGATGCAAAGAAGGCACATAGAGTATTTCTGTGCCATTTTTATTAGGCAAAATTCCATTTTGAGGCACTCTAAAGGAGTGCTTACAATCTTTTCCAGTGTTCAGGCTTCATTGTGAAATACTGCTTGATATACAGTCTATGGGCTTAGATTTATTATTTATTTAATTTATTTGTTATTATTTATATAATAAATTATATTATATAATAAATTATATTTTATATATTATAAATACAAATGTAAACATATTTATATAAATATAAATATATATATTATATTTATAATAATTTATAATATGCTATAATAATTATATTTATAATATATGTATAATATATAAATGTATAAAATATATATTATATAAATATGAATTTATATATTATATTTATAATAAACATGTATGTATATATGTATATCACAATATATATTTGTATTTATTTATAATATAAATATAAATCTATAATATAAATAAGAATTCTTACATATAGAGAGACTAGAAGAACAGAAAGTTGTTATGGAATAGCATTTATTATTACTATAATACAAATTTGACTTTCAATAAGTGACTTATCTTTGGAAGAAATTCAGGCAACTCCTTCATTCTATGTCTACAATTCCTTAAGGGAAAATTGTAGTAGCTTTGGGAACATTTATAATATTAAGTTTTAAATACATTTATTCTTGTTCTTCTTTGCTCATCCAACCAGCATTAACTTATTGCCTGCCAAGAATATGGCTCTGAGGGGAGAAGGGGAATATAAAGTGTTTATATACTCTAGCCCCTGCCAAAGAACCTACGATTTATTTAGAAAAATAAATATACTAATTGCATAGTTAATTAATGATGTTGGTTACGTGTATCGTTGTGCCAAACAGGATGACATAGAAAATAAGCAATACAATTGTTGAGACAAAGGTAGATATTTATAACTGAATGATTAAAAATAGCTTTCTCTAAGAGTTAGTTATAAAGAAGGAAAGGATCTTCCAGGATCTGCATAAGCAACAGCGTGGGGTTTGGAAATAAAAGGAACATTTCTGAATAAAGCACATTTTCTTTTGGTGCTAAATTCATGGAATTTAAAAAATAAAAGTCTTAGGTGTTTGAACTTTGTTCTGTAGGTCCTAAAGAGTAAGTGAAGTCTTTTTAATAAAGAAATGACATTATTTGTATTTGAGGTAGACTGATTTGACTGTACGGTATGTAGGATGACTTGGAGGTAGAAGTAATAAAGAAATTGCTATGGGGGCCAGGCGCAGTGGCTCGCACCTGTAATCCCAGCACTTTGGGAGGCCGAGGCAGGCAGATCACCTAAGGTCAGGAGATCAAGACCATCCTGGCTAACATGGTGAAACCCCATCTCCACTAAAAATACAAAAAATTAGCTGGATATGGTGGTGGCGGACGCCTGTAGTCCCTGCTGCTCAGAATGTTGAGGCAGGATAATCGCTTGAACCCTGAAGGTGGAGGTTGCAGTGAGCCGAGATTGCGCCACTGCACTCCCGTCTGGGCAACAGAGCCAGACTCTGTCTCAAAAAAAAAGAGAAAGAAAAAGAAAAAAAAAATGCCATGGTAACCAGACACAATGGCTCGCACCTGGAATTCCAGCACTTTGGAAGGCCAAGGTGGGAGGATCACTTGAGGCCAGGAGTTCAAGCCCAGTCTGGACAACATAGCAAAATCATGTCTCTCCCCCACCCCACCCCCCAAAAATATTAGCCAAGTATAGTGGTGCATGCCTGTGGTCCTAGCTACTCAGCAGGTTGAAGGGGGAGTATTGCCTGAGCCCAGGAGTGTGAGGTTACAATGGAGCTATGATCATGCCACTGCACTCCGGCTGGGGTGATAGAGTGAGACCCTGTCTCCAAAAGGAAAAAAAAGAAAAAAGAAAGAAAGAAAGAGAGAGAGAGAGAGAGAGAGAGAGAGAGAGAGAGAGAGAAAGAGAGAGAAAGGGAGGGAGGGAGGGGAAAGTGGGAAAGAAAAGGAAAGAAATGACCTTCTATGGTTAAGACTGGAAATAACCTAAATAAGCATCAATAGGGGATTGATTAAATAATTATGGTAAATGCATATACAATAGCTATTATGCAGTAAAACAAAATGAAAATGAAGCTCCTTAACTACTGCTACAGAATGATTAACAAGATATGAAAAGTTGAAAAAAATAAGGTGTATATAGAAAGTACACACATTTTCACTATGATCCTTCACATACAAAAGGTTTATGTTTAAAATATGGATAAACAATATCAATATTTTAAAATATACACCATCATGGCAATTTATTTATGAAGTAATGAAAACCTGAACATGGCTGGCAGCTGTGGGAGTAAACAGGAAGAGGGTACTGTGAAGATCCGTGAAAGGGAGAAATGGCAGGTATTCAGAACTCACATAGGTATAGAAATTAAAGACAGTGAAAGTCACATGTGCCTCCAAGCCTGGAAGGCCTAGAGAACTGGTTACAGAGGAAGGATAAATAACGAGTTTACAAAATTTGCTCTTGCTACTCACTCTGGTTCATCCATAGGCCTCCACTCCACATAGTGATAGAGTCTCTGTACATTTTTCAACCACTCCCTGAGTATTTCTGTTGTATTATCCACGTTGTGATCGGTGGCTGCCCTGCATGAGAGAAAGCACAGTATAGTTCAGCTTTGTCATCCAAAGACAGAGAGGGAAATCCAAAAGACCACTGAGTAACAGAAAGAAGAATGGCTACTTATGGATAAAAAAAATGTAAATATGAAAATAATTCCCTCATAGTCCAAACTAGACAATACATTTCTAAAGTAAGAGACACTGCTTAAAATCATCTTTGTGTCATTAGGTCATTAAACAGGGCTCACCCAGTCATAGAATCTCTAAGTGATTGCATTAATAAATAAACACATGAAAACACTAAGACACTGTAAGCAGAAAATGAATTACCCAAGAGTCAACTGATGAAGTTTCTTGGAAATATTTCTATATGTTTTAATTTTTAGATACCCAAGATGTAAACCCTACCTTTTAATTTCACTAACAATGACCCTCAATTTGAGCAATAATACTGCTTTATCTTCATTTCAAGTCAATTTTCTGACCACAACAAAATGTCTAGTCAGTGCTGCTTTAATTACTGTGAAGCTACAATAATAATTCTCAATATAAAACTCAAAATTTAAGGTAGCTCCAATTATCTATTTTGGATTAACTTGACCATCACTTATACAAAATAGAGTATTTTCCAAAGCCTTTAAATAATGTATTCAAAACTTGTACCTGTTCTACCTTGAAAGTTTAACAAATGGATCCACTTGTAAAGGGGCTTAACTCACTTATTTCAAAAATATTTTCAAATTGTATCACAAAGCAATACCCAACACATGTAAAAGTTACTCCGAACACCTATAAATGAGGAGATAATGAAATGAAAAACAGAAAAAGAGAAGAAAGCAGGGGCTGCAATCCTGACAACAAACAAGGTAGAATTCAGGCCAAAGACTACTAAGATAACAAAGAAGGAAACTTTATAATACTAAAATTAGATGAGAACCGGCTCCTCTCTTCATGGCAAGTTCTAGGAGGGAAAAAGACCCACAGGCCCACCTGGACATTCCATGGCCTGGAGAGGGAGAGAGGTGATGTGTGAAGCTGACAGTTTTGAGGGATACCAGGTGAGCATCTTAGGACAAAGACGGGGTAGGAGGAGCCCTTGGCAACTCACAGAGGTGGGAAAGCGATGCAGAAGGCAGCGCAGAAGAAGACTACAGGCTCCACTGATTTTGTAATTGTGCCAAAAAGTGCAACATCAGCAAAAGTCACATCCGTTGTGACACATGGCCCAAGCTACCAATGTCCCAGGTGACAAGTGGCCATGAAGCACACCATGAGAGTCGAACCACTGGGCTTGTGAGAGGAAGCATGCAGAGAGCATTTCCTGAAATGGAGAATCCACTGTAAAGCACCTTATTCTTCACTCAAAACATTGTGAAGAGGAATAAGTTAAAACTAAACAAAACAAAAATTCTTTATCACAGTGTTAGCCAGAAGTGATGAGAATTCTACGTTATTCTTAAATTATTTATAAATAGCATGGGAGAATTTGCCAGGTGCAGTGGCACACACCCTTCCCAGCTACATGGGAGGCTGAGGTAGGAGGATCACTTGAGCTCAGGAGTTCCAGGCTGCAGTGAGTACAATTGTGCCTGTGAATAGCCACTGCACTCCAGCCTGGGGAAAGAGCAAGACCCCATTTCTTAAAAAAAAAAAAAAAAATAGTTTAGGAGAATTTTTAAAGCCTCCACTTTTTTCCTTGGTTATTGTTTCTTCATTACACAGGACTTCTGAAATTCTCTTTGCCTTCCCTACATCAATGCATTTCCTATTCCTTTTGGCAAAGTTAGTCTTATCTTATTAAATCCATTTTCCTGGTGTACAGATTAAACAACTCCAAAACTTGCCTAAGCATCCACTCCTGATGAACAGCCTTAGAAACTGCTTGTAGTATACAGAGGTACAGATGTCTAATTAAAAACAGAAGCACAGATTTCAAATATTCTTTTTACTGAGTTAAAAAATGGTCTGTACTGTTACCTCCCTGAATTAAGGTTCTCTTTGTTCTTAGGCTTCTGAGGAAATGAACATGTTCTCCAGTTGTGGTTGGACAGAGGTGCATCCATCCTGGTCTTTGATGCGCAGGGCCAGTCTCTCCTACACTTGTTCCCAGAGGAGGAAGAGCAGCACAGGCCATACCAGCCCACCGAGGAAGCCTTGCAGCCCCTGGTTGAGACTAAGTTTCTCTGCTTCTCTCCTCTCCACTGTCAAAAAAGTCAAAACCACAGAAATCCAGGCAGACACTTCTAACTGCTGCCTTGTAATCGCTCTGACAAAAGTATGTCTCCCTTTGGATGCATAGGCTATTCAGAGTGTTGGAGAGAGATACCAAAGGCCCAGATGCAAGCTCTCTGGAGGAAACCTGAAGCTGGTGTTAATGGTTCTGTTTTCAGAGCCCTGTAGCACAAGGCAGCAACAGTGCGGTGCTTGTCCTGCTGCAGCACTCCACAAGCAGCTAGACACAAAAACCTCTGTGGCCGAGGTGGATTTTTCCATGGAGCTAGAAAGCTGAGAACCCAGAACGTGTGAGCCCCCTCAGGAGGAGCTGAGGCACTGTGGCCCATCTCTCTATCTGAAGGCTCCTTACGGTCCCTGTGGAAAATGAGTACTGCCTCAGATCTGTCATTCTTCTCCCAATCAGACAAGAAAAGGCACCCAGAAAGGTCACAGACATCACCCGTGGAGTCTGTGAAGAAAACAAATGATATGCAAGGACAGCTAGGCATCTGGAGAGGTGATCTGCAAGTAATCGACAGTCTTCAAACTGGAAAACCACGGTTTGCAAAAACACAAACATGGGCTGGCAGGGTGACCATGTTTCTGGGAGGCTCACACTGCTCAATCTTTGCCTGAATTCTCCAACTAGAGTGGATTAACACCTAAATTGACACCTCGACTCACTCGCTCTTCCCTGGGTCTCTCTGACTCAGGATAAGACAGCAAGGAGAGGCTGGGCGTGGTGGCTCATGCCTGTAATCCCAGCATTTCGAGGCCAACGTAGGTGGATCACCTGAGGTCTGGAGTTTGAGGCCAGCCCAGGCAACATGGCAAAATGCTGTCTCTACTAAAAATATAAAAATTAGCCCGATGTGATGGTGCACGCCTGTAGTCCAGGTACTCGGGGAAGCTGAGGCAGGAGAATTGCTTGAACCCAGGAGGTGGAGATTTCAGTGAGCTGAGATCTTGTCACTGCACTCTAGCCTGGGCGAGAGAGTGAGACTCTGTCTCAAAAGAAAAACAAAACAAAAAAGGACAGCAAGGAGAGCTCAGCTCTTGAGCTGTTTTTAATTTCCTTTGAAGGTCATGTTGGGACAATAATTTGGTTTTACCTCTGAGGAGCCCTGGTACCCACCAGCTACCATGGTCTCTCCCTTCCACTTTTAGGGGAGCTGTGGCCCTGACACAGCTTCAGTGCCAACTTCAGTTGGCCCCTGCTCTGTCCAGGAGTCCTGGCTTGCTTTCTTTGGAGCTAGTACCTGAAAAGGGAGTGCTGGTAGAAACAGGTGCCACATCTGCACTGGCCACCTCTCACCCTAAATGCTGCCTGTCTGCCTTCCCTCTGATTCTGCTTTTACTTCTTATTTCTCCTCCTTCATCTTCTCCAGCTCTACAAGTTAGCAAAGGCCCATGAGTCTCAGATTCAAAATTAAATTAGAACAAAGGGAAACACATACTGGAGACATGAGCACAGTATGTGTAGGGATCCCCTTGGTAGATGATGCTCCCAGGTCAACACGTGGACTGTCACTGCTGCATGGAAGGGAGCAAAAAGAGCAAGCCAAGAAGTCAACATGTCTGCAGGATGAGACCGCTTTACTGCTTGGCTATGGACAAAAAAAAAAAATTGAGATTTATTTGGCAATGTCTAAAAACATTGACATTTCTCCTTGTTCCAGGAGTTAGTTTTCATTTCTAAGTCTTGCCTCTTAAGACTCAGTGCCAACTAGAAGTAATTAGAACTGACTCATTTATTTTTACCATAGTCCTACTAAGGTTTTTAGGGCTAAACTCATATTGGTAAGCATGAGGCCACTGGAATCATATTAAAGATGAATACTGGATCTCTCAGCAGGTGGGACACAGAAATTGAGGATATAGTACTATTTTATTTTATTTTAGAGAAGGAGTTTCACTCTTGTTGCCCAGGCTGGAGTGCAAAGGCACAATCTAGGCTCACTGCCACCTTCGCCTCCCAGGTTCAAGCAGTTCTGCCTCAGCCTTACAAGTAGCTGGGATTACAGGCATGCAACACCATGTCCAGATAATTTTGTATTTTCAGTAGAGATGGGGTTTCACCATGTTGGCTATGCTGGTCTTGAACTCCTGAACTCAGGTGGTCCACCTGCCTCTGCCTCCCAAAATAATCTAGGATTACAGGCGTGAGCCACTGCGCCCAGCCAGGACACAGTACTTCTGATCACTTCCATCTGCACTGAGCCTCAGGGAATATCCTAAGCTTCCCTGCCACACCCCAGAATGTCTAGACCTCTGTCACTATAGAAGAGGTCTGCGACTAGTGGAAGAAGAGGATGGCCACGCTGGGCAGTGACTAATCTATTGATCTTGGTGTCTGAGAACCTGCAAAATACGTTATCCAGAGATGCAAGAGAATGGTAATTGAATGAACAACAAAGTTAGTCACCACCTGGACAATCCTCACCATGACTACAGAGTTGGCAAAAGTGAATTTTCCAACTAGAGACTTCAAACACTGAACTGCCCTCTCAGATGTTTCTTGTTTTCACCCAGCAAAGAAGACTCACTGGTGTAGAAAATAAAGAACTCCACCTAAAAATAAAATTCCACTAATGAAAGCAACCACTGTAATTCATTTTCAAGAAAGGTCATATTATCAAATCCCATGAGGTGGTGGGACTTGCACAGCTGGAGAAGAAGAACAAGAGGAAATACGAACTAAAAGCAGAATTAGAGGAAAAGCAGATGGGCAGCATTTAGGGTGAGAGATGGCCAGTGAGGATGTGGCACCTGTTTCTACCAGCACTCCCTTTTCAGGTACTAGCTCCAAA